CCAGATAGCAGAGCATGTAGACGGGGGAGTGAGGTGTGGGAAGGCTGGAAAGGTAGGAAAGGGCCGGGTTATGAAGGGCTTTAAAAGTCAGAGAATGTTATCTTTGATCCAGGAGGTAATGGGGAGCCACTCGCGTTTATTGGGACAGCCAGGTGGCGCCATAGTGCATAGAGCACAGGGCCTGGAGTCAGGAAGACTCATTTTCATGAGTTCAAATTCGGCCTGAGACACTTACTAGACGTGTCACCCTGGGCAAGTTACTTCGCCTTGTTTGCCTCATCTGTAAAATGAGCTGGAGAAGGAAATGGCAAACTAGTTCAGTATCTCTGCCCAGAAAATCCCAAATGGGGTCATAGGGAGTCAGACACAACTGAAAAATGATTGAGCAACTGAGTTTTTTGAATGGGGGAGGAGGAGAAACACAGTCACACCTGCGTTTTAGAGCGAACAGTCTGCTGACTGAGAAGATGGATAGGAGTGGGGAGAGACAAGGCAGGCAGACCCCTCAGCAGTCAGATGATGAGGGCCCACACCAGGGCAGTGGTGATGTCAGAGGAGAGAAGGTGGTTTATACAGATATTGCAAAGGTAGATACTCCTTGCTCACTGGTTAGTTATGGGGGTAGGGGGTAAGAAAGGGTGAGGAGTTGGGGATGACACCTAGATTTCAAGACTGGGAAAATGGTGATACCTTTCACAATAATAAGAAAGTCAGGAAGAAAGGGAAGTTAAGGTAGGTGATGATGGGAAATGATGAGTTCCGTTTTGGACGTGCCTTACAGGAAGGACATCCAGTGTGAGGTGTTTGAAAAACAACTGGAGATGTGAACCTGGAAGAAAGGAGAAAGGTTTGATCTGGGAGTTATTGGTCTAGAGATGATCATTGAGATCTGATGGGAGCTGATGAGGTCCCTGAGTGAAATAGTATAGAAGGAGAAGAGAAGAGGGCTCAGGACAGAGCTTTGGGGGATCCCCCAGTTAGGAGGGGTGACGTGCATGAAAATCCAGCAAAGGAGATGAAGAAGGAGTGGTCAGACAACGAGGGGGAGAACCAGGAGAGAGCACTGTCATAGTGACCCAGAGAGAAGACTGCTGCCTTCACTGATGGTTAGCTCTACCTGCTAGGAGAATACCGTTTCCCAATATGAAAATTAATTTTTTCCCTGACACTCCCAGCGATTGCCCCTGGTTCTGTCCTCTGGGGCCACACAGAACAAGACTAATTCTTCTTTCACACAATATTTGAAGGTAGTCATCAGGTCCCATTTGAGTTTTCTCCCAGTCAAACACCCCCACTTCCTCCAACTCATCCTCCTATACCAAGGACTCCCTGCCATGAGATTGTAAACTCCTTGAAGGCTGTCCTGGCACTTGGCACAGTGCCCAACACAGAGGGGGTAGTTAATAAATGTTGACCGGCTGATGACCTTCCATCAGCTTGGTCGTGCCACTCTGAATGCTCCGCAGTTTATAGACGTCCTTCCTAAACTCTGGCACCCAGCACAGAATTCCTTCTCTGTTCTCTTCAGTAGGCTGGGACCTGACATCATGGCAGCAGCAGGTCAATTGTTTCCAGGGCGTATCAGTCTAGAGATGATGCGGTCTTTGAGATGACATACAGGTCTTGTGTCACTTCCCTTAGTTTGAGGCCGTGGTTGGGGTGGTGGGAAGAGAGAAGAGTGAGGACATTCGAGTTTATCTCTTAGGAAAAAGAGGAACAGGAAAAGAAAACCAAAGTGGGGGGAAGCTTTGGTTTCAGAGCCCGAGTATAAGCTTTGACCTTCGGAACACAGGGATTTGGGGGGGTACTTTCCAGATAGCTCAGTTGTGATTCAGAGATGCCCCAGGGTATCTTTGGGATGTCTGGTGATTTACCCCAATCTTATAAATAATAATATTTCTCATTGTTACTATTTTATTCCTTCCTCTGATGCCTCATGGTGGCACTGAGTGACCATAGCTTCTCAAAAACTGTACCAGTGGAGAGACACTCTGGCATGCCCTACTAAGCAGGATGGATTTCAAGTCAGCAACACTCTGTGTGTTGTGGTGTTGTCTACAGATCAGCTCAGCTGACTCTGGGCTGTTTCAGTCACAAGGGCAGGCATAGGGAACCTGTGGTCTTCTAGTCCTCAGTCAAAGGGCCACACTTATGGACCTACAGTGCCACAGGTGGCCTTGAGGCTGCAGGTTCCCCACATCTGCCTAACCTATCAAATTCTAGCTTTTTGTGGGCCTTAGCTCTTGGCCCATTTCCTGGGCCAAAAAGTCTACTATGTGATGAGTCCTATGCACCTTTTATCCTATTCCAACTCAACTGGGTTTCTTCCACTTTCCCAGTTCTCTAGCTGAGTGGTTCTGTGGTCTGAGGACCTCTGGGGGTCCCTGAGAACTTTTCATGGGGTCTGTGAAGTGAAAACCACTTTCATAATAATACTAAGATGTTCTGATTTCTAATAAATATAACCCATATAAACGAAAGCTCTCTGGGTTGGGGGGGGTCTTCAGTGATTTTTAAGAGTATCAAGTAGTCCTGAGAACAAAAAATTTGAGAATTGCCACTCTAGGTGATTTGCAGGTTATTCAGATATCTCTGGGAAATGGTTTTACAAGGCAACCACTAACAAGTTAACAATTCTTCCCTTCCCCTTCCTCTTAGACGTGTGTGTGTGTGTGTGTGTGTGTGTGTGTGTGAGGGTGAGGGATGCAGTGCATGTTATTAAATCTCCCTGCTGTTTTCCTCTATCCTACCTGCTTCCCGGAGATACAATGAGAAGATATTAGATACCTTGTGAGCCTGAAGGCACTATAAGAAATGGGAATTGCTATCATTATTATATTGTTGTTATATTATCATTACACAGCACCATAGTGATAATGGGGACAGAGAAACCTTGTCGGACAAGTTGTTCTGAGAGGCAGGAGCCTTGTCTTTTGTTATGGAAAAGGGAATAAACTGAGCCTATTTGCCCAGCCTTCCAGAAGGAAGGCCCAGAAGGACAGCTAGGTGGCACAGTGGATAGAATGCTGGTCCTGGACTCAGGAGGTCCTGGGTTCAAATGTGCCCTCAGACACTTACTAGTGACCTGGGCAAGTCACTTCACCCTGCTTGTTTCAATATCCTCATCTGTCAAATATGTGGAGAAGGAAATGGCAAACCAATTCAGTATCTCTGCCAAGAAAACCCCAAATGGGGTCACAGAGAGTCGCATACAACTGATTGACAACAATTAGAAGAGTGATCTGTCTCAGTTTTGGGTGTGGAAAATCCAAGAAAATCAGTCTTGGGATGCCCATCATTTTGAGAGGCAGCATGGTATATAGTGGATAAACCACTGCTCTTGAAGTCAGAAAGGCCAGGGTTCAACTCTTGCCCTAAACATGTACTAGCTGGGCAAGTCATTTTATTTCCTTGAGCCTGTTTCCTCATCTGATGGCTAATAATAATAATAATGGTAATAAGCATTTATATAATACTTTAAGGTTTGCAAAATAATTTGTATATGTTAAATCATTTGATAATTCTTAAGGTCCTTTCCAGCTCTAAATCTATAATGATATGACCTTCTTGTGATAAACACACACATACACACACACACAAACACACACACACACACACATTCATACTACCTCTGTGACCAGGGGCAAGCCACATAAGCCTCAGTTTCCTAATATGTAAAATGGGAAGAATAGCATTTATGTAGCACTTTAAAGTTTGCAAAGCACTTTACAAATATTACCTCATTTGTCCCTTACAACCACCCTGGGAAGTGGGTATTAATGTTATCTCCATTTTACAGATGAGGAAACAGGCTGGGAGAGGAGCCTTCTTTAAGGGTTTTCAAGTGCTTACTTTGAGGCTGTAAAAGGGCAGTGAAACTAATTCTGGACAACGTATCTCCACCACAGCTAGTAGGTGGGTGTTAATAGCAGGTACCCAATCTCCACCATCGTTCACCTCACCCTGCAAATGACCAAATAGCCCTTGGGAAGAGAAAAAGAAAGGGTGAGCACTTAGAATCTCATCCAAAGAGTACAGTTGTGCTTTAAGAAATGCTGAATGGAGTGGTTTCAGAGAAAACCGAGAAGCCTTGATTGAACTGATGCAGAGAGAAGTGAGCAGAACCAGGAGAACAGTGCATATGATAACAGCAATATTATAAGAACTAACAACTTTTAAAAACTTCAGAATGCTGATGAATGCAGTGCCCGACTATGATTCCAGAGAGCTTAAAATGACACCTAAAATTGGCCTCCTGACAGAGAGGTGAGGGACCCGGGATGCAGATGGAGATTTAGCTCTTTTTCGGATGTGGCCAGTGCAGGAATTTGGTGTGCTTGACTATGCATATTTGTCATGAAGGTTTTGGTTTTTTTCTTTTTTTCATTTGAAAGTAGGGGAGGCAGAAGGGAGAGAGTGGATTTTTGTTAATTGGAAAAAAAATGATTTTTATAAAGAATCATGACAGAGTTTCAGATCTGGAAGGCACTCTGGTAGCCCTGTAGTCCAATCCATACCAAAAAAGAACTCCAGTTACAAGAGACCAGACAAGAAGTCACCCAGCCTTTGCCTGAAGAACTCCACTTCACAAAAAAATGCATTCCATTTTCAGACACTTCTAATTGTTAAGTTGGTTTTTTTTTCCTGAGATCAAGCTCAAAGTGGTCTTTTTGCAACTTCCACTACTCCAGGTTCTGTCCTGGGGGGAAGGGGTGTCCACTTAGCAGCCCATAGCTAGCCCCACCCCCACCCCACCCCACCTCCAGTCTTCCCTCCAGGTTACATCCCCAGTTATAGCAACTCATCTGTCTTTGTTATGAACTAATTTGTGAGTGAACCAAACATCAGATGCCTGGGCCAGTTTTTGCTAGGATTGTGGGTCTGGGGGAGGAGTAAAATGTGCATGGAGAGGAGCAGATAGGAGGCATGCTGGTGGCCGCCGCTGTGGAAGATGAGTGGGGGCCCCATCTCAAGCCCAGGCAGTCACACAAACATCTTTGATTAGTGGTAGATCTTAACATTTATCAGCTCTAAGGAGGTTGGGGAGTGGGAAGAGGAAATGACCTTGTATGATCCAAGTTGGTGAGACCTTCCCAGCCATCCTGGCTGAAAGCAGGGAAGGCAGAGGCTGGCTCTGTTGTGGGCACTTCTTTGGGGTTAGCCCAGCAGCTTCTTGACGTCGGTGCAGCCGTCATCTTCCCAACCTGGATGCTTCCTCCACCTCAGGCCCACAGCCTGAGAGTGCTGGAATATCAGAGAGGCAGGGAAAAGAGTGATGAGCTCTTTCTGCCATGAGAGTTTGCATCTGACCTTTATTTATTTTGTGCTGCTTGGCCTGGGGAGAGTCACCTCATTTTTCTCATCTGTAAAGTAAATCTTAACCAACAGAGACAAGACCTTGCTTTACTTTTGAATCAAGACAAGATGGTGCATGTCTCTGCCACCTGTAAGAATAAGAGGAAAGAAGGGAGGAAAGATATTAATAGAGAAATTCATAGGAAGTCAAGCAGGAACTGAAAATTGAATTAAATTTAATTTAAAAAATGTAAGTCAAGCAGGGTCACACGGGCTGTTGTTGCTTGGAAACCTTGGAATATACTCTTGTTCACATCCTGTGCTCTGGTTCAGCCTGGGTGTTTCTGGATGACTGTGAACCAGAGAGTATTAGAAGGGCACCAATCCCCTTCCCACCTCCCACAGGGGGGCAATTCACTCCCTCTCACCCCACAACCCCCCAAGCCCTGTTATTTATACATCATTAAGAATTTAGCACTTGCTTTGTCCAAGGCACCGGGAACAGTGAGATCTGCCCGACATCAGGAGCCTAGTTCTGGATCATGGTATTTAGAGCCGAAAAGGAACCTTATAGCTCATTAAGGCCAACTCTTTCATTTTACAGAGGAAACTGAGGCATAGTGGAAGTGTACTTAACTCACTCAGAGTCATACATAGACCATCTATGTCAGAAGTGAGATTTGAACCCAGACCTCCTGACCCCAGAGCCAGTGCTCTTTCCATCTACCTGCCAGGGTTGTTGTGAGTATCAAATGAAATATTTGTAAAGTGCTTAGTTGTGCCTGGCATACAGTAGGCAATCTATAAGTGTGGGCAATTATCATCACTACCACCACCACCATCATCATCATCATCACCACCACCACCATCATCACCATCACCACCACCACCATCATCATCATCACCACCACCACCACCACCATCATCACCATCACCACCACCACCACCACCATCATCACCATCACCACCACCACCACCATCATCATCATCATCATCACCACCACCACCACCATCATCACCACCACCACCATCATCACCACACCACCACCACCATCATCATCATCATCATCATCATTCTATCCCACTGCCTCCTAGATCTAGGAGTCCTCTCTCAGATTCTAATATATGGTAATATCAGTTGGTTTTTTCAGGTACACACCTTCTCTCTCCCCAACTAGACTGTAAACATTTACCATCTATGTCACCATGAGCACGTCATTTTCTCCCTTTGAGCCTCAGTTTCCTCATGTAAAATGGGGAGGAAAATATTTACACTACTGATCTGACTGGCTTGTTGCAAGGGAAATGCTTGGTCAGCCTCACAGTGCTCTAGAAGTAGGAGATGTTATTGTTATTAAGGATGATGATAAGAACCTGGCCAGGCCCGGGAGCAGAGGAACCTGTGTATGTTCTTTGTGTGCCCCATAGAATCCCCAGTTTAATGTCTGTTGAAGGAGGCAGTGTGATACCAAGGGAAGACCACTTGATTCTGGAGTCAGAGGTTATTTAGTTGCTTTTTCAGTCATGTCTAATTCTCCATGACCCCATTTGGGGCTTTCTTGGCAAAGATACTGGAGTGGTTTGCTATTTTCTTCTGCAGTTCATTTTACAGATGAGGAAACTGAGGTAAACAGGGTGAAGTGACTTGCCCAGGGTCACACAGCTAGTATCAAGTGTCTTTTTTTTTTTGCAAGGCAATTGGGGTTAAGTGACTTGCCCAGGGTCACACAGATAGTAAGTGTCAGGTGTCTGGTCTGAGACCGGATTTGAACTCAGGTCCTCCTGACACCAGGGCTGGTGCTCTATCCACTGGGCCACCTAGCTGAGGACCTGAATTCAGTCCCACTTCTGGCTTACCTCTTACCTCTGTGTGAACTCAGGCAGAGTGGGCCACTGTTTCTTCCTCATGAGGTGGGCTGGACTCAGAGGTCTCTGAGGTCCCTTTATATAATGCCCCAAGTTGCATTAGCGTGTGAGCACAGCACATCCAGGCCTAAGATAGCCCTCAAGTACCCACTCTTAACTGTCTCCCTGTGTGTTGGATCTAGGTTTGGAGTGCATTTTCAGAAATGGAAGACTCCATCGCTCAGATAACCGTGACAGCATCCAAACCTCATTGGGAGGTTTATAGCCACAGGGGCCGGAACATCAAGGGAATGGACAATTTCACCCACTCAAGCTCTGCCCTCAGATCCACCTTGTTGGAGGTGGGAGGCCTAGGGGGAGCCTGGCAGATATGCCGACTGCCTTCGGGGCTTCATATGCCTCCTGTTGACTTCTGGCCCCTGGGCGCAGTGGCCAGTGGTGACCTCTACAGTGGACAGGAGGTGATGGGGAAGGCTTGCTGTCTGCTAGGCAGAGCCATAACCAGCATTTTCATTCCTAGACAAGCTTCACAAAATCAAATGGCAAAGTAGCACAAAAAACTACTTCAAACCAACTTTTAAAAACAAACCCCGTAGAGGTGGTAGAGAGGGGAGGACAGAGACCTCAGGACTCATCCTTTGCCATGGGAAAATATCAGCTTGGGGTACAACCACAAAGGGGTGAAGCCTGCCCCATGTGACAGCTAGCTGGTACAGCCAGTAGACTGAGGTCAAGAAGACCTGAGTTCAAATGTGGCCTCAGATACTATTAGCTGTGTGACCCTGGGCAAGTCACTTAATCTCTGTTTGCTTTGGTTCCCTTAACTGTAAAAAGGGGATAATTATAACACCTACCTCCCAGGTTCTTGTGAAGATCAAATGAGATGATAATTGTAATGCACTTAGCACAGTGCCTGGTACATACTAGGCACTATAGAAATGTTAGCTATCATTTAAGGAACTTGTCCTTTGAGCTAATTTTTCTTGCTAACTAGGTGCTAACTTGTTAACTATGCTAACCACAGCTGTTTCTGTGCTACTATAGGTGTGTAAGTGCTATCAGCATCCTGTAAACTTTAGTAAGCTAAGACAAAGGCCCAGTTGCTCTACCCTAGTTATAATTCTACTGCCAAGCCTTTGGCTGGATGCCCACACATAATCACCTATTGGACATCAGCATTTGATGGCTCTGGGGTCACAAATGGCCATGTCCCTGCTTAAGCAGGAATCCAGTACTTCAGGCTACAACAAAAACGTATATACCAGCTTGTTTCCTTCATTTCTTTGAAGTAGGTGTTTAATGACTATTTCCTTCCTTCCTGTAAAATGGGCATTATACCATTTTCTCTACCTAAAATCTAGATCCCAAGGAATGCCCTGATTTTACATTTTACAAGTGCTTATGTATGAGAGGCATGGGCCCCAGTGACAGCATACAAAATCAAGACTTGGAGATTGAGCCCCAAGGCTGTGTAGAGACAAAGACAGTCATGAGAGAGAAGCCTCAGAAATCAGGGCAGGTCCTACATACTATATCTCCTTGGACTCTGGGGTGTTCTGTGCTCCCGGAGAAATCAGTCAGCCAATCAACAAGCACTTATTAAGCGCTTACTAGGTGCTTAGCACCTTAGCCATAGAGATTAAAAAAGACACAGCCAAGAAGCATTTATTAAGCACTTAGCAGGTGCTCGGCATCTTGTTAGCCATGCAGATGAAAAAAGATACAACACCAGAGGCAGACACAGCCAAGAAGCATTTATTAAGCACTTACTAGGTGCTTAGCACCTTCTTAGCCGTAGAGATTAAAAAAAAAAAAGACGCTGCAGATTATAAAAGCAGTACCTGCCTTCAGGAAGCTTCCATTCTAAGAAAATTCCGGACAAGCTTTCGCCGCTTTCGGAGACGAGGACTCGGTTGCTGTCGGCTCGGACCCTGGACGCGTGGCGATGCGCAGGCGCGGGACTCCCCTTGAAAGCAGAGGAGCGAGGGCCGGAGCGGTGCTTGTAGGAGGGCTTAAGAGAGCAAAATGGCGGACCTGGGGAACGAAGAAAAGGCTGCCATTGCACCACCGGTCTTGGTGTTTCAGAAGGATAAAGGACGAAAGAGATCGGCTGAGGGGTCAGTTCCAGAAGAGCGAGAAGATTCTGCCCGAGAAGATGGAAATTGCTGCCCTCTTGTGAAACGGGAAAGGACTTATTCATTAACTCAGTTTCCTCCATCCCAGTTAGTATCAAAACCCAACATTTTTATGCCATCAACCTTCTGTGAGCCATCTGCAGGCAATTCTGACTCTGAAGCAGAGGAAAAGAGCAGTGGATTCCGGCTGAAGCCTCCCACCCTTCTCCATGGTCAGGCACCTAGTGCAGGTCGACCAAGCCAGAAACCTAAAGAACAGCCGCAGATAAGCGTGCTACGCCGGGCAGTGTTACAAGCTCCGAAGCCGATGGCACTCCCGCGAACAGTTCTTAACAGTGGCACCAGTGGTGTCAATGTAACGTCAGACTGTCTAGGAGCGGCTACATCTGAATCAATAAGTAACAGTGCACCGAGGAGTCCTTCTGAGCCTGCTGACAAGGAGGAAGAGCCCCAGGAAAATGAGTCTAGCAATACTTCGGGGAATGACACTTGTGAGAGGAAAAAGGAAATTGCACAGCAAGCATTCGTATTTGGGCAGAATTTGAGGGACAGAGTTAAGCTAGGATGTGAAAATGCCGAAACAACTGACCTACAAGAATGCGGGGCATGCGAGCTCTGAAACGCCGTCCACAAGAAACTATTTCCTACAGTACATCAGCTCCAGTGTAGAGAACTCAAACAATGCTGATGCCTCCAGCGACAAATTTGTGTTTGGACAGAACATGAGTGAAAGGGTGTTGAGTCTACCAAAATCGAATGAATCTAGTATAGATGCCAGCCAGGCCAACACTGGTGCTGAATCTGGCTCAGGATCCTCCTCCCTAGAAGGTACTCCTGAGAAAGCTCATAGTGCTTTAGAATCCCTGGCAGAGTCAGCAGCCGCCTACACCAAGGCCACAGCCAGGCAGTGTTTACTAGAAACGGTGGAAGGGATCACTGGGGAAGAGGCAGAGAGCAATGTGTTACAGATCCGGTGCAAGTTGTTTGTGTTTGACAAAATGTCACAGTCTTGGGTGGAAAGAGGCAGAGGACTACTGAGACTTAATGACATGGCATCAACAGATGATGAGACTTTACAATCCCGACTAGTCATGCGGACCCGGGGAAGCCTGCGGCTCATCTTCAACACCAAACTTTGGGCGCAGATGCAGATTGACAAAGCCAGTGAGAAGAGCGTCCGAATCACAGCCACGGACGCTGAGGATCAAGGAGTCAAAGTGTTCCTGATTTTGGCCAGCCCCCAAAATATAGGACAGCTGTATGCAGCGCTGCATCATCGGATCTTGACGTTGCGGAGCAGGATAGAGCAAGAAAAGACCAAGATCCCGGCTCCAAAGCCTGAAGTGACGCAGTCAAATGAGGAAGACAGTGATGATGATGTTCTGGCTTCTTCTGCATCAGCTGGAGGGAGCACCGGTGATGAAGGGGATGGGCAGACGGTGGGGAGCACATAGCAGCTGGAAGCCCATCTGCTTTCAAGGCTGCTGCTTGTCCACTCACCCACCCAACCCCGCAGGCTCCTCGATCGTTCCTGGAGGCTCCAGGACATAGGCACAATGCATCCCTGTTCTATTTGTTCGTTTCTTTGGTCTGGATCAGTAGATTCCACACAAAGCAGACTCAGAAAACTGCCTGAATGTGGTTTGGGACATGAAAGCTCATCATATTGATGAGCAGAAAAATAACCTTCCTTCCCCCTCTTTTCATTGAAATGGCGCATTGACTTGTCACAAGCAACCCCTCCTCCGAACCTGAGGATTCCTTCTCAGTAGCTGCTTTAGCCATAGCTCTTGGGGTCTGTCTGTCCTCCTCCTCTCGCTACCACCCGACTCTTGGAGCCCCTGCCCAGCTGCAGGGAAGCAACACTGAGCAATTTCTATTCCCCTAAATCATCACCCTCAAACTGTTCCACCTCCCAAGTTTGGGCTCCTCAGAAAATGGACAGGCTGAGTATTTTGCATCTTGTCCATTTCACCACAAGGGCAATCTGGCCAGCTTCAGGGCCCCACTTTTTCTACTGGCCCCTGTTGTTCAGGTCCAAGCCCACAGGCGGCATTCATTGAAGGGCCCAGTGGGTGTTTCACTAACTCCTCCTCCCCTTCCTGTGTCCAATATCATTTGGGGGGGGGGTTTCTATTGTGCTGATCCTTTTTTTTTAAAGGTTTATATTTTCGTTGGTTTTGAATTTTTTTTTAGTTTTTAATAAGATGTTTTTATGTATTGAGAAAGTGAAGCTCTATTGTTTTGTACTTTTCTGTTACTATTTAAGGGAGAGGTAAGCCACTCTATATGATAGGTATTACATACCATTTGCTTAGTCAGTTTTGTTCTGGCCAGGTGCAAGCTCACAGATTGATGCCTATAAGTTGCCCAGTAACAGCTAGTGGGGAACACCTGTTAGCCTTTCAAAAGTAATGGGTCTTTCCAACAGTGGGGCCACTCATGGAGCTAGCATCTTTTGGAGTTAATTTTTCTTTCTTTCCCCCCTCCTTTGATATTTTGATGCAGTGACTCCTTTTCCCTTGCTAATTCCTATTTGCATGAACACCACCTTGGGAGCAGCTGAGATTAGGATGCTAAAGAGGCTGGTTGGGACAGCTAGGTGGTGGAGTGCATAGAGCACCAGCCCTGAAGTCAGGAGGACCTAAGTTCAAATCCAGCCTCAGACCAAACACTTGACACTAGTTGTGTGACCCTGGGCAAGTCACTTAACCCCAACTGCCGTAAAAAAAAAAAAAAAAGAGGCTGGGCTCCCTCCCAGTTCACCAACCGGAGGGGAAAGGGACTGTTTCTCTATCTTAGTCTTTGGATATGGGCAGGATGAAGGGAGGGGAATTGCTCAGCCCCGGTGTGTTCACTTCACCCCATGCCATATCAGCTTCACGTGTCCTTTCAACCTATGGCGCAAACTAGAGCTAACCCCAGACCCATCCCCACTATGCCAAAGAGAACAGCTACCCCATTGACCAGCATCAAGAAAGAGCTTGGCTTACAGGATATAATCCTGATGTATCCCTGGAGTTTAGGGACAGTTATAAATAAATCTGTGGTACCTTTTAACACAACTGGATTTGACTTGAGTTCTTGCTGCTCTCCACAAATAGGACACTCTTCCTGTTCCTTCCCACAGTACTGGGAACTGAAATCCCCCTCCAAGTAGGATTTTCTTTGGACTACTCTCATCATGGGACTGTTATTAGCAGTTTCTCGGGGAGGGCAACATCCCAGCAGTGCCATCAGACCTGGGCTGCTGGCAAATAACTGTCATTATCTTCTGGGCTTATTCCTTTTTTCCCCTTGGCTCTCCCAGCACTGTCTTGATATCAGGACATTTAAACATGTTTTTAGACTAGTTAAAGCCCCCTTTGGATGACAAAACTCACAGGTCCAGGGTCCTCAGGCTCTGCAGGTGAGCTTGGTGCTGTTTCCTCACCTTCCCCAACCCACATGGTCTCACACTGACTTGGCCAAAGCCCAGAAAGAAGATGGGACCAGCCGGTCTTGGGTTATGTTGGAAAGATCCAGCCGTACTTCCACACAGATCTCCCCCACTGTTAGGGTCATTCTTCATACTTGTCAGCTGCTTAGTGGGAACATGCGGCTTCACGTGGAGGCCTTGCAGAGTTCCTTCTGCATAGTGAAGGCAGACAGATTCCACTTCAGCCCATACAAGAAACTTCTTATGAATTTGGCCCAGAATTATCTTGAAGCCCCATCCAATGAAAGACATAGGCCAGAGCTAAACTTTATTACACCTCCTGCTTTCAGCCTTAGAAAACTAGTGACAGGTAAAACCAGATAATTTCCATGTGTTTTGGAAGATTTATGTAAGATTGTCATATGAAATGTATTTGGGAATTACATTAAAACTTTTAACAAAAAAAAAATTTCTGAAGAGCCCATTCTTCTCTCCACTTCAGTGGTACCCAGAATTAGAAGGATGAAAGTCCTGAGAAGGATTTTTTTTTTTTATCATTTTGTTACCCGCAAGATCAAATTCAGGCATAAAGTAAGTGTTTGTGCAAGATCGTATCTAGCTAGTGGGACCTTAGAAGACATCTGGCTGTTTTATAGATGAGGGAACAAAGGGTCAGAGAGGTCATCTTTTTTTTTCCAGAATGCATTCATGAAGTTCCTACCATGTGCTTCCATATACAAAAGCAACTCTTGCCCTCTAGGAGTTTACTGGCTGCTGGGAGGGGGAGAGGCTGATGGAGTGGGGTGACTTGACCAAGGTCACAGTAGAAGAATTGGTATTCAAAGCTTGGTTCTCTGCCTCCCATCCTGGATGTGCTGCCCGCATGGAATAATGCCCCCCCCACCTTCTTTCAGAATGTCTGCAAACCCGTGGAAGAGGAGAAGCGCCAGGTCCCCACACTTAAGGAAATCAAACAGAAAATTGACAGTTACAATAGCAAGGAGAAAAATTGTCTGGGCATGAAGCTGGTAAGTCAAGAGGCCCTGATTCCCATGTCTACAGAGCCTGTTCTCCCACGTAGGGTCTCTGCCTCCTTTCCCGTAGGTTCTAATCCTGCTCAGGGCTCATTCCCTATGTGACCTCCATCACTCTGGGACTCAGTTTCCTCATCTGTAAAAGGAGTAGGTTGGACTAGATGATCTCTAAGCGCCATATTGTAAGAGCTTGTTTGTTGCTTAGGTAGAGGCACTAAGTACAGGCTGGGGCGCGTGGGCACTCGGGGGGGGGGCATTGCAGACTTTAGGGGACCAGTCCTGCCCTCTGCTGGCGATTGAGCAACTACGGACCCTCATGGTTCTCAGAAAGGATGAAGGGATGGAGGAACAGTGTAGCCTAGTGGACAAGTCATAGAATCACAGGCTCCAGAGTGTCAAAGAACACTCATCTACTCCAATGCCATCATTTTACAGATGAGGAAACTGAGACCCAGAGAGATGACATGACTTGGGATCATACAGGCAGTGGTCAGCAGAGCTGGGATTAAAGCCTTCCTTTTAAGAACCCATGCGCTTTGCCCTGTACCATGCTGTCTCCTGCAGCCTGGTAGTTCATTTACTGGGGTTGGATCCTCTCCTTTGGGTCCCACCTTTGGAACAAGATGTAGAAGGAAATCCCAAGTGACTGTCCCTGATTGTGAGACCTGAGGCCCAGAGGGCCTGCCTTGTGAAGAGTCTTAAGACCCACGGTCCAGAACCTGCCTCAAATAGGGTGCAAGTTCTTTTGAACACATCAGGACATTTGTCTGGTGGCCTAGAGAGACCTATTGGCCTATAGTCTTTGCATTTTTCAGAAGGGGATTCAGAAGGGGATGGAGGGAGAGCAGTTGCCATCAGTTAGTCTACAAATGCCAACTGTGTGCCAGGCACTGTACTTGGTGCTGGGGATACAAAAACAACAAAAACATGAAACGGCCCCTTCCTTAAAGGGGGAAGCAACATGCACAAATACTAGTATATGGAAAATAATTGTACAGTATGGGGAAGAGGCATTGGCAATTGGGAGGAGGAGGATTAAGGAAAGTGGGTGGTTGCATTTATGCTGAGTTTTGAAAGACACTTAAGGATTACAAAGGATCCTTACCTAAAACACTGCCCTGGTTTGGGAATTTTGCCTGGCTTGTTAGGAAAGGGACCTCCCAATACCTTCCCTTTCCTGTCAGAACTGAAAGAGGCAAGGGGAAGCCCAGGGAGAGTGTCCAGTTCAGAAAGAGGGGGTCACTTTCCAGTATTTATACCCTTCCCAGATGAAGTCTGGCAGGCCCCAGGAACACCCCAACACTCTGCCCTACTGTAGAAGGCATCCCCCAAGGAGGGTTGTCACTCTGCGGCTATTGACACGAGTGTATTGACTTGTCTCCTTCCTCTCTCCAATGCTTTTGGGGTGTAGAGCGATGATGGTACCTACACAGGCTTCATTAAAGTGCATCTGAAGCTTCGGAGGCCGGTGACAGTACCGGCTGGGATCCGGCCCCGGAGTATCTACGATGCCGTCAAAGAGGTGAACCTGGCTGCCACCACGGACAAGAGGACGTCCTTCTACTTGCCGCTGGACGCCATCAAGCAGCTGCATATTAGCAGTACCACCACGGTCAGCGAAGTCATCCAGGGGCTCCTCAAGAAGTTCATGGTAGTGGACAATCCCCAGAAGTTTGCTCTGTTCAAGCGGACGCACAAGGATGGACAAGGTAGGAGGAGCGGCCCAACCAGAAGCCAGTCTCCCACACCCGCCTCCCCTCTCCAATGTCACCTCCAGTACAGGGGTGAGAAAGGGGGCTCTCCCAGGAGGAGGCACGGTGGCCAGCCCTAGAACTGCATTTCCTAGTTTGTGACCCCAGGGAACTATGATGTTTCATATAGTGAGAATAGGAGTTCTGTGAGGAAATCTCAATGCCAGCAATATTTTCACTCCCAAATATATTAAATGTAAAATTGCATTTGTATCAAAAGTACTTTTCTCTGGCATGCTTGGCAAATTAGACCTCGGAATCTGAAAGCCCTGGATTTGAGTTCTATTCAAGACACTAACTAGCTATCTGACCCTGGGAGAGTCACTTACCATCTATGAGTGCCAATTTCTTGATCTGTAAAATGGAGATATCACCCACCTCCTAAAGCTCTTTGTGAGGCTCAATGTAAACCTTCACTTGCTTTATAAATGTAAGCTCCTATTATAGGCAGCACTTTTCTGATATGAAAAAAGTCATTATTTTTTTTCAAAAATTTCCCTAAAACCTCTCCCTCTAATCTTAGGGCCAAACTGAGAGGAGAAAGTCTTACATGCCTCCTAGACCAACACTGAAGTGTTTTATCAATATACTTTCAGGGCCCCAAATGTTCTGTGGGCAAATTAGCTTGCCCTAAAATATTCAGATCTTTGGTAAAGTCAACACCCAAATAAACCCACCATCACAGAGGCTAGGAGGCGACACCCTCAGCTAGTGGCCTCCCAACTCCTATCTCCCTCTGGACTTAAATTTTCTAATCGGTGTAATGGATTTAGACCCTCCCGTTCTCTGAACAGGATGTAGAGAAAGGGAATATGTGTTCTAAGGTAGATATGTTGCCATGGACACCCATAAAATCATATTGCTGTGTGAAGTATCATCATTTGAGGCAGCATGGAGTAGTGACAGATTTGGGAGTCAGGAAGACCTGAGTTCAAATTCCACATCTGACATTTACTAGCTGTGTGGCCCTGGACAAGTCACTCTCTGAACCTCAGGCAGCTCTCTTAATACTATAAGTTGTGAACTGCCATGACATCTAGAGGTGGAAAAAGTTCACACTCCAGCTAAATCATTGGATCATAGAACTAGAGCTAGTTCAAGCCCATTTTACAGGGGAGGAAACTGAGGCCCAGAGACATTAAATTGCTTGCTCAAGGTTATAAGTCAGGTTAACAACTGGCAAAGCCGAGACTCCAGACCCTCGGTTCTTTCCACTGTACCACAGTGTTTCTTTACATGTTAATATTTTAGTATCTTATTTTTTTTTTCAATTACATGTAAAAACAATTTTTAGCATTCATTTTTAAAAATCTTGAATTCCAAATTCTCTCCCTCCCTGAAAGGGTAAGCAATTTGATATAGGTTACATTTGTTAATAAGGAGCATCTTGGGACTTAACACTGCTAAAAAGTTTACATCCTTAGTCTTATGGGCCAATGCCTAGTCAACTCCTGTGTCCTCTTGGTCTCCAATAAAGTCGGCAGCACAGTATGGTGAAAAACATCCTGGGATGAGAGTCAAAAGACCTTGGATCCAGAGCCAGCTGTCACAAATTGACTCTGACCTCAAGCAAATCACTTCATCCCTCTGGATCCGACTCCTCCTCTGTAAAATGAGGCGATTAAACTAGATAATCTCTTAACATTCTGGGATGGTTTTCTGTCATTGCCCTCAGCAGCTAACCACCCCTAGACGGACCCCTGCCCTTCCTCTCTGAGATGAAGGACCCTCAATCCATTCTCTTGTCTTTAGTGCTATTTCAGAAACTCTCCATCACCGAGTGTCCCCTTTACCTTCGCCTGCTGGCCGGCCCTGACACAGACATCCTCAGTTTTGTGCTGAAGGAGAACGAGACAGGAGAGGTGGAGGTAGGTCCAACCCTATCACTACCCCTCTGCCTGTGTTCCTTGCCTTTGAAGCCTACTGGGTTGGTTGTGGGTGGGTTGTGTTGACTCACCTGGTTGGCCCCATTGGAAAAAAAATGCCACTTTTCCAGTAACTTTTTGATTTGTTAAAGATTTTTTTTAATTGCTTTTGCTCTGAAGTGACAAGTGGGGCAAGTGGTCACAGGTGGGAAAAAATGATGTGAGCATTGTAGTTTTCAGACTAACCAGGCAGAATGGAAATAGAACTATAGGATCCAGGGAAGGAACACCAAGGTGGCTCTAAACCCAACTGTTAACGTGTCTACTGTGCTGCCGTCATTCCTCTCTCTAACTCTTCCCCCTCCCCCCACCTCTTCCCTTCCCCCTCCACAGTGGGATGCTTTCTCCATCCCAGAGCTCCAGAACTTCTTAACCATTCTGGAAAAGGAAGAACAGGACAAAATCCAGCAAGTGCAGAAGAAGTATGACAAGTTCAAGCAAAGACTGGAGGAACTCTTGAGAGATGCCCAGGGCAAACCTGGCTAACCCTGCCTGCCTCCCCTTCCTGCCTTGTCCTGGAACGGCTCCAGAGGAGAACGGATTGGTATTATTATTATTTTGCAACAGACACTTTTCTCAGGACACATCTGGCTGGGTACTCTTATGCTCACCCTCAAGTTGTTCCAGATGGGCAGTAACTTCTCCGATATGTTGTGTCTTGGGATTTTTCCTCTCGCCCCTTCCCGTGTCACCCCTCGGCCCCCAGAGACACTGTTGTGGGAGCAGTACCAGTGTTCTAAGAGAATCTTTCTCTTGCTCTGTCAAACTTCAGGCCTTTCAGAAACCCAACAGCTGCCTTGACGCATCACCAATCCAGGACCTATCACTGGTTGGCCAAGGCAGATATGGGAAAAACAAGGAAAAATGATTTTAAAGAGATGCGTATTCCTTCCTAGACCTCTGTTCTGTTCTCTCTTCCCTCCCTTCTCTTATTGAACAGCTTTATTTATTGAGTCACATAATAAAAGAGCTGAATGTTCATTTGTGGAGACCTAGCAGGCTCACAAACCACCAGAAGCAGGGGAAAAGTGAATAGCAGGAAAGGAGTGTGTTAGCTAGTACCTTCCCCTCCACCTTCACCCCTCCCTCAGCTACAGGTGCCTATAATTCAGGCTGAGATGCCTCCTAAAGTCACTGACCCCTGCTAAGAAACCCTGCACGCCTTAGGTTAGGGGTTTCCATAGAGATCATCGGTGTGAGCCTCCCCAGCACATGATGACATTATGATGGTGAAGTCTTAGGTGCATATGTGTGTGTGTGTGTGTGTGTGTTTGTGAGTGGGTGTGCACACATCCACATCTGTCAGAAAATTTTTCTCAACATAAATTTGATGCTGTTTCCATCCTCCTGATATTTCTCCCAAAGTGAAACTGGCCTCTTCCCTGCCCAGAGGTTTGTTTTCATTTTAAACTTTTGCTCTGGAGAAGCTGAGGTGAACAGAGACTAAAATGTATTTCAGAAAACCATCTGACAAGCAACCTCCAACCTCTGGGAGTAGGGAAGAGGCTCTGTTGTGCCTGAGATGCCCTAACTCCGTTGTCCCAGGGCTGCTACCACTGAGCCCTCTGCCTTCTGCCTCAGGCCCTGGTCGTGCGGGATTCCAGTTGCGGCCAGAAGACCTGCCTTCCTCACAGAAGTAGGGAATGACAAACTCAACCCTTCCATTCTGAAGACTGGGCACTATGCCTGGAGTGACCCCAAAATGGATGGAGAGCCCCAGGGGCCCTCGTCTCCCCTTTGACCTCAGTGCCTTTCTGTCTTTAAAGGGGGTATGGGAATAAGTTCTAGGTTTCAAGATGCTGCTTGCCCGGTGCTAGACAGCAGATGGCTGGCAGAGTGGGTTGAGGAAAGCCCCCCTTTCCAGCCTACCAAAGGGGAGAACGGACTTCTCTTCCCTATCACAGTTGCCTCTCATCCTTGGGGGTGCTGTACAGGGGGGGACACATGGCTTCCTGACTGACTCAGTGGACTGGTGCAAACTTCAGTTACTAACCAATCAACCAGTTCATGTTATCAGCGAGGTATGGAAAGACAAAGAGGCAGCATGAACCAGTGGGCTGGCTTTCAGAGTCAGGAAGACCTGGGTTCAGGTCCCTGCTCTGACAGAGTGGCTCTGTGACACAGGGCAAGGCACTTACCCACAGTGTCCTAGTCAACTTTCTAAGACTGTAAGCTGATGCTGATGTTCATTGGTAGATATTCCCTCTGCTGATGGAATCACAGGCTTAGGCCCAGAAAACAACAAAAACACACTTCAAGGCGAGGACAGAAGGATTGTAATTCTCAACTGAGGGTTACACTCCAGGCCCAGCCCTTGAGAGACCCTTTTTTCCCTTGCCCTCAATTTCCAAATCCCCAAATGCCCATTACTCTATAGGTAAGCTGATGTCCCAACTTCTCCAAGGCCTCAAAGGGTGGCCTTTCTCCCATCTCTCCCACTAAACATCCACCCTCATCACTGCCTCTGGAGGATACGGTGTGTGTATATACATATATAGATACATTATATATAATATAAATTATATATATGTATGTATAGGTATACCCACATGCAATCTTTATATCTGTAGAAGAAACAGCAACCTATACAAATACCCCTTCTCCCCCCATCCCACATCTCACACTGTACCCACCCCTTCAAAAAAAAAAACCCTCTCTCCCTCTGGTTTAAATTAAGGGAAAAAACCCATTTCTCTTAATCCTGCATGTCTACACCTTACCATAAGGCATGGCTCTCGCTGCAACTGCCGTGAATGCTGCTGAAAACCTCCCTCCAATGGGAAAGGCGATTTTATTTTTAAGGGGAATTTTTAAAAAACTATTACATATATATATATATATATAGTGTGAGAGAGAGAGAGATACAAATATAGTACATAGCTATATAGAGAGAGTGTGGCAGAAAGCATGGGACAGCTCAGATTCTAAAGAAAGCACAGCTAGATCTTGGACCTGGGCTGAGGTCTAAAGCTCTTTAAAAAAAAAAAGTATGAAAAAAGAATTCCTTCTCTCTCAGAGGTGGATGTGACTGCTGGCAGTGCCTTCCTAAGGGTCATGTTGCTTTGTGTGTCTGTGTGTATGTATATATGTGTGTGTGTGTGTGTGTGTGTGTGTGTGTTGTATGAACTTTTTAAAAAATGTCGGTCTGAGTTGTAAAAAAATATACAGATATATAAAAATAAAAAGCTTGTTGCAAAAGTGATGCATCTGGTACTATTGTTTCCTCTGGCTTTTCTAGCTTGCCCCAAGTCACCACCTTCCTCTAGGTGGAGAGTAGGATCAGAGAACATGATTTTTAAAATTCCTTTTGGACAGAATATTGACCAAATAGTTTGAAGACTTCAGTTGCCTAAATGTGTTTTAAGGGTGGTGTGATCAGCTGTTCTCCATCTTAATCATGACCCCATGGGGAAACCAGTTCAACTCTATACTGTCCTATTCTCTTAATGCCCTTGGCCCTTATCCTATGGAAGAGCCTACCTTACCAAGCCTGAGCCTGGGATTACTTCCACTTCTGCCTTTCTTCCTCTTCATGCGCTACTGAACAGAGCTAGTGAAAAACAAATCTTTGCTGACTAGGTCAACTATAAATTTGTTACATAATCTCAACTTGGTCCACACTGCAGCAAGGCAATAGTTTTAAACTTCCCCATTCAATTCACAATCTTCCAAACTTTTTCATCCTTTCTCAAACCTCCCATGGATCTCCCTACCCCCACCCTTTGCTGAAAAAATTGAGGCAATTTGCAGATGCCTTCCTCTCTCTCTCATACTTGTCTTGCACAAGGTTGCTGTTCTCCTTGGCAAGGCCTCTACACAAAGGGACCCCACTCCATCTCTACTGTCTACAAACTGCCCATGTCTTTGTCATCCACAAAAAAATCCTCAATCTGTCTATCCCCGGTAGCTATCTTCCTATTATCTCCTCCCTTTTGTAACTTGAAAAGGCCTCATACAATTGATGTCTTTACTTCCTTTCCTATCACTTCTTAATTCTCCAAAGTTTGGCTTCTGACCTCATCATTCAACTGAGACTGCTCTACCCAAAGCCATCGGTGATCTTAGTTGCCAAATCCAGTGGCCTTTTTCTCAGTCCTCATGTTTCTCGACCTTTCTGCTGCCTTTGACCAACATCATCTCCTTGACACTCTCGTCTTTCCAGGTTTTCGTGACACTGCTCTTGGTTCTCCTGTCTTCTCCTCAGACTCCTTTGCTGTATCTTCATCCAGGACATTCCCCCAAAAAGTGGGCGTTTCCTAAAAGTTCCGTCCTGAGCCTTCTTCCTTTCTGCCTCTATACTGTTATTTGGTGATCTCACCAGCTCCCATGGACTCAATGATCATCTCTACACAAATTATTCCCAGATCTATCTGTCCAACCCCAATCTCTCTGCTGACCTCTAGCACATCACCTTAACTCCCTACTAGTCATCTCAAACTCCACATGCTCTTCAATCCAGTGACATCGACCTCCTTCCTATTCCTCTCATATGACTCGCCATCTTCCAACTCTGGGAATTTTCACTGGCTCTCCCCCAAGCCTGGGACTTTCTCTTCTGACTGCTGGCTCTCCTGGCTTCCTTCAAGTCTCTGCTAAAGTTCCACTGTCTGCAAGGCTTTCCCAGTCCTGCATGCCTTCCCTCTGGGATTATCTCCCATTTATCATGGATCTCCTGGAAAGCAGGAACTATTTTTTGCCTTTCTTTGTATCCCCAGTGCTTAGCACTGTGCCTAGCACACAGCAAATGTTTAATACTTGCTGACTTGACTCCACAGAGCAAAATGAAAAAACTGCTTAAGGCACAGCAGGAGACAATTTTCAGTTACACAAAAGTAAGGACTTCAAAGAGCTAAGGAAGATTAAATATTAGGTCAGGAAAAGGGAAAAGATCTTTAAAAATTGGTAGAGCAACCATTGTCCTAAAAGGCTGAAAATGAGCTGAACTTAGAAGCAGGTGGCTAGACATGGTGATCACTTATTCTTGCTGCCCTCTCCCCCACTTAAACGCTGAGTCTTACAAATTTCGTAGTAAAGACAGAAGTCATTAGAATGCATTACGTCCTGTTCGTGGGTGTTGATTACACAAGGTACCATGCCCGGATCATTTTCGAGTCTAAAGCCTTTAACCTGGGGGAGCTTATAAATTATCGTCTAGCCCAGCCCCCACTCCTTCCTTTCTCTGAGCGCAGGCGCTTTGTGGTGAAGGCCTGTTCTAGAGGGTCACTAAATGAGACAGAGGCAGGGAGGTGATGTTAGGTGGAAAGCGCAGACTTTGGAGGTGATGTTAGGTGGAAAGCGCAGACTTTAAGAGTCAGGAGAGGCCCAAGTACAAATCCCACCTCTGATTCCCTACTGTGACAGTAGGCAAATCACTTGACCTGAGTCTCAGTTTCCCATCTGCAAAATGGGGATAATATCACTTGGGTGTCATGTGAGATAATGACATAAGATGTATATCATTAGATCCACACAAGCAAACGCTGTTAATGACTGGGCAGATGTAGAGTTGTGGCCACAAGCCGCTCATCAGACAGAGCCCCTTCTTTGCTGTGAGTGTTAGTTTGCTCATGCTGTCTTTATGTGCCCCCTAAATCCTTTCTGCTGTAATCTGAGGGCAAGTCTTTCTTCTGTGCTTATGAAGGCAGAGAACTGAGTCCTGTCCCCACTATCGAAGACTCTTTAAACACCTGCAGGAGAATGCCAGCAGCCACAATAGTTAGGTAGTATTAGGGACAGGGACATAGGCAGCCTGTCAAACGTTCTGTGGACTGGTGGGATTCATCCTTCCCAGGCTTGAGCAGAGGCAGCTGGCCCTGAAGCAACAGGGAACAGGAGGGTGACAAATGCTGCCCCACTCCAGCCTCTTTTCTTCAGCAAATTTAAAATACACTTGGTTAATCACGTTCATCGATACTGGTTTATTTTCTTTGGAAGGATTATGAAGATGGGACTGAGGGAAGTTTCCTTACCTGGGAGAGTTCCCTTTGCAGTGAAATCACAGGTCCAGTATTTATCCCCTCTATGGTATTAATCACTGGTTACAGGAGAGGGGAGCAATATATTTGGAAATGAGGGTGATATAAAAATAAAAGACAGTGCTAAAAATAAGATTTAAATATATATATATATATATATGAATAAGGAGCTTGAGAATAAAAATTTATTTTGGTAAAGAATTACATTTCATCCTCTCAAAAGTTGAAAAGTCACATAAATTACCAGTTCAGAGATTTCAATTTCCAAGAAATGTGTAATTTGACACTAGAGCCATTACTTCTTCTTGCCAGCTTTGGGGGCCTTTTCCAAACCTTGGATGTATTTTCGAGGGATGTTATATTCTTCTACAATGCAAAAAAGGCAGACAGAGACTTCTCAGCCTAGCAGCCTCCAAGGCCCTCTGCCAATCATCTCGTCCCCCCACTCTCACCCTACCCCTCAGCATCTAAACACTCAGCAGTTCCTCACCCAGACCCATCTCTGGTTCCTCCTCAGCTAAGCCAGCAGCAAACCAGCTCTTCAGGGTATTCATTGTTTTCCAGTCTTTGCATATTCAGGTATCAACAGCTAGCATTGCTCTCTTCTCTGCTAACCCTCACTTTGTCTGGGAAGCGGCTCCACTTCAGGACTGTTTTTACTACACAAATGGTGCTGGTGAATGACACTTTCTAAGCTTCCTTTAGTCATTTTCCTGTCAATTCAGCCTCTCCAAATAGAATGTAAACTCCCTGAGGCCAGGGACCCATCTTTTACTTTCCCCTCTCATAGCACCTGGAACTGGGGTTTACTCAAAACAGGTACCTAGCCCTAGATGACTGACTAACACTGCCTCATACTCTCAGAAGACCTAGACAAAGCTTAGCTAAGGGGAAGATGCTCACCAAGCAGGAGCCGACTGAGATGATTGATCTGATTCCCTTGGATTTGGACCTGAATGGCATCCTTAGCCCCAGGGACAGGGGTGATGGTGGCACTGGCCTGGCCCCGTTGCTGGAGGATGGCAGCCACAGAATATGGGTCAAGACCAAAGACCTCCAGGTTCCGGACCAAGGTCACCTGCCCACAAAAAAAGTCAGGACTAGCCGAGAATGGAAAGCAGAACACCCACATGCACACCCCCACCCACACACTCTTCTGAATTAAGTGACTCCCTAAAGTGGAGGAGGACTTATCTACCTTACAACTGCCTCCAAAACAAGAAAGCCCAGACTAGAAGCCACCCAATCTTCAATGTGCGCGGGCGCGCGCGCGCGCCCGCGCGCACACACACACACACACACACACACACATTTTAATTGCTTTTGTTTTTACAGATGAGGGTGTGCCCCTCATCAGAATGGGTTGAGCAAAAATATTTTAAAAGTCTATAACATTCCCCATGGCTACAAAAACAGGATGCCTCATACATAATGAGAAGAGATATTAAAGAATTTCTGCATTCAAGAGAGATATCGTTACAGATGTTTGAGATAGACAGATACATGTCCTAATAAGTAAGGTAGCTTAGCCACAACCTTGGGGTTACTAAGGGGCCGGTAGATCAATTAAGCAGGGCCTCAGAGATGATGAAAAGAACACAAACTGGAGTTTATAATCTGCCAACAGGGCCCCAGGAGTGGGTTTTTGGTTGGTCTGTTTGTCAGAATTTCACTTTTCAAGCCAAGTACTCAATCTGTTTGCAGAGTATAAGCTTGTGGACCGTGGAGGTGCTCAGTTTCCTGGTACAACACCTAACCCACTATACAAATGTAAATGGCAAGCAATGATCTCAGGGGGCTTCCAGTCCAGGAGAGAAACAGAAACAACCTTGATGACTCTGGTGACTGGTTCATGAGAAAGAAAGCATGTTGGGCTTGTTCTAAAGTTACACAGGCAGATTTCAGTTATTTAAGGAAAACCTTCCTAAGGATTAGACCCTACCTAGAGAGCCAATCTCAGATTACAAAAACGGGATCAATCCTCTCTTCTCTGGCCCAGGCACCAAATGCTCTACACTGTCTAATTCAGTAAGATTTTTGCCTATGTTCTACCAAAAAACCTCCATAAAGAAGATTAAGATAGGACAAGATGGGCTGCTATCTTCAAACACCTGAAGGTCTGTCATATGGTATAGGGACTAGATTTGTTCTGCCTGGCCCTAGAACTGAAGTTGTAAAGGGGCATAGTTAGAATTGGTACAAGGAAAAATTCCCTAACAATTAGAATAGTTGAATGGGAGAATAGGTAGCCTTGATAGGTAGTGAGTTCCCCATCACTGGTGGTATTCACACAAAAGTTGGATGACTTAGGAATATCACAGAAAGGGTTCCTGCTCAGGTAAATGTAGAAATATATGACACCCTGTGGAAGACATGGATGTTGCTTCTGCATATCACTCAATCAGAGGTTGGAGTCAGTTTAAAACTGGGAGGCAATGTGAGAAATAGTTGGGTTTTTTTTTTATTTCCACAAAAGTATAGTGGACAGGAATGTGGGCGAGGTGGGGCTAGGTGGAAGTTGTACAAAGGGATTTATATTAGAATAAGAAAACACTTTTGGTGGTAAATAGACTAACCGGTGAGAAACCAGTTCTGAGGTTAGGTATAGATTAACATCAAAAGGGGTGTTCCCAAGTAAGGGCCAAGGTCGAGGAATTATGGGGACTGGGAGATTATCGAGATAATTGAGGCGGAGACTCACGTGGTTAAATTAGACACTTCCGATAGGCTGTGACCTCTATAGTACCCAACAAAGGGGAAATAGGAAGGAAATTCAAATGGGGAATAGGGAATAAAAAGGTGTGCCTTTGTGGACACATGTGTTCTCACACATTCGGGATGCCCAGCCTTCCCAGATCATTAATAAAGCTTCTTCCTGATTCAACAATGACCCCACCCACCCTAAAGTCCCCACCGGCTCTGAGACTCCATGGAGTTTTTTACCTTTTTATTGCATGCTCTCTGTGCTAAGGTAATGTCAATTGGACAGATTTTTCCTTTCTTCACAGTAGGCTCTTGGCCATAAAAGGTCACTTGATAGGCAGGTTTCAATCTCTGCAGGCACCTGAAATAGAGGGGTCAATGAAGGTCAGAGTCCTCCAGGGACCCCACCCCCCACAAGGCACAAGGCATTCTCTCCCCTCCAGTGTCAGGGCGCAGGCTCCCACTGGGCAGAGAGAGAAGCAGAAAAGTTCTTTCTGTTACAACAGTGAGAGTAGCAACTGGTTGTAAGAAGATTACAGGTATCCTTTTGCTGGCACTGGGTACAGAACTCTGTTACATTGCTCATACCTGATTCTGGGTCACAGTCCCAGAGCAAGGAGGAGCACTAGCATACTTAGAACGTGTTGCTGCAGAAGAGTGGGGACCCTGGTCACAGTTCCAGGGTGGGAAAGATTGCCTGTAGTCACTCACAGACCAGGACAGGGCAGAAGAGCGGTGACCACACTGCTTAGATCATACCAATTTAGAAGAACTGAAAGCTTACAGACACCCCCAACCCCCAACAAGCTCTGAAAAATGAACAAACAACACAAAAAGAACCTGACCATAGAAAGTTATTATGGTAACAGGGAAGATCAAGACACCAACCCAAAAGAAGATGACAAAGTCAAAGCAGCTACATGAAAATTTTGTCTCAAAGAAAAATATGAATTGATTTCAGGCCCAAAAAAGAATTTCTGAAAGAGCTCAAAAAGGATTTAAAAAATCAAATCAGAGAGGTAGAGGAAAAATTGAGAAAAGAAATGAGAGTGCTACGAGAAAATCATGAAAAATGAGTCAACAGCTTGGTAAAGGAGGCACAAAAAAATACGGAAGAAAATGACACCTTAAAAACCAAACAGGCCAAATAGTAAAAGAGGCATAAAAATCCACTGAAGAGAACTTCTTAAAAGCAGAATTGGCCAAATGGAAAAGAAGGCACAAAAGTTCACTGAAGAAAATAATTCCTTAAAAATTAAAATTGGCGGGGCAGCTAGGTGGCACAGTGGATAGAGAGCACTGGCCCTGGAGTCAGGAGGACCTGAGTTCAAATCTGCCCTCAGACACTTGACACTTACTAGCTGTGTGACCCTGGGCAAGTCCCTTAACCCCACTGCCTAGCCCCTCCCTCCCCCCAAAAAAACAGAAAGTGGACAAGTGGAAGCTAATGACTCCATAAGTCATCAAGAAGCGATGAAACAAAATTAAAAGAATGAAAAAATAGAAGAAAATGTGAAATGCCTCATTGGAAAAACCACCAACCTGGAAAATAGATCCAGGAAAGATAATTTATTAATTATTGTACTATCTGAAAGCCATGATCAAAAAAAGAGCCTAGATATCATATTTCAAGAAATTATCAAAGAAAACAGCCCTGGTATCCTAGTGCCAGAGGGTAAAATAGAAATAGAAAGAATCCACCAATCACCAGATCCCAAAATGAAAATTCCCAGAAATATTATAGCCAAATTCCAGAGCTACCAGGTCAAGGAGAAAATACTGCAAGCAGCCAGAAATAAACAATTCAAATATCATGAAGCCACAGTCACGATAACATGAGATTCAGTAACTTCTATATTAAAGAATTGAAAGGCTTGGAATATGATATTCCAGAGGGCAAAGGAGCCAGAATTACAACCCAGCAAAACAAAATAATCCTTCAGCAGAAAAAAATGGGTATTTATGAAATTCTTATGGCAAGTTCCTCTGATAAAAGTCTCATTTCTCAAATATATAGAGAACTGTATCAAATTTATAAGAGTACAGGTCATTCCCCAACTGATAAATGGCTAAAGGATATGAATAGGCAGTTTGAGGATGAAGAAATCAACACTATCTAGTCATATGAAAAAATGCTCTAAATCATTATTGATTAGAGAAATGTAAATTAAAACAACTGTGAGGTACCACCCCATACCTATCAGATTGGCTAATATGACAGAAAAGGAAAATGATAAACACTGGAGGGGATGTGGGAAAATTGGGACATTAATACACTATTGGCGGAGTTGTGAACTGATCCAAGCATTCTGGAGAGAAGCTTGAAATTACACCCCAAGGGCTATAAAACCATTTGACCCAGCAATACCACTACTAGCTCTGTATCCCAAAGAGATTAAAAAAAAAAAAAGGAAAAGGACCTCTATGTACAGAAACGTGTCTCTACATACAGGAAATTTATAGCAGCACTTTTTGTGGTGGCAAAAAATTGGAAATTGAGAGAATGCCCACCAACTGGAGAATGGCTGAATAAATTGTGCTATGTGATTAGGATGGAATACTATTGTGCTATAAGAAATAATGAGCAGGATGCTTTCAGAAAAACCTGGAAAGACTTATGAACTGATGCAAAGTGAAGTGAGCAGAACCAGCAAAACAGTATACACAGCACAACAAAACTGTACAATGATCAACTGTGAATGACTTAGCTATTCTCAGCAATACAGTGATCTAAGACGGTCCCAAAGGACTTATAATGACAAATATTATCCACTTCCAGAGAAAGAACTGATGGAATCTGAATGCAAATCAAAGCATACTTTTTAAAAACTTCATTTTTCTTGGCTCTTTTTTTTGGTCTGTGTTTTTTTTCCCCCATAATATGATTAATATGGAAATATGTATGGCATGACTGCACATGTACAATCTGCATCAAACTGCTTACTCTCTTATGAAAGGGGGTTTGGAGAGGGAGGGAGGAAAGGAGGGAGAGAATTTGGAACTCAAATTTTTTAAAAAATGTTATAAATTGTTTTTACATGTAATTGGAAAAAAAAATTTCAAAAAAAATTAAAATGTGATGCAATCAGGTGATTCAAGGGAGAGAAAGAAAGGGCACAGAGAAAAATTAAGGAAAGCTAATAAAAGAAGGAGTGAATAAGCATTTATATGGCACCTACTATGTGTAGACAGTGTGCTAAGCACTTTTTTAAAAAACAAATATTATCTCATTTGATCCTCACATCCACCCTGTGAGGTAGGTGCCATTATCACCCCCACTTTATAGTTGAGGTTCTGTGAACCTCTATTACCTTTCAATGAGTTTATCCCATGGAAGCCTTGATATTGTGTTTTGTTCAGCTTTTTCCAAGATGCAGTCACACAAGATGGGATCCATCTTCACAAGACTAAAGGGAAGGAGAACGAATGATAATAGGACTTGTGCTTTCTTGTCCTAAGGGCCACCTCCTAAAACTTTCACAATAGTCTGAGAGTAAGATCATTTATCTAGTAACATGCCACACAGAGGGAAGTAATTGTGTCAGAGTTTCTGGACATAGATCATGTTCAAGTAGAAAGATCACAGGACTGAGAATTCGGAGATTTGGGCTCTGCCACCAACTAGCTGGGTGACGACAGGGAACAATGACAGTTGCTCACACTCAGAAAGTGCCTTACGTTTTCTCCCAACAACAACACCCCAGGGAGTCAGGTGGGATAAACCTCTCCACGTCACTTCTATGTGCTCACTTGCAAAGACCTCAGAAGCACATGTGGACATACAAGTGGTTGTGCGCCTCTCCCTAACTACTCTTGCTTGAGTCAGCCCACTCTGTTTTTGGACAGTTCTAATTGTTGGGAAATTTAACTTCATACCAAACCTAAATCTGCTTCCCTGCATAAACTCAATCCTTCCCTCTGAGGCCAAACAGGATAAGTCTAATCCTACTTCCAGAGAATAGTCCTTCAAATACTTGAGGACAGTTGTCATGTTCCCACTGAATTTTCTAATACCTAGGCTAAATACGTCTACATCCTTTAACTGACTCTTATATGGCCTAGTGGTGCATCTACAAAATCAAAGATAGATCTATAAAGATCTCCAATTTTAGCATTCTCTGACTCACCTATGAACGTGCGCATGCACATGTACATACACACACACACGCACGCGCGCAACTCAAGGCAGCCTGGTTTTTAGTGCAAAAGACCGCCACGTGCTTTTTTTACTTACTTTTTGTTGTCTGCATCAACTAGGTTGTTTTTCTTTGCATAGTCAATGATGATTGCACGGACTTCACTGCCTGAAAGGGTACTCCCCTTCCTGGGAGAAAAAAGGGGTACAAGGAAATAGACTCAACTGTGATAAGAGCCACATAAAACAAGCCAATGACTTCTTTCTGATAGGGTTCTCTCCCCTTCTTTCCTGCTCTATTTCCTTCCTGATGAGGTGGAAAGGGAATATGATAATCGACTATGGGTTGAACATTCTCCCTATTTCCATTAGACCCAGAGGAACTTGCTGGTGGAAGGAAGCTTAGAGCTAGACTTGGGCAACAGAAAGCCAAGGGAAGGGATGGATGTGCTAACCACAACAGAGAGACAAGACGAGCTGAGAGGCAATGTGGATCAGACTAGACAAGAGGGGGCATCAAACAGACAGAGCTGGTTAGCAGATGCTCTATATGACTCACTTGTGGCCAGACACCTGGAAGAGAGAAATCATGTTGGCTGGGATACAGTAAAGGGATTCGATCTCCGGTGGGTGATAAGGCTTTTCCTTGGTATCCTCTTGGACACTCTGGGCAGTTGGGGAGGGCTCAGGCACAACAAAAGATGTAATGCTGAAACCCATAACAAGGAAGAGATGAGAAAAAGCATTCCACACCGGTGTCTAGACATCCCCATCCCAGGCAGACCCAGAGCTCCCTGGGACCAAAGGGCCTTCAGCTCTCACCTGGGGTGTTTCCAGTCCACAGCCACAATGCTCTCCACACCTTTGCTCAATTCCTTCACCTGCACAATCTGCTCCTTCATCATGTGATGCAGAAACTTGGAGAGCTGAAGGAGAGAAGGTCAGTGGCCAGGGCCATGGGGCAAACCCAAGAACTTCATTCATTCAACAAGCAACTCTTGAGGACTTACTATATATGTAAAACATTGTACTAAGCTGTGGGGGGAACCAAGATGTTTAAGACATAGTCCCTACCCTTTTAAAATTGGGAACTGAGAGGCTCCTACCCTGTACTGGAGTATATGTAGTAGTGACCAGTATGACATGGGAAGAAGACTGTACCAGTTGAGCCTTACAGAACCCACATGAGATATACAGGGACCAAAATGCAAAGTGAGACAGGCATCCACCCCTCCGGGCCAGGCCCAGAAAGGTACTATTTCCTCATGCCTGAGACAAAGAGCTTCCAGAGCTGTCCTGGGCTGCTTGGGCCACAAGAACACTGGTTCCCCAGCAATCAGTTCCACTAATTCTGTCTGTCCTCCTCCCACCAAGAGTCAGGACAAGAGCCTCACTTGCCTTTTTGTAGCTTGACTTCTTTATGTCCAACTGTTGTCCTTCAGGGCTAGAGACAGCAGAAATGCATGTTAAGAAGGGAAAGCAATAGTGATGGAGGCTTGAGCACGGAGTAACGATGCTGGGTGTAGGGACTTTTCTTCCCTGTTCTCCAACCCATTCTTAGGAAAGGTGGGAAAGGAGACAAAGTGAAATTGTTTCAAAGAGGACCTGAGGATGCTCTCAACGCCTCCCAGTCCTGGGGCCCTTGTTACCTAGGCTTTTGCTGTGACTTGCTACTAGACAAAAAATGGACACTTCTCAATAGCCACCCCCAATACAGCAGAATTCTGACCCAAGTCACTGAGTCTTCAACATATACCCCAAGCCCTGGCACTTAGATAGGAGGCCCTGAGGAGACCTACAAGTGACAAAAGCAGAATCACACAAAAAAATTATTAAAAACGAGGTGAGACTCAGAAGAGGGGTCTGGCCTCAAAGTCAAATTAGATGTTTGATTTTTTTTTAAGGTCTCCCAGGTTCAGTTCCTCACTGCAGCTTTACAGACATGGGGCCCTTATTTGACTACCTGGCTACCTGGAGGGCATCGCTTTTAGCTATGAAGGTGGAAGAAAAAGCCTTTGAAAATTGGCTCCTTTAGAAACAGTTAATGATTCTGCCATTTCAATTCAACAAACATATTAAGTTTATATGTACATTATATGTACATATATCTCATATATATCTCATTATATGTACAAGGCCTCATAGTAGATTAAAAAATAATACAACTCTTCCCTCAAATGCTTACAGTCTAGTTGAGAAGGGATTTCCTGCACAGGATTTTCTCCTCTGTCAATGTGGGGAAATATTAACCACCTGAAGGCAGGGGTAGTTTCAGTAAGTGTGGGATCCTCAGTATTCACCTATGAAATTACCCAGGGAAAATTTCAGCTTAATTTTCTGATAATTTCATCATCTGCTCTGACCGGGAAAGGTAACTTTTTAGGACTTGGAATCCAATTAACTGTCTGGGTGAATGTGCCAACCCCACTCTGCACCTTTTTCCAACATTCCCCCACCCTCTTCCTCCAATCAGAGGACAGAGATGCCAGATAAGCAACGGTGACAGTCCAACCCATGGGTCTTCCACCCCAATCTGGTCCTCTCCATACCAGCAGGAAAACATGTGGCTACCCAGGAAAGTGCTGGTGAGTAAAGGGAGGTCAGCCTTTGTGACCCGGCACTTCAGGGCATGGAAGAAACATCTCAGCAGCAGCTCATCCATTTGCTCTGGGAGAAAAAGACAAAAGCATATGCTGTTTGTCACTGAGTAGTCTACAAGAGGAAGCCAGGGGCTGGACAAAAAGTTCCCCCAAAGGCCTCTGAAAGGAATCCATTTCCCGGCACTGAAATGGCCACAGCTCCCTGGGAAGTGATTCCTTCTGACAGGGAAAACTGAATGAAAGAAAAGATATAATGATGAACCTAAGCTGTATAATCTCTCCAAACTCTGAGGACAACAATATTCCAACTTTGGCCTCCAGTGACCTAAATGGGTGGGCAAGGGGCCAGGAAAAGATGGCTGAAGCTGAAAAAGTATCCAGAACAGAGAAGAGTCAGAACTATGGAGACTGTGAGCCCATTCCCACCTCAAAACAAGGTATTTCCTCTCCTTATACCTAGGGGTTATTCTGTACAAAAAAGGAGAACAGAGAAGAGCAGTCACAGAAATGGAAAGGAGGAAAGCCCAAACTCACTTCTGCTAGGGCAGTACCTTGAAAAGTCTTGCTATCAGCTGGCTCCTGGTCCATTCCCGCTTCCCTCAACTCCTCGGTGGCTTCTGAAGGGTGTGTCTTGTGAGCCACACTGCTCTCCTCGTCTCCTTGCAGGGTGAGACGGTCCATGTCTCCCTGAAGAACAGAATCTACCTGTACTGGCCCCTCCTCTTTAGCGTTCCCCCTACATTCTGGAGGATCCTGGTCCAATAGGGGAATGGTGGGTGGAGATGATTTGTCCCCAAATTGCCTGGAAAAAGGCCATGTGAGAAATTCAGAGCAGAGCTGCAGTACTGACTAGAGACCTGGAAGGCAATTCAGGGAATGCCAGAAGCTAAGAGGGACTGAAGCTGAAGGGGCAAAGTAGATGGAAAGCTGAGGGTCTAGATTTTCATCCCAACTCTAACTCTTAGCTACAAAACTTCTACACCTTAAATCTGTCTTCTCTAAAATGAGGAAAGAATAACTCTTGCCTTGTCCCTAACCCCAATGGATGATAATAATGTACACAGCCTTCTCGTGGATGAAAATGGTTAAACCCAAAGCGAAGAAAAACCAAAATTTATAGTAGAAATAAAAACTCAAAAAATAATGTTGAAGATATATCTTAATATACCAAATAAGATTAAGCTGATTTGCAGTACCAGTATCCATTCTTTAAAGTATCCATGCCTTAAAAAAAGTGTTGATTTTTTTTTTGTTTTCACATTGCCTAGATTTTCCCTGTACCTCCCCCCTTTGCCTTCCCCCAACTTCAAATAGTCATCACTTGTAACAAATATTTTTTTTGTTTTTTTTAAAGAAAAGAGGAAGAAAAAATAGTTCAGGAAAACAGATCAACACACAGAGAAAATCTGACACCATATGCAATGTTCCACACCCATGAACTATATTCTCTTCCAAATTGCCCAATGTGGACCAAGAAGCATGAACTAGGAGGGAAGGAGCCACAGGATTGGTCCCACATCTGCCACGCTCTAGCTTTGGCCAGGTCACTCACATTTCTGAGCCTCAGTTTTCTCCTCTGTGAAATAAGGGAACTGAATGAAGTGGTCTCTAAGGAACTGTTAACACTTTGGGATTCTCTACGTAATAACAGGATTTATGACCAAACCCTCAATGTAAGCTTATCCCCTCAAGGTTCCAGAGCACTTTGAGGACACAGATGACTAAAAAGGAAAAAAACGGGACTTTTTTTGCTAAGGAATTTTCCTTTTACCATTTGGGCAAATGTTGAGGTTATTTTGTATGTTTTCAGAAATAACTGTGATCATATGCCATGGCAAGCCTGAAGGTTTGTGTGTGAGCCATGAAACACTGGCTATCAAAAGCTGGAGAAGAAAGCTAATCTCAGGTCATTGGGAGAACTCGAAGCAGGTCTGACTGCAGTCTACTTAAAATGGCCAGGAAAAACCGACCACATTTTCACAGCACAGACTTGGAAAGGCAGATGAGAACAGACTGAAACGTCCACAAACAATTCCAAGGTGTCAAAGGGTGAAAAAGGAATATGCTAACTCCCACGGCTGTACACAAGGCCACAGAGCCAAAGCCAAGCAGACCAGGTGGCCATGGGAGCCCCAGCCAGGGAGTCCATGAAAGGTGTGCTGGGGCATGCTCACCATGGCAGCCACCACCACCAAACCGCTGCAAACAGATCGAGAGAACCCTTGGTGGTGAATGATCTAAAAGAGTATCTATTCTGAGAGTACACTGCGGCTGCTACAGATCACACTGACCAGTCAAAGAGTGATCCTAATTAATATCTGCGATTAGCTTTCCAATCAGTGGACTCGGAATGCCAACCTAAGGCACTGTAAGGTGTGGGACAACGGGAGCAGAATGTCACATACACGGTCAGGTTTGGTCACTGAATTGATTGCTTTTGCTTAACTGTTTTTCTCTGTAACAAGGTAGGGCCCAATTCCAATGGCGGTAGGGTAAAAACAATGGATAGATCTGGAAATGACTAGGATGAAAAAACAAAAGGCATCAATAGAAAAAAAAATTTAAATATAAAAACAAGAAAATGCACTGTGAATTATGGAATCTTCGTGCTAAAAGAGACCCTGGAGGTCACCTAACCTAACCTCCACTTGAACAAGAACATCCCTGACAACTATTCATCCAGCTGCCACGTGAAGGCTTCCTGGGAGGGGAGCCCACCACTTAAAGAGGTCCCCCATTCCACTCCCAGACAGCTCTCACTAGGATAAAGATATAATAGGCCAACACATTAGTTGCTTTTCTATTTGAGAAAAATACAGCCAGGAAACATTGTTATTTCCTTCACAATTAGCAAAAACCCATGAACTTCTGAGAAAAAAAGTAAGAAGAAGTGAATCAAAATGATGAAACTGAGGAATGTCAAAATATAGCTGGTTATCATGAAAGTGACAGATGGCAGTCTATCTGGAAACAATTCTGAACTCCTCGACACTCTTCTATCACCAGGAAACAGCTTTTCTCCAGGTTCTGTGCTAAGCCTTATAACTACTATGCCACCTTCAGTTTCAGCAATGCCTTTTTACAAATAAGCATAGCTCTCTCTTTCAAAAGTCTCACACCAGCTTCATGACATGGGAAGAGACAGAAACAATTCTCTAGGTGAAGGGGGACTCAAGGATTACACTGGCCCATCTCCATTGTTTTTACAGATGACAATATTGAGGCTCAGAGAAGTCAGTGTTAAAGACAAGATCACAGCTCACACAGCTGGATCCTCAGTGCTGAGCTTTCTCTACTCCACCCCACTTCAGTAAGGAACTGAAGAGACAATATACCCACCACAAATGGTCAAGGTAGGTATGGAGCACCGTAAAACCTCTCCCCTTCAGTCCAGAGGCCAGCATCTCAGCTGTAGACATGGTGGCCACTCCAATTGCAACAGGAGCCCTAAGGAAAGAAGATGAAACACAATCAGGAGGAGGTAGAAGCTTTCAAGGGCAGATAACATTGAGTCACTCCTACATGGCAAAAGAAGCACATCCCCACTCATCATGGTAACTAAATGTAGTCAATTTTCATTTACCTTCAGGTGGTTTATTCATAAGAACTTCTATTTCCAATCAGTATTTCACCCTCTATGATTAAATGACATCTACGTAGATATCATTATCTAAGTTTACTCTTAATCTGACTCCATATACTTAGTAGCTCTGTGACTATTTAACCTGTTTGCCTCAGTTTCCTCAATTATAAAGTGGGGATAATAATAGCAACTACCTCCCCAGGTCGTTGTGAAGATCAAATGAGATAATAATATTCGTAAGTCAATTACCACGGTGCCTGGCATACAGTAAGCACTACATAAATGTTAGCTATTTTATCCTCCTCATCATCATCATTTTACACACCAAGGACTAAAAAACAAGAATACTGGTGGCACCCTTTGAAACAAAAAAAAAATGTTTTTAATTACCTTTCCCACTTGCAAGGAAAGAATGAGTTAGAAAATCATGAAAACTTTACACCAATAATCTGAACTAGTCTCAAAGATGATACTACCCATCTCTAAAGAGAAAGTAGGAAGCAGGAAGAAAATATCTATCAAGCAAGAGCTAAATGGAAAAGCTCTATTGTTTCAGTTTCTTCTAAATTGGGTTTTTATAGGGTAGCTTAGCTATTGTGACAGGTTGTAAATTCTTAGACTATTAGATATAAGCATGTATATTCAACCACACCTTGCAAAATTCAAATATAAAAACATTTGATCTACCCTGTTGGATCATTATGGTTTCCTTCCCTATTTTCACTGCTTTCTTCCACTGGCACAAATAATTAAGAGAAGATGACAGTGACCATGTGTATGGCCACTGGCTGAGTAGGCAGGGAGGGGAGGTGGACAAGTGAGAAGAGAGAAGAAAGGAATGGAGGGGCTATATAAGTCCTGTGAATAAAATTTAAAGCCAAAGAAAGCTTCCAGTACTTGAACTCTGAAAAAGTTTCAACAAGACTTAATGGCGCCAACCATTCTATGAATCAGTTTCTATTATGTACAAAATCCAGATCAAAACATCCAGCTGCTTAAGTTCTAAAAAGAGTGATTGCCATTAGGTTCAGAACAAAACTGAGTTAAAACTTAATATGATGTCATTTTATTAACAAATTTTCTAAAGGCCCAAATTAACCGCATCACCCTCATTTCCCAGCCATTCTCCACCTTGACTGTGATACAGGGAAAAAAATGAATGAAACAACCATCCTTTTCTATTCACAAGCAGACAAGTAAATATTTCCAAAGCTGCTTCAAGTACAGTACTTGATTCTAGGAGGCTCCAGTGTGAGCAGGTCAGGGGGAGAACCACCAAAGAAATGAAATTAAATTCTTTCTTAAACTCTTCCTTTCTTCTTTTTCCCCTTGTCCCACAATATGCACATACTCTCTTACTTGCTTTCTCTCTCTCTCTCTCTCTCAATAGAGATATACCAGCTGAGACATATGGAACCCCATACTACAGTCACTTAAGTGACCAGCTCTCCCTAACTAGGGAGGACCCAATCAAACTACTAAACTGTCTGTCTTCTCATTTCTGCCCCTATTTGCCTCACAAGTTTTTATCTCCTTCCCTCCCCCCTCATAAAGTTGTCTTTTCTCTGGTTCACCCTTCTTCTCTTTCCTTATCGCTCCCCAAAAGATGAAACTGGCTGGTACAGTACCTGCTGCCGACCAAGGTGACGGCACAAAGGTCACCCTGCTGTACCTGAGGCAGGCCACCAGGTGGCACCATGAGGCCAGGCAGCATCAAATCTGTAACAACAAAACAGAAAAAAAACATTTCTACTCAAAGCATTTCACTTGGCTAACTTCCTGCTTTGTCACATCAGTAAATTACAGAATTTTAGAGCTGCAAATAAGTAACCTCCAAGGTTATTTATTTCAGTTAGCTCAAAAGCTTCTGGAATAAACTACCGAAGGAATGCTTGAGCATTAAAAAATAAAAACATGGTAACCACCATTTTATTTACTTCACATGGTTTGGGTATAGTCCCATACACAGGTAGGAGACTAAACCCAATGACCCCAGGAATGACCTCTGTCCAATACCAGAATACCAAGACAACTCCCCTCTGAAGTCATCATCCTTTGCTCTATTGCTTTTCGGGGGATCTAGAAAGATAAACTGGAATTACCACCTAACTCTTAATGTCAACCCTAATAATGTCTTCTGTATGCTCTGACCAAAACCTGAAGGGAAAGGCTATATATATATACTCTTTCCATTCAAACGAAAGCCCCTATTCTAACCTTCAGGATTGGATGTTGTTTTTTCACCCCAAGAAACACCAAGACACTTCTTCACTAAAACGCAATCACATATCTATATACCCCTTTCTCTAATCCTTACTAATTCCCTGGACTCCTCTGACCCCTCTATCAGCTAGGGAGATTCCGAGATTTAAATTAAGGTGCTTGACTAGGAAATGCTAGTTTTGATTAGGAGCATGTCCCATTACCTCATTAACTGTGGATTCCTTGTAATTCACACTTACTGCTCTGGTCTGAAGAATACCCAAAACAAACAAAGAATTTTTCAAAATTTGTTTTCAGATCGAGAACAATTCCAGAGACTATGCACAAAAAGAACAGAACCAAAATTCCCATTCTGCCATTCACTTAACCAAGAAAAGAATGGTGCAAATCACAGTCCTAGGGGACAGGAACTCATTTGTAATCTTAACACTCAACTATAGTAGATGCTTAAAAAAAAAAGCATGTTGGATAGAAATGAATTAGTAGGGGGTGCTCCTGATTACCTAGATGATGGAATACAGAGGCTCTCCAGCTCCTGCCAGACAGCTCTGGGAGGATAAGTTTATATGGATATTTTTCTTTAAGAGGAAGGAGGGAGGGAGGGATGTACCTAAGGATATCTTGACCCCCATTCCAAAAGGGAAGCATGAACCTGGGGATACTGAAACTAAGGAAAAGAGACTTCATGGAGGAACTACTCGAGTCCCCCACATTAAAAGCAGGCCAGCTAGGGATCCCAAACTCTGACATGAAGTGTGACTAAAAGCTACATACAGAAGGAAAATTACCAATTTAATGTTATTACTTTGGCAAGATTTATGCCTGGTTTGAATTACCAAGAGTAACAATGCCGTTAAAAACTGAAAAAAAAATTAAGAACAGCATTAGACCTCTCTCCTTGAGGACACAAGTTGTTAGATGTATCACTGCAATAACAGGAAATGAGGTTAGGCAGAGAGGCAAAGCAATGGGACCAGATGGGCTTTATCACTACACTATGGTCTGTATGCTACATAGGCTCCAGATACATATTTGTGGATTCTTTTCAATGAGCCTCATAAACAAATCTAGACTCCTGATGCACTTATCTTACACCTCTTACCCCTTCCTTAGTGGAATCTTAAAAACAGCCCAAGTGAACAGACCGACACTTCCTTACCTGCTCCCCCAACCAGCTTCTCCAGCACAGGAGGCCATGTTGTGAAGACCGGCAGAAGATTAGGGTAAGACCATAAGGTGTACACTGTCCAAAAAGAGGCCCACAGTAATGAAATCTTACATTTTTGTGGAATTTTACAGTTTTCAAAACACTTATTGGCTGGTCCAAATGCAGTGGTAATTATAATTAATTTATTACAGTCAGTTACAGATTTCTTTAAAAGCAAAAAAAAGAGGGGAGAGGTGCAGCTAGGTGGTGCAATGGATAGAGTTCTGAGCTTGAAGTCAGGAGGACCTGAGTTCAAAATCTGGCCTCATACAGACACTTGACACTAACTGTGTGACCCTGGGCAAGTCACTTAACCCCGACTGCCTCACCAAAAAGCAAAAACAAAAACAAATACCACTCATTATCCTCATAAGAACTATATCAAATAAACATGGCAAACATTCTGCAAATGAAAAAACTGAGGCACAGAAAGGTTAACGGACTTGCCCAGGGTCACTTAGCTAGTAAGTAGCAGAGACAGGACTAGAACCCAAGACTTTTGACTCTCGGTGCAAGGCTGTTTCCAATACATCACATTGCTCCATAACTCTTATTATCTATACTGTTTTATTGGGCACTGATTGTTCTGTCTTGTAATGTTAATTTTTTCCACAGTGTGTGCCCCATATGCCTATCAGACAGGCTCCTTTGAAGGCCAGGACTATGTGTTATACTTCCACGTACAGAAGTGGGCCTGGAGGCCACCTGGGATTCTTAGTCGAGGAGCAGCTACAAAGCACTCACTAGGAGCCAGACACTAGGCTAAGGGCTGGGATTGCAAAGACAGGCAAAAACCCTCCCTGCACATTAGACTTACCCAGTCAGTCCAGCTTCTAAGAGAGCCAGCAAACTACAGCACTAGAATAAAGGGAAGGCCCTGGCTCAGCATCCAGCTGTGAGGTGCATAGTTAAGGGGCAGGCGCCACCCCATCTGTCACAAATGTCCTTTACATGTCCTCAACGGGCTGCTTCCCTTAATCTCTGTATCTATTATCAATGGTTAATTGGATTTCCCCTTTTCTGGGACCCAGGTGGGTATTTTAATTAGGCTCAACCCTTTTGAATCTTTTTCTCATGATATTTCTGTACATCATGCCAGGATGCTAAACAATAATGGAGGTCATGCAACTGTGCCAACTGGATTCACTACAAATTCAAAGTATTTAATTTCAACCAGGCCCTCAAGGTAAACTTTATGTTCTCCTTTGATTGCTTCTTTCCCCTGTTCCAAACCTGGAACTCTCTCCTGGCCCCACTCCAATATGGCACTTCCAAACCCACCCTTAGCAAATGAGCTCTTAGCTCTTTGCTTCCTACTTTCTGAAAAAATCTGTTCTGAACTCCCTCAGATCCCCTAATTCACACCTCCATAACCTACAATTTCACCCATCTTCCTCTTTCACTCCAATCTCTGAGGAAGGGGAGGCCATATATCTATTTCCAATGTCTCCTGAACTACAAGGCTATATTTGTGACAGTTTGCTAGATGTCTCCTCCTGGATGTCCCATTATCATCCATTGTGTCCGAAAGAGAACTCATTATCTACACCATTATAGGAACCACCAACCTCCCAGTTGCCCAGATAACATTGGGATCATCCTATTCCTTAGTCCACATACCAAGTTAGCTGCCAAGTGTCATTGATTCCACCTTCACAACACCTTTCACATACCTGTTCCTTTCTCAATTCCCAAACACCTCCACCCTAGTTCAGGTTCTCATCAGCTCTAACCTGGGATACTGCAATAGCTTCCTACTTGGCTGCCCTACTGCCATTTCTTCTGTTCAATCAATTCTCCACACAGCTGCTAAATCAACCTTCCTAAGGCACATGTCTGATCACATCATCTAAAACCTCCCACTGCTCTCAGCCTGACACTTGAGGCTTCCTATATCACGCTCCAAACTACCTTCCTAGTCTTATTTCATATTTCTCCCTTCCATTCACTCCATATTCCAGTCAAACTGGATTATCAGCTATTTCCAAAACTTGACATTCCATTTCTCACTTCTTTTCATTCATAAAAGTCCCTATGCCTGTAAAATACAGCCTCCTGATATCAGTCTTTCAGAACTGTTATCTTCCTTCAAGACTCCACCAAGTCTGGAAACTCTTCTGATGCCCACAGTTGTTAGCACCCTCTCCCTCCTCAAAGTATTTCATATTTACTTATTTATGTAAATGCATCTCCTCCCTCCCCCAATAGAATGTAAGCTCCTTGAGGGCTGGAACTGTTATGGTTTTGTTTTTCTATCCCCAGCACAGTGCCTTGCATACAGTTGGCACCTAATGAATGTTAACTGAAAGAAAAATAGCTAAGGATAGATTTCTCCCCTCCCCCTTTAAAGGAATATTATATGGGATACTTCATGAAATCCTACCATTCTCAGGATCCCTGCTTTTTGCCTGGTAATCCTATTAATAACTTTTTCTCCTTCACTTCAGAACTTTCCTTTCAATCCATTTCCTTCTATCTCCCTTCACACTAATTCCCCCTCTCTTCTTCCCTGTTTCCCATGTCCTCTTAGTCATGAGGATTCTCATTCTAGTATAAGGAAAACAGAAGTATGGAAAAGACTAAAGATGGGCAACTGGCTATTTTTTTTTTCAATTGTTCATTTAGTTTTGGGAGAAGCACAATGGAGAGGGAAGCAGAGGGAGAGAGAAATGGGAAAGAGAACTAAGTGTCACTCCAATCACATACCTGTGGGATACAGAGTTCCTTTCAGCTCAAACAGAACAGGGTTTCCACCACTCACATACACAGCGACGGCATCTCCTTTGTGAGCGTACAGCTTCACAATGTTGAGCTCGTCCTTCCCAGGCACTAGTTCCGACAGCTGCTCTGGCCCAAAGGCAGGGAAAGCAACTGCCACATCAGCCCGAAGCTTCCTCCTACAAAAAGCACACCCAGCATCATTAAAGGGGTGAATGCAGAGTAGCCTCCCTCTGACAAAGTGGGCTGGGGGAAATGACACATGCTTCAAAAGACAGGAAATGAAATCTCAAGGAAATATTGCTTCTGTAGTAGCATTTGAAGGCCTACCAAGTGCTTTCCTCACAACAACTCTGGGAGGGAGGGAAGAGAAATGGTAGGTATTATCACTTTCATTTTACAGACAAGGAACTGAGAGTCAGAGGGATAAATTCATTTGTCTCAGGTCATATGACCAGCAAATGGTCATATAAGAACTTGAACCCAGGTCTCCAGGCTCTTGGTACAAATTTAATTCCATTCACCACACTATCTCAGTAAAAAACACTTGGTTTCCTATGCCAGATTCCTTGCTCTTTCTACTATCCTTAACCTGTCCCCATGCAGTTTCCTGGTGAAGAGAAATGGGCTGGAAGGACTCATGCTCTTATTTATGGTACAGAAAATGGGCCTAGTGAGTTATAAAAAGTCACCAGGTATACATCAAACACAGATGATGGGGCAGCTAGGTGGCACAGAGGATAGAGTACCAACCTTGGATTCAGGAGGACCTGAGTTCAAATCCACCCTCAGACACATAACACTTACTTAGCTGTGTGACCCTGGGCAAGTCACTTAACCCCACTGCCTAGCCCAAAAGAAAAAAAAAGACAGCTGATAATAGCTAGCATTTATATAATGCTTAAATATTTACAAAGGACTTTGCAAATATTTTGTCCTCACTACTCTGGGAGGTAGGTGCCAATATTATCCCCATTTTACAGAATAGGAAACTAAGGCAGACAGGTTAAATGGCTTGTCCAGGTTCACACAGTTAGTGAGTGTCTGAGACTGAATTTGAACTCTGGTCTTCCTGACTCCAGTTCTAGCACTCTATCGACTGTGCCACTTGTTTTTCTAAATTGAAATGAAAAGACTCCTTAGCCCAGGACACTTCCCCTATGTACCTGTTTCTCTTCTATATTTGCCATGAAAAATGAGTCAGGCCACCAGCATATCTATGGTAGAGCAGAGGACAAAATAGCACTGATCCCAAAGTGATCCTTCATAATACTGCTTTGGCAGTCACAGGTCCTTATTATAGCTTTTGCCACTACTTAACCCCATAAGAATCTCATTCTCCACTTAATCTACCCCCTCTCTTGACTCCAAAGGCAGCTTACCCCCTTCCTAACTTCCTTATTTCTGTTAGGAACTTTACCAAACTTCCAGTAACTCAAGTTGGAAACCTCAGTGTTATCTTCTCACTCTTGCTGAACCCTCAGATCCAATTAGTTGCCTCTCTTCTCTGGGCATCACAAGGTGCCCAACCAATAGTGTGCCACGTATCAGAGCCCTCTGGCTGGCCACCTGCCATTCCTTAACTTTCCATATAACCCACCCTTATTCTCGGCCCTAAAGGTCCCTGATAACGTTCTCTAACTCCTGTTTTTACTTCAGTTTCTCCTTGGTTACATCCTGCAACCTGCTCATAGCCTCCATGCACCTTTCCATTACCCCCTTCTGTGGGATGCTCATCTTCAGGGAATCATACATGCCTCCTCAGAGTGCGTTCATGAATGCAGAGGCATCTGTGAATGCCTCTTGGGAGATATTCAAGTTCCAGGTTTGCTAGCTATCTCTGGACAAACTCATCTACTTCCCCTGTAAAATGAAGTAATTGGCCTGGTCCCTCCCCGCTCTCCGGGAATGTGACGGCTCTGCAACCCCAGGGACTGCCTGCCTTCCACCAGAACCTCCGAAATACTACTAAACACGTGCATCTTCGGGTGGGGCAGGTCCTCCCAGCAAAGTTTTCTCTACAGCCCAACCCCCCTCCCCGGCCCTCCCATACCCTGCCGGGCTGGGAGAGGTCCAGAAAGCCCAGTGGCTAGAAAGGAGTCCTGGGGGCCAAAAGTACGAGCCCCCTCAGGCTGCCCAAGCCTCCCCGGGTCCGGGCCAGCAAGCCCCTCCGGTGCTCACCATCGCCCAAGTGCACCGAGCCCTTCTTGGGTCCAAGGCCCCCAAGATCCCCCAGCGGCCCCCGGGCCCGAGGGCCCTCGAGATCCCCCGAGCCTCTCCCGGGTCCGAGGGCCCTCCTTGGGCGGCACTCCCTTCCCCCCCCCGCCCCGGACCCTCACCTGTCCGACCCCTTGACTGCCGTGTTGGACTTAACCCGAAAGGCCTTAGAGAACATGACGGCGTACACGCCGCTACCGCCGCCGCCGCCGCCGGGGAAAGCAAGCAGGGGGCGGAGGCTCGGCCTGGGCTGGGCTGGGAGCTGCCCCGGCGCGCCTGCTAAGGAAGGCACCCCATCAGGGCGACGACCATCTCGGCTCCCGGCCCGTGGCCCTGGGGGCTGCCATGTCGGTCCTGCTCCTAAAAAGGCCCGGCCAGAAACAGAGGCTCGTCCCTCTCCCGCCCCCGGCGATGATACACAGGCGGGAAGCAAGAGCGGCGTCTAAAGGAGGGCCCCGCCCCTTCCGGTTACAGGCTCCGCCCCCTAGGGACCACGCGCTCTCTGCTTCTTCGCGCGCCCCGTGCGGCTGCAGACCATTTCCTGTGTCTGCTCTCCGAAACTAATCCGCCAGCCTTCTTTTCTCTCTGTCTCTCTCTGTCGTCTGACTTTCTCTCTTCTCTCTCTCTCTATGTGCTCTCTCTGTCTCTCTCTGTCTTTCTGTCTGTCTGTCTCTCTTTTAACCATCTTCTCAGGCTCAGAGCCTAGGAGTCATCCTGGATTCCTTGCTATCTCTCACCCACCCTTATCCAAGATGTTGCCGAGGTCTGTGCGTTTCACCTTTGTAGCATCCCCCGAATACACCTCCTTCTCTGCTCTGACACTGCCACCCCTCTGGTGCAGGTCCTCATCACCTCCCACCTGGACACTGCAAAAACCTGCTAGCGGGTCTTCCCCCTCCCACCCTACTTAATAGACTCAGGTGGTTCCATATCACCTCCTTGCCTTGTAACTGGCTTGTGCTGAACTTTACCGACACTTCTTTGATGATTCAGAAGGCATCTTGAGATCTTTTGGTATCCCATAAGTCAATATTCTGAATACTATTCCTTATTGAATAGAAATGAAGATGTGGGTAATGTGCAAGCGTATTAGTGGAATTGAACTGTCTCTAAGGCAAACTCCCAAAGTGGTTTCACTGAATGAATCCCTGATGTTCTTTCAAAAGCCCTTTTTTCTCTAAAAGTGGATTATGGAGGAGGGATTTGATTGAAGGTTCTAATTATTTGGCCTCTGGTTAGTTGCGGTTTCCATATAACTTATGCTCTAAAATAAGGGAGTTGGATTGGAGGGTCTCTGAAGTCCCTCCCAGCTCTAGATCCATAATCCTTTGATCTTTTGTTATTTATTGCTGCCTGGGAGCCACGGAAGAATGGAAAGAGTACTGGTCTTAGAGTTAGAATATTCTGGGTTCCAGTACATACTAACTATGGGACCGTGAATGAGTCACTTTACATATCAGAACCTCAGCTTCCTCAACTACAAAATGAGGATAATAACTCACATTTATGTAAACCTGAAGAGCATCATGGTAGGGTGAAAAGAGGACTAGATTTAAAGTCAGAAGTCCTGAGTTAGAATGCTGAGTCTTCTACCATTAGAGGCAGCTAGAGGTGGAAAGCTATGGATAGACTGTTGGGCCTGCAGCCAAGAAGACCTGAGTTCAAATGTGACCTCGTGTACTTCCTAGCTGTGTGACCCTTGGCAAGTCACTTTACCCTCTTTGCCTTAGTTTCCTCATCTGTCAAAGGAGCTGGAGAAGGAAATGGCAAAATCACTCCAGTGTCTTCGCCAAGAAAATACCAAACGGAGTTATGAAGAGTCACACATGTGTAACCCTACTAGACAACTCATTTAACTTCACTGGAAGGGGCATCTAGGTGGCGAAATGGATAGAGCACCAGCCCTGGATTCAGGAGGACCTGAGTTCAAATTTGGCCTCAGACACATAACACTTACTAGCTGTGTGACCCTGGGCAAGTCCCTTAACCCCACTGCCTAGCCAAAAAAAAAAAAAAAAACTTCACTGGACCTTAGTTTCCTCACCGTTAAAATAAAGGAATTGGACTTGATGACTGTTAAAGACCCAACTCTAAATCCAAGATCTTGGAAACTATAGCCAAAAAGGCATGGCATTATAGATACAGGGCTAGAGCTGGAGCAAGGAAGAGTTGGTTTCAAATCCTGCCTCAAAAACAATTGTTGTCAAAATAAAACAAAACAAAAAAAACTCAACTGTTGTGTGACTCTAGAGAAGTCACTTCAGATCTCCAAGTCTCAGTTCCTTGTCTGTAAAATGAGGGTGGCCTCTAAGGTCTCTTCCCACTCTAAGTCTATGAATATCTGATCTAGTCCATCCTCCATATTTTTACATATAAAGAAACTGGCACTCAAAGAGTTCAGATTTGTCCATGGTCACTTGTGCAGCAAATAAAAAAGCCAGAATTCAAACCCAGCTACCTGACTCCAAATCTGGCATTGTTCACCCTGTTCTATGCTGCCCCCACAATGGGTCTTTATTGCCTCAAGGATTAATTACAAACACTTCAGCTTGGTGGGGGTGAGGGTGGGAAGAATGGGCATCAAAGTTACCCCACCCCACTTAGCTCTGATGCATTTATTAGGGGAGAACTCATAATGGATTCATAGACTCAGTGTGAACAAGGCTTGGATGCCTTCCTAAGTGGGATAGGAAAACTGTTCAGATTGTTTGAAGGACTTAGAAACACCCTGTGGGGCTGGGATAAAACTGGGAAGCTAATTGGGATTGAGATCCAAGCAAGTGGTGACCCAGAAGGAAGCAGTTTGGGTTAAAGCCTCTGAGAAGAAATTACTTGAAGAAAATTACTTAGCCTCAGCCTTTGTTTCTTCTCTCTCAGTCTCTTCTCTTCCCCAACATGCCTTGGCCAGAGGAAGAACTTATGCCCTTCACAGCTCCTCATAACTTACCGCACCCCCACCTCTCCAAACTTCTTACCTCTTAACCCTCCCAACTACACAATAATGTAGTGACAGCTGGTTTCATTCATTCATTCACAGTTCTTCGTTCATTGACAACTAGCTGAAACTCCCTCTTTGTTTCCCTTTAAATTTCCAGTTTCCTTCCAGTCTGAGCTAAAATCCCACCTTTTGCAGGAATCCTTTCCTGAGCCCTCTTAATCCTAGTGTAGCGGTGGGCAACCTGCAGCCTGGAGGCCACATGTGGCCTTTGAGGTCCTTGGGTGCAGCCTTTTGACTGAGTCTAAGTTTTACAGAACAAACTCTTTTATTAAGGGGATTTGGTGAGGTTTGGATTCAGTCAAAGAGCTGAACTTGAACACCTAGAGGGCCACGTGTGACCTCAAGGCCACAGGTTCCCTGCCCCTGTCCTAGTGCCTTTTTTCTGCTGATTATTTTCTGTTTATCCTGTATATAGCTTGTTTGTGTGTGGTTATTTGTATGTTGTCTCTCCCAATTAGACTGTAAACTCCTTGAGGACAGGGGTTCTTTTTTTTCTTTGAATTTGTATCCCCAGCACTTAGTACACTGCCTGGCACATAGTAGGTACTTAATAAGTGTTTATTAACGACAGTATCCCCAGGGCAGCAGTGACTATTGGTAGTGTCTTCATTAGGAATCAAGAATAAATTGTACTCAGTACAGAAAGGCAGATTCAAGGCTCCACAAGGAGGCCCACAGAAAAGCTACAACTTGCCCAAGGTGAAGGTCATGAGTACTCCCAGGAAGGAGAAAAAAAAGAACTTCCAGCAAACTGTGTATTCTAAAGCTTGAGACTGCTTTCTGTTGAACTCTGTATAATGTAGGAGAATATTTCACAGACTTTGGGGTCAGGGAGAAGAGGAAGTAATGATATGTTATATGTTACCATAGTAAATACTCATTTCTAAAAGCTGATTAAGTCAGGTTGATTAATTGATATCTATTGATAATTGTGGGGAAGGGGAATAGAGCACACAAGGGCTGGTGAGCTTTATAGTATTAGAAAGAAACCCTCAATGCTTCATTGCTACCCCTAGAATCCCTAGGAGAGACATAGCCAGTGCTGCTTGGAAGATTCAATTTGTCAATGCATTTAGGAATTCTAATAAAGACCTCTAGAGTCTATATGTATTACAATGGCATTTAGAACCTCTCACATTCTGGCCCCAGCCCACCTGCCAGGTTTTCTTCACATTTCTCCCCTTCATGCATTCTACCTCCTAGCCAGACTGGCCTATTTGCTCTTCTTTGAATTCAGCATTTAACCTCCTGCCTTCTGATCTTTTCACAGACAGTCATCCATGACTAAAATGTACCTGTTCTCTTAGAATCTGAAGATTTCTTCTAGGCTCCCCTGAAATACCACCTCCTCTATAAAGACCTTTCCTGACCCCTTTAGTTAGTAACCCTCTTTCCCTCCTCAAAATATCATACCCATACTTATCTGTTTTCCTGTTGTATCACTCTCTTTCCACATCATCGTACCTCTAACCCATAGCATTCTCTCTTTGAGAGTACCCCCAACCCACAACACTCTCTCTTTGAGGGCAGAGAATATTTCAGTCTTGTTATTGTACCATGAATCCCCAGCAGTGCCGGGGTACAGAGTAGAAATATTTTGTTCATTAGAGTCAGTTATAAGCAACTTGCCCAAAATCACAGTGAAAGTGGGGAGAGGCAACTCCTGAATCAAGGTCAGTATGCTTCTATAGAAAAAAGTGGTTTTGGAGTTAGAAGCTCTGGGGTTTAATTCCACCTCTATCACTTAGGATCTGTGTGACTGGGTAGGTCACAACTCTGTAAAATAAAGGGGCTTGATGCTTCTAAGATTCCTTTGTAGTTGTAAAGCTATGATCCCATAAACAAGTATAGAAGAGGTATCTTAGCTAACAGAAGAAACACTCATTTGGATTTTGGAGGGACCCACATAGATGGCTATTCACTTACTCAACGGCATTTTAGCACACTCTTCAACAGTGGAGTGTGTTTGGGTTTGAGTGTGTGCAGACATGTCTGTGCTGTCTGAAGTTGGTGTCCATTCCAGCCAACCTTTGATTCATTTGTGGGCAAATGTTGAGCCGTGACCCATGGTAGCAAGAAGGAATTCCATTTTCAACCAAACAGGCCTGCACGTCTGGCTCCAACCAGTCTAACTTTGGACCCAAGACAGGCAGTTTCTCCTTGATTTTAAAAGGGCACACTGAGTCAGGTTTAATTGAGCTAGCTGTCACTCACAGCAAGAGCAAAGTCACTAGAGATCCTTTGTGAAGGCTCCTTAGCAACAAGCCTTGGTGTTCATTGCAAATGAATTTTTTTTAAGGCAGGTCTGAACAAGCTCTAGGTAGTAAGATTTAAAGATTATGGGTCAGGTTTCCCTTCATTGTATCCTCTCAGGTAGTGGGAAAGTTCAAAGGGGATAGTCAATGACCATCTCTCCACCCTCTCAATTCCTACCTTCTCAAGAAAATACCATCAAATATGAGTCCCTCCTTGATCCTCTCAGTTGCTGGTTCCTCTCTCTCAAATTACCTTGCGTTTACTTTGTACCTGTAGTAGTTGGAGCATGAGTGGGAAGGGCCCTGGTCTTGGTAACTGCTGGAGTACCTATGTGCTCTGGTCCCTTGCTTAAGGATTCATGCCTTGGGATGACACATTGTCCTCATTATTTCCTGTAACTGTGGGATTTAAAAAAAAAAGATGACTAGGGTTTGAGCCAGGCAGAACCTTTCATTCAGTAGTTTGTAAGAGGCATCAGGACAGAAGAAAAATTCCTCTATCTTCCTTCTTTTCAAGCATGCCACTTGGGATTCTGCCAGCTCTCATTTATACTTCCAAGTTGAGTGAAGGAGATTTTTCTTCTCCCTCCTCCCCCCCAGCTGCTATGGCAGATAAATACAGATGGCAAACAGACTATGTACTTGCCTAAGTGAACCTGAGACAGAACCTGAAGCCCTTGGATGCCTCTTCTGTTTGTGTGTCTATCTCTGAGCACAGATGACTGAACAGCGATCAGTGAACATTTCCAGCATTAGCGGCTACCTCATTAGCTCAAGAGTTCTGAGTCAATGACTTTGATGGACGTGGCTCTTCTCAGCAATGCAAGGATGTAAGATAACTCCAAAAGACTCATGATGGAAAATGCTATCCACACCCAGAGAAAGAACTATGGAGTCTGAATGTAGATGGAAGCATACTATTTGCTCTCCTTTTCTTTTGTTGTTTTGCTTTATTGCTTCATTCTCATGGTTCCTCCCATCAGTTCTAATTCATCTTTACATCATGACTAATGGAAAAATATGCTTAATATGAATGTATAAGTAGAGCCTATATCAGATTGCACACTATCTTGGGGAGGGAGGAGGAGAGGAAAGGGAAGAAAACTTAAAACTCAAAACCTTATGGAAGTGAATGTTGAAAACAACAAATTAATTAATTAATTATTTAAAAAAGAAAACTGTAATTCCAAAAAGCAAAAAACAAACAAAAAAAAGAGTTCTGAGTCAAGTGCATATTGCTAATGAAAGGTGACTTCTGCAACTAGCTATGGAGCTGGGCATCTGTTGAAGACACTTCCAGTGATGCCCATGCCTCTGGCTTCTTGCTAAAGAGCACGTGCTATGTTGGGGCTAGTTCAATTAGTCAAGCACATATTTACAATGCCACGGGTATGTAGCTGCCATTACCGCTAATGTGATGAAAGGGAGAGAAATTCTCTCTCCCTACCCATCAAGAAGTCAAAGAGAAAGGCAGCAGAGTGCCAAATGACACTCAAAAGAGACAGAGAGGAAGTTTCTCCTTAGTTCATATTAAGTTCAAGGATTTTCTTGGCTCAGTCACCAAACACCTTCAACATGGTTCCACAACCTCGGGGACCAATAAGGGATTACTGCATCATCCAAAAGCACCAGTTGATTAACAAGGGGCATTTGTGATCATACTGGAAGGTATCAAGGCGCAGACCCATCCTACTTCATGGGGGATGGCCCCTACCATATATTTAAGTTTATGTATACTTATATGTGTACATATCCGTATTCTCAATAGAATATAAGCTCCTTGAGGACAGAGATTTCATTTCTTAGTACCCCCCACCCCACTACCCTACCCATAAACACTTAGCATAGTACCTGGCACATAGAAGGTGTTTAATCGATGCTGGTTGGTTGATGATTGATTTGTGTTGCTACTAACTCCAAGTAACAGCTTTGTGTGTATGTGTATACATATATGGGTATATATGTATATACACCCATATATGCACAAATCGTTATGGAGATTGGAAGTTCTCTTTCCACCACTTAGTCTTTTTAGTTAAAGGCCACTACTGATGGCAGAGTCCCTTCCTCCACTACTCTCTAGGGCAATGTCTAAGCTAGACCAAAAGGAGGACAAATTGATTCAGAAGAAGAAATCAGAGATGACCACAAGGTTCTATGCAGTCTTTCTCTGAATGCATATAGTATTTACTGTCAGTATAGATTTACTTGAGAGCTTAAACATTAAAGGTAGGTAGAAGGTTAACAAATACTCAAGTTTCTGGGTTTGAACTGGCAGACAGAGAACTTGGAAAAAGTTTTTCTGTCCTTTTGGTTATGGCTGGCTCCACACTAGCTATCATCATGGGCAAGTGACCTTTCCTTGAACCAGTTTCCTCATCTGTCCAATGAAGCTATTACCAGCTCTCCTTACAAGTATTTGTGGGGGACAGGTTTTGTAAATCTTAGAGTGTAATAGAGATATTTGCCATCCATCCATCCATCCATCCATCCATCCATTCATTCATTCATTCACCAAGAATTTCTGAAGAGGCTGCTGTCTTAAGCACCATGTTAGGAAATATGGCTTCAAAGACAAAAACGTACCCTCAAGGAGTTCACGTTTCATTGAAAAGGAATGGCACGTACATATAATATTAAATATAAATGTAGCCAGGGTTACAAATAATACATGCAAAGTAATTTCTAAGAGGAGGGCCCTAGTAAGTGGTAGGATTAGAATGGGCTTCCTGTAAGAGGTGGCACTTGGAATACACTTTGAAGAAAACTGGGGATTGTGAGGTGGAGGGAAGAGGAGGGGAAGAAGAGAGTGAGGAGGAAAAAGTGAATTCCTGTCATGGAGGCATAGCTTGTGCAACTACATCAAGGAAGGAGATAGAATATCCTGTATAAAGAAAAGCAAGCAAGACAGTTTATTTATTTTTTCAATGAGCAAATGTTTATTTTTTCTCTCTCCCATTCCCCTGCCCCACCCTTCCACTGGGGGAAAAAAAAAAGAAAGAAAAAGAAAACCTTTGTAATAAACATGCATGGTCAAGCAAAACTAATTCTCATATGGGCCCCTTCCAAAATGTGTGTCTCATTCCAAGAAGGCCAGTTTGGCTGGTTCTAAGGTATATAAAAGAGAATAATGTGCAGTGAGCCTGGAAAGGTCATCTAGAGCTAGACTGTGCAGGACTTTAAAAGAATCATCATCATTGTCATCTTCATTATCATTGCAGCAACTGGTTGATGGAGCCCAGGAACAGGTAGGACTGTGCTGAGGACCTAAATCATGGGGGAAGTTGTTTGGGCTCTAGCCAAGCATCCTAGGGTTTACAAGTTAGGCTCATCTCACCAGCCAAGAAGTCCAGTGCAGGAAAAGGGAGAAAAGAGAAGTGCATTATCTTCTCCAAGGCAAAAGCTGGGAACAGAAGCCTGAGATGAGTTTTTTCCTTCCCAGGACACAGGGAGAGGGAGGCAAGACAATGTTCAAGGGTTTCAAGGAACTTAAATTCATGGCAGGGGAGTGTGTGTGTGCAGTGAGGGAGGAAGTGCAGGGATATAACCTAAATATAAATATACAAATAAATATGAAAGATGAAAAGAGTCAGCCATGCAACTCTCCATTGCCCTTTGGGTGACTTTAAATTTTAATTCTTCAGAGAATGTGGTATTTCATTCTTTTTCAGCTATACAATACCATGAAAAGAATATTGGTATTAATAAAAGATGGGTCTTTGTTTCAGGGAGAAGCCTGGGGTCATTACAAGCACTGGCAACCAGGGAGGTCATTTTCAAAAGAAAGGCTCCATGTACCCTAAACTTTTTATAGCAACACTTTTTTGCAGGAGTGAAGAGCTGCAATCAAACTAAATGTCCTTTGACTGGGAAATTGCCAAACAAATTGTGGTACATGAATGTAATGGAATATTGCCGTTATTCAGCTGTTTTTCAGCTGTGTCCGACTCTTCATGACCCCATTTGGCCTTTTCTTGGCAAAGAGACTGGAGTAGTTTGCCATTTCCTTCTGCAGCTTATTTTATAGATGAAGAAACTGAGGCAAACAGGATTGAGTGATTTGTCCAAGGTCACACATCTAGTAAGTGTTGAACTCAGAAAGATGGGTCTTCCTGACTTCAGGCAATGGAATGTTACTGTGCTATAATAAATAATGAACATGAATATTGAGATGTAAGATATATGAACTGATTCAGTGAAGTAAGTGGAACCAGGAAAATAATATACACAATGATAATAACGTAAATAGAAAGAACCACCACAAAATAATCTACACTGAATGTTGTGAAACCATAAAAACCAAGCATGGCCCCAAAGAAGAGACATGAGACGACACTCCCCTTCACCAGAGTGGACCACAAGTATGAAACACAACATATAAACTCTGATATTTTCAACATGTCGACTGGTTTTGCTAATTTTTTTATTCTCTTCCTGTTTTTAAAATAATTCTTCTTTGTCTTTAAAATATGGAATGGCAAATATGTTTAATAGGAAAAAAATAAGGAATGGCTCTCTGGGAGGGAAAGGTGAGGGATACAGGGGAAAAATTTAGGCAATGTAAAAACAAAAGATATAAATAAAAATCTATTTTTAAAAAGCACTGGGCAATTTTCCAGAGGCAATCCAGCCCATTATCTTCCTCCTATTTAATTCTAAGCCAGTTGATTTTCCACCTGCATCATCTGGCCAAGATCCTTACTGGTGGAACAACTCTATGAGATGCCTTTATTTTTTTTTCCTGCGTGGACAGTTAGGCCAAATTCTTTTGCATGATTATGCATCTCATTTAGGAGGTTTGTTAGTGCTCAAATAATTAGTGAAATCAGAACAGCATCATATGCAAACAGGAGCAATCTACAGATGTCACCGTTTAGTATACCAGGGAATGTTTCTTCTACTTGGACTGCACATTGGACAACTTCCATGACCAATCAGCTAAAACTCCAAGCTCAAACTTCAGGATGTTGCTTCCTTATTAACTGGATTTACAATTTATAGATGTGCCTAGGGGGCCAAGTTTCCTCAACCCCTCTGAAAAATAATAAATTCTTGTGCTACATCTCGTTTAATCTAAAGTCTTTTGAATGACTGAAACGTTCTCACCTAGTTAAGATACCAAAGCTAAAATGGAGTGGTTTCTTGACTCCATCTTTAGACACTTTCTCAAGTTTTTTTTTGTTTGATTTTTTTGGTGAGGCAATTGGGGTTAAGTGACTTGCCCAGGGTCACACAGCTAGTAAGTGCTACATGTCTGAGGCAGGATTTGAACTCAGGTCCTCCTGACTTCAGGGTGGGTACTCTATCCACTGAGCCACCTAGCCACCCCCACTTTCTCAAGTTTTAAGATTGGCTATTTTTAGCAAATCTACTGGGGTTCCTTTGGCAAAGATCAAATCCTGGAGCCTATTAGTGGCTTAGGGAGGTTCTGCCTTTTCATAGTACAGTTAGGTGGCACAATGGATGGAGTGCCGAGCCTGGAGTCAGGAAAAAGAAGACTTACCTTCCTGAGTTCAAATCTGACTTCAGACACTAGTTATGTGACTCTGGGCAAATCACTTAACTTGGCTTGCCTCAGTTTCCTCATCTATAAAATGGGCTGGAGAAGCAAATAGCAAACCACTCCAGTATCTTTGCCAAGAAAACCCCAAATGGGGTCAGGAAGAGTCAAATATGACTGAACAACAACAACCTTTCTATGCCTTCTCCAATGCCTAAAGAATATCTAGAAAAGTTGATGTCACAGTTCATAGTCATACCCAGTGATTAACATTCTTCCACACTTCCAAATACATAGTGATACAAGTTAGCAAACAAATATTAATTTAAAAAAGTTTTAAGAGGTTACAGTCCCGATGCTTGCAACAGCACCTCTCCCAACCCAAAAACAATAAAGAAAAGAAAAATCAAGATTCTCTTTCCTTATAGAATTCCATAAGCATGTGGGGCTTTCCCCACAGGAATGGTGAAACTTGAGTTGGCTGTCAGCCTTTCACCCTCAGGTGAGAAACCAAATGGAGCTGGCTTGATGCTTCACTACTCTACTAGTTTCAGTTATTACCTACTCCTCTTCTCCTGTGAGACACTCCTCTCCCTGGAAGATTTGAGGGCAAACTTTCCATGGCCATTCAGCAAGAAGAGACAGACAGATGCCAATATGCTCTATGTCCTTAAGAACTGCACTTCAAAAATTATCAAGGCAAAATGTCTTTAAGCCCACTGGCCACGTTATCTGTGGGCTGTCCAGCTTGGTGATTTAAGTATCCTTGGAGTTCTACTGGGTGATTTCTTCAAAATTCAGTTTATCCTCAAAGTAAGCAGGAGAGATCAGCAGTGGGAATTGAAAGTGATTTTTCTCTCATTAGAAAAGGAAAAATATAGAAGAATAAGGTGCACTCTTCCTCTTGCTAGAATTGTACGCCTTTGTATTGTTGAGTAGTGCGTACCATGGGTCAGGCCCAGTGCTAAGTACTTTACAAATATTGTTTCATTTGGGCTTCACAAGAATCCTGTGAGGTATTACTATGATCCTTATTTTACAGTTGAGGAAACTGAGGCAGAAGGAGGTTAAGTGACTTATCCAGGGTCACACAGTTAGTGTCTTAAGTAGGATTTGAACTTAGATCTTCCCAACTCCAGGTCCACCACTCTCTCCACTGTGCCCTCTAGCTGTTAATGGTCAATATCACAATTATCTCAGTGGGTGTTTATAAAAGAAGGTCCCTCTTAACTTTAAGGGAGTGATATCTGTATGTGAATGGGGAAAGAACTGTCTGATTTTTAATAGCTTTTTGGAAATGACATTACAACTGAATAAGCAGTCCTCAGTCCTATAGCTGTTTATGGAAATAGTCAGCCAGTTGAGGGGTGGCATGAAAGACCCCAATAATGAATGAATGCAAAACAATATTTTAGGATTACCTAATAACCAGGCTAGAGGAACTGTTTGAGTTTTTTTTTTTAAATTGGTATTTGAGAGGCCAAGCAGAATTGTACCACGTGAACTTTGTTGTAATTCTTTGGTGCAAAGCAATAGGGGAGACACAATTTGAAAAGATAATATGTTATTCCTTCCAAGAGGCAAGAGATATTTTTGGAATTGAGGATGTGGACAAATTTGCCGATTGTACCCCAGTTACTTTGCTAAGGACAAACAAGTGTGTCTTACCAGTTTAAAAACTTTCCATTCTCATACCTAAACTGTGAACTGCATCTCTCTCTTTCTGCAACTTCCAGTGAAGCCCATCCCCACCCCCTGCAGATCTCAGGTACCAACACCCTCCCTCACAATTGCAGAAATGGATATTGCTTGCACATGTACTGGCCTAGAAAGGTCTCTGGCTTTGAGGTTATTTTTTTGTTTGTTGGTTTGTTTTATTATGTGTCTTTCCCTGAATATAGGTGGGAAATAAATTAAATTTGATTTAAAACTTAAATCAATTTAATTGCAACTTTCATGGCAGCCTTGTGAGTTTGAGATATCAGGCCCTCAGGCCTTTAGTGGGGTTCTACTTGACAGGAGAAATTTCCTACACTGGAGAGGCTGACCACTGAGAATAAGGTGAAATCCACCCTTTTGGACTTTCCTGAGCCATCCTGAATGACAGCTACTGATATCATCAGCAGTGGTGGAGTAGCCAGGGACAGCGATACTGGCCTGCAGTGCCCATAGACCTCCTGCCAAACAGGAGAGGGCAATGGTAGTGCAGGCCCCCAGCAAAGCTCTGCACAGGGAGGCAGGCCAGGGCATAGGAAGATAGAGGGGAATTTCAACAGAGCCCAAGCCTATGACAATACTCTGTCCCAACATGGGTGAGGGCAGGGGTGTGGGGAGAGGGGGGAGAGCCAAAACAGACCCTGGTATGGGGGGTGGGGCGGGCAACATTTGACCTAGTCCAGGGCAGTGCAAGAGACCTCAGGACCTAGTAGTAGCACTTGACCTGCCCTGGCGCAGGGGGCAGTGATAGCACCTAAACACATAGATCCTGGTAAATAGGGAAAGCAGCGGACTTTGGCAGAGTGGGAAGAGTCACAGGACCCAGCATCAGAGGCCAGTGGGCAGAGACTTGAACCCCGCTGACAATGGCCAGAAGGTAGTGAGCAAAGATGTCCTCAGCAGAGCTGACAGTATTGGAGAATGAGGGGCTTGTAGAAGCAATTGCAGCTCAGCTCAGAAGAGTGGGTCCTAGCATGGGCGGTGGGAAAAGGCAGGCCCATTATAGCTCATTGCTTGCTGTAATCTAGAACTGACTGACGTCTCTGCATTGCTACCAGTACAACACTTCATTATCACTATACAAAGCCTTCCCAGGGAGGGATTGGTGGACCAAGGGGTGGCATTGCGGTCAGATAGCTTGCTTTCTGGCAACAAAGGGGAAAGTAATTATCTAACCAATCCCTACAGAATTGAGGCAGTCCCTCCTCTCCTCCATGGGGCTCCCAGAGCTGGTATGCCAGAGAACATTAAACAGGTGGTGGTGCAGGGCAGTTCTCCTAGTACCATGGTAAAAGTCAGAGACTATGAAGGAAGTGTCATCTTTGCTTTAACCCTGATACTCCGGAGTGGCTTCTTCCTACAATTACCTCTTTACATAGGGATACCCTCCATGGATTGCAAAGATTTGGCATGGACAAGGTCCACATGAACCTGATTACTTAGCCCCAGGGCTATGTCCTTATGCGTGGGGTGCATCTCCAACTCCTCTGAACATGTTTCCATCTTCACCCCAATGACCCTCTTATGCTGGCAATGCCTCCACTCCTGTTATTTCCTTCTCCAGTGGGTGAGTTCCTCCCCAGAACCTCTATTTAAGGAAATACCACACCCAGCCTCTGACTTCCCAGACTCCTTTTCCACCTCCCCCCTACTTCCTCTCAGCCCCCTTTTGTGTATTATCTTACCTCAGTAGAATGCTCCTTACAACTTTGCCTATATTGTATTCTCTGCTGTTAGCATGTCCCATGGTATTTAGTAAGATGCTGGGAGAAATTTACATGATGTAAAAAACATACACAAAAATGTATTCTTTTTTTTTTAAAGGTATTGAAATCATTCTCAAGACTCTGTTGATTCAGGAGACTAAAGATAAAGACTGTTGACATAATTTCCTGTCTGCCTGAGTATGAAACAGCCATGAGGACCAGAGCACCAGGCTCACTCTGATGCTTGGATGGTAGGCCACAATGAGCAATGAAGCAAAGGAGTTTTACTCAGCTGAATCAACTCTGGGAGCCCTCGGTGCTTGTTCATTGAACTTCCTTCTCCTGCTGTGGTTTAGTAAGTCTTGAATTATTTGTTGAATGACCTATGATTGCCTCATTTCATTCAAACACTGAACATAAACTCCCAGGGCACTAACTGAATTTGTTCCAACCCAGAACAAGGTCCTTTTCAAAACCCTTTCTCTTTGGCTGTGTTCCCTCCTGAGCTTTGTCCTAGGAAAAAGTTTCTCCTAGGAACTTCAAAATATGGTTCATTTTGCCGCCACCTGGATTATCTCCTGGGAATATTATGTCTCAGGTCTTCACAGATGTGAGGGAAGAGTTCTTCCCTCTCTAGCAAGCACTTTAATTAATAATATCTATCAGAAAAATAACATTTTATTTTTTATTTTATTATTTATTTTAGGTCACAGAAACAATGCAGAAAACACAAAAGACTCACAGGATCCTGTAAGCGAACACAGAAAAAAACGCAATGACTAACAGGCACCCATAACAATCAAGACATTCTTCTTTCTTCCAGAGAGTCCCACTTTCCACCCCAGGAACCTAAATGGGCCTCTGGTCTGCTTAATATAATACTACATTAAGGGTTCAGTCTACCTTTAGAAAGGAAATGAACTTAGATTTGCTAGAGAGTCAACCTCTCAACATCCTGGTAAGGCCTTCTTTCTCTGTGGAGTAGTGGATGGAGTGTTAGACTTGAAGTCTGAAGAACTGGGTTCAAATCTTGCTCTAACTGCTTTTTAACTATGTAAAATTGGGCAAATCACTTGATTTGTCTGAACCTCAGTCTATTCATCTGTGAAATGAGGAGCATCAATTAGGTGGTTTCTGGGAGTCCTTCTAGCTCCAAATTTATTGTTCTATGATCTTTAAGTCCTCCAGGCTTGTAGTACTGTCCTAGGGATTTAGACACAGCTGGAAGAAAAGGAGATAAGCTTGGCACTGCAGGAAGGATGACTCCTTTTCCTTCAGATCTTACACCATCCAAGCAAAATTCAGGTTTTACTGTTCTACGTTGCAGCTCAGTTTCTTGTTGTTCTAGCTCCGTACTATATGATCCCAGACCCTTATTTACTCTTGACATGCCTCCAGAAGGCTGAAGTTTCTATGAATGCAGTCACTAATCAGCACAGGAGTGAGCAGCTAGGTGGCACACACAGCAGATAGAATGCTGGAGCTGAGGAGTCAGAAAGATCTGAGTTCAGATCCAGACTCAGATACTTACTAGCTGTGTGACCCTGGGCAAGTCACTTAACCCTGGCAGCTTCAGTTTCTTCATCTGTAAAATGAGCTGGAGAAGCAAATGGCAAATTATTCTGGTATCTTTTCTGAGAAAACTTCAAATGCAGTCACGAAGGGTCAGATACGACTGAATAACAACAACAAAAATCAGGACACATGATTGAAAAGGCTCTACCACTGTGTCTCCACAGCAACCATTAGTAGTTCCCGGGGCAGAAATTGTATAGACTCACAATAATCTGCTATTTGCATTTTCATTCTCAGGTGTCTCTAACGTTCTCTCCTCATTTTGGTTCTGCTGCTTTTTATAGGCCATGTTCAAAGGGTGTCACTTAAACCTGAAAGAATCTCTGATGACTCAATCATCCATCCTCATGAAGCGTCATTGGTCACACCCCAGTAAGGTGATTTCTCAAGCCATCTCTTTGTGGTAGAGATGTTCACACTTATCAAAGTGATATAATCTAAGTCCCAAACAAAGGCCTTATTTTTTAACTTTGTTCAGTTGCCCAAGCTTGCTCCTAATTAGTTCTTCTGGTTTATCCTAAGCATGGAATAAAAACTGGAAAGTTCTGAATTCACTCAGTTTCCAACTCTCTATCTTTTATTACTAAGAAAAGACACAAGGGAGCTTCTTTAAGCTAGTGGTCTCCAAATTTTTTTAGTCATGTACCCCTAATATAGTGAAAGATTTTTTAGCATGTACTTCTAATATGTATATGTTTATTATTACTACTATTATTAAGTTTACATTTATATAATACTTTAAAGTTTGTAAAGTGCTGTACAAATGTTATTCCATTTGATCCTCACAACAAACCTGGGAGGTAGGTACTATTAACATCTACATTTTACAGGAGAAGAAACTGAGGCAGAGGTTAAATGACTTACTCAGAGTCACATAGCTAATAACTGTCTAAGGCCAGATTTGAATTCAAGTCTTCCTAACTCCAGGCCCAGTGCTCTATCCACTGATCTAGTAATTATGCATATTAGAAAACTGACTCAAAAAGAAAAATTAAAATGGATGAAATAAAGACAGAATAATATTTGATACTGGAGTCAATTAGGGCAGCTAGGTGGTGCAGTGGATAGAGTGCCAGGCCTGAAGTCAGGAAGACCAGAGTTCAAAATTTGGCCTTAGAGACTTACTAGTTGTGTGACCCTGGGCAAGTCACTATCCTGTTTGCCTTAGTTTCCTCCTCTGTAAAATGAACTGGAGAAGGAAATGGCAAACCACTCCAGTATCTTTGCCAAGAAAACTTCAAACAGGGTCATAAAGAGTTAGATACAACTGAAACAATTGAACAACAACAGAGTCAATAGGGAACCACTGAAATTTAATAAGTAAAGGAATAACATGATCAGATCTGCACTTTAGGAAAATCACTTTGGCAGCTGTCTAGAGGATGGAAAAGAGAGTTGAGATAGGGTAATAATTAAATGTCCTATTGAAATAGCATAGGTGAGAGGTGAGGATGGACTACACTAGGGTTGTTCAACTAGGGTTCTCTCAACTAGAGTTGAGAGAAAGGGACAGATGTGAGTGATATAGACATAGAATTGGCAACTGGCTATGTGGATGCGGGGTGTGGGAAAGTGATGAGTCAAAATGACACTGGAGATGTGAGAACCTGAGTGACTAGAAGGATGATGCTGTCCTTGACAGTAATAGGGAGGTTTGGGAGATGGATAGGCTTAGGTAGAAAATTGATATAATGAAATCTGTGATCACAGTCTTTCCACATCCGCTTATCCTGTGTGATTCACTTTGTTACCTCCTAAAAAAAAACTGGGAAGAAAGGAAGGACCTTTACTTTACTGCCCCTAAGCACAGAGATCACTGTCTGAGGGGCACCTCAGCTATGATAGGATGTGGGTGTGGGGAACAGAATATGAGGACAGAATTTTTCCAGTGGTACCTGGTACCAGCTGCTGTGGGCAATAGCTGTGAGTGGCTGATACCTGGTTCTGAACAGGGGGGCCTGGGAGTTTATACAGCACAAAGAGAGAAGAGTTGTCGAGTGTTAGAGGATAAGGGTTCACATAATTGTGTTACAGACAAACCCTACAAATGATTATGGCAGCAGGGGTGAAAAGTGACATCTCCCTGCCCTCTGATTGATTGATCTATATCCCTTTGGGTTAGGCCACCATGGCTTTCCAGGAGGCCTAGCCTGTACTTTGGAGATCACTATTGTAGACTTCCAATCTCAAAAGCTCTTCTGGATGTCAAGGAAGTTCTTTAAACACAGATGAGAAGAGCTTTTATCTGATGTACAAAGAAGTGGCTTTGGAGCACATAATTGGCTTCACTAGCATATTCAGAGCCCAATAAAGTGATCTGAGCTATCTCTATCTTCTTTAATCTCTCTCTTTAAATAGAAAATCTTTGAGGGCTGGGATGTCATTTGTTCATTCAACAAATATTTATTAAGGAACTGCTGTGCACCAGACATTGTTACATGCTAGGTGAGGGAGGTGGGAGTGCAATACAAAGAAAAAGAAGAAACAGTTGCAGCCTTCCAGACATTGACCTTCTCTTTGGGGAAGCCATATGAATAGAAATATATGAATACAAAATACATACAAAGTAAATACAAGCTCATTTCAGGAGGAATATGGCCCGGCAACTGGGGGATTAGGCTTGATATGGCATAGGAATAAGCACTGGAGCTGAGCCTCGAAGTCACTCTGGGTTCAATAAGGAAGAGGAAAGCATGAAGTGAGTTCTAAAACATGTTCTACACATCCTCTGCATAGGTTCAGTGATAGAAAATGGACTGGGAGAATACATCCCAAATTTTGTGGGGCAATGCTTTGTTAACTACTGTTCATATGAACAACATGAAAAAAAAAAGGATGAAGAAAGGATGATAACAGGGACCCCCATTTTATTTGGTTGGTCTAGGGCATAGAGCTTTGCTAGACTGGAACACCTTCCATGGAGCTGGATATGCATACCTGCTCCTTGTTAAGAGACACTGTATTGTTGGGATGATCTACCCGCTTGGTGCCCAGTGATTAGGATGAACCTAGTCTGTATAAGTCCAATCTTGAAGGTGACCCCTGAAAGGGAAAAGTCGAGAGTAACTCTAGGGAAATCTCTAAAACAATGTTTAAGTAAAGCCCATGTCTAGGATCTCCCTAATATGTGGGTTACAGAATCCTGTCTAAGAGAGAGACTTAGTCCTTAGTACAGATATCAGCTAGAGGGGAGTGGATTATTTCTCCTGAAATCACTGAATAAGATGTGAAAGACACATGAGCAAATGCCGATGTTAGGAGGCATATTTTTAGACTTCAATAAAGCTGAAGTTAGGAAGGGACAAAAAGACAGAGATATTGTAATGTAAAGGGTACCTCAGAGGTGAAGGCAGTATTCCATACCTAGAAATGGTCTGAGGTTTGAATAGCTTAAATTCACCTGAAAACAATGAACTTGACCCTTGACTACAGACTGTCTCTATTCTCATCTACATAATACCCCAACAGAAACTGGGAAGTGTAATATAAATAAGGGGAGGTTCCAAGGTAAGACTCTGAGGGGGTCAAAAAGGAGACTATTCTGCCCATCTTAGGACAAAGCTCATTGCCTTCGCTAAAAATAACAGTGTAATATGCTAGCTGAAAAAAAAATATACTAGGCTATCTAGCCAATCCACAAGCTGGAAGTGGTGAAGACTATATATCAAAGAGTGAGTCCGGAGAGTCCAGCAAATTAACCCATCCAGCAGAGGCACCCAGATCTGCGAGTGACTCAGCAGCAGAGAAGTTGACCAGCCCAGTAGAACCCAGACAGCTGTAGCCTAGAGGCAGAATCTGGCCCAGTCTAGCTGCAGTCCTGTGACTAAGTGATCTGCCCAGCCCAGTCAAGCAGTGAATTGACCCATCTAGTCAGCTTATCTGCCAGACCAGGACAGATGCTGTGACTTGAGAGGAGCCAGCCAGAACTGCCAATGGATCAATTCACCTGTCACTGACACCCAGTCCCACAGTGAATTTTGTGAAGATGCTCCAGAGAAAGGACACTGAAGTCCATGCTGTTTGGAGGTATGTTTCCTACCTGTGTGCCTCATTACCACTGTACTATAAGCTTGAGCTCATTCTTCCCCCACCCCCAAGGATCTGTGTATGTATGAGAGAGTAAATCCCAAGTTTTGGGGGACAATGATTTGTAACTGCCATTTTTGCTATGCCTTTTGAGCAAATGCCTTTTAAAAATCAATTTTTTATTTGGTTAAATGTTTATCAATTACATATTAAAAATTTATTATTCATTTTTTAAATTTTGAGTTCTAAATTCTCTCCCTCCCTCCTTTCCTCCCCTGCTCCTTAAGAAGGCAAGTAATATGATATTAATTGCATATGTGAAGTAATGCAAAACATATTTTCATATAAGCCACATCGCAAAAGAAAACACACACACAAATAAGAAAAATAAACTGGAAAAAAAACATGCTTCAATCTGTGCGCAGAGTTCATTGGCTCTGTCTCTGGAGATGGAGAGCATTTTTCATCATGGGTCTTTTGGAATTATCTTGGATCATTGTCTTGATCAGTAAATCTTTCACAGCTGATCATTGCTACAATATTGATATTATTGTGTGCAATGTTCTCCCGGAAATGCCTTTTATAAAGGTATTTTATAAATTTTTAGAAATGAATTTAGAAATTAAAACTACTGGAATATTGTTAAGGGAGAAGACACATGAAGAGCTATCATGTTAGTAAGGTAGTCAGAGTTACTTGTAGAACCTGTAATAGTAACCACCCTCCGGAGACCCATCTTGCCAGTCTGGTTGTGACTTGGGGGAGTGAATTCAGCTGGGATGGGAAAGTTTTAGAACCTGTAATATCTCATATAGCCCATTACATTGATTATACTCTTCCAGGAAGGTAAAGCCAACTTTGTGAAACTGTAGAGCAGTAAGTCCTCATTCACCTTGAATCTGCACTAATTGAACAAGTCACAAGGCCCACATCTCCTTCCCGGGCGAAGCATGGATTTTAGTTTTTCAGATACATGATGATCCTAGCTGTGGTGCAATTCAGCAAGGAATCAGTTAATGGAAATTATCCTCTTGTTCAGGTGATGTTTTAATCCCAAACATAGGAACTCTCAACCTACAAAGTAGCGAACAAGGCTGGAAAATGTCCACTTTTCAGTCCCCCTTACTAGTCATTGACCTATGCTCAGGAAGGAAATAGGAAGGAAAAGAAGAGAGTCAGGGTTTCAATCTCTTTTAGGAAAGCACACTTCCCACTGTCAGGTGCTTGTGTTGCAAGCAGCTATTGTCACTGGTGGGTGGGTGCAAAGGGAATGGGAAATCCCTGCTGGAAATCCAGGGGGTAGAAAATACTGGAAAGGTGTTCAAAATAAAGAAAAGCAGAGCTTTTTCCGTAACTCAAAAAAAGTCTTGACTCGACTCTCAGACGACAACTATAATCAGGGAAGCCCTAGTCACTGGAGACTAATAAATAATTCCCTGTCAAGTGCAAGATGATATCCCTCAGCACAGGGCCACATGTTCATGATAACGTCATTGGCCATGGACCAATCAGACAAAGGCCCATGTCCTTTAAATCTATCAGATGATCGGAGACAACCCACCATATTAATCAGGGCTTTCCTTGATCTCCCCTTTGATAGCAAGTATTTGGGGTGCAGTTGAAAACACGATTTTTTTGAGTCAAAAGATATGAATCCTCTTGACATCATTTACTAGGTTTGTGACCTTAGGCAAATTGCTTAACCTCTCAGCTCAGTTTCCACATTTGTAAAATGAGAATAATGATAATTGTTATATTAACTATCTAATGGGGTTATAAGGCACTTTGTAAATATTAAAGAGCTATGTTAATGTGAGCTATTATTATGTTTGTTTTTGGTAAATTTCATGTAAAAGTACCCAAGACAACATTAGTTGGGCATGTAAAGGGCTAAAAATTTTAAGTGGGAGTGAATCCTTTTTATTTTGGGGAAGCAATACCTATGGAGAAGCCAGCCATTCCCAATATCTGCCAACCAATTGCCACTCACAGAATAGGCAAGCTAGCCTGGCTGAAGCAGCATCCTGAGAAGCAGAGGGTAGCATGGGCCTGTCAAACCATCACCATCATATTGATCACCATCTCCCTTCAGATCAATGGATCTTTAGTTTCCTATCCTCACTACGATATCAATTTTCCAATGTTGAGTAATTAATAAATGTTTTACTCCACTTACATATTTTTTCGCAACAAAACATAATATTATTATGAAGAATAGAATGAGGGGAAGTATATCCTGAGTCTGAGAAGTCTGTGGGGTCTTAGGACTTTGCCTACACTCTGCATTGGGAGGAGAAGAATTGGGATAGGCTTTGGCCTGAATTGACAGGGGTGTTGAGTCTTCTTAGTGCCACCATGTGGCGCTGGTGTCTAGAATTTTGACATCCCGTTGACCACAGCTCTGCAATGAATTTAATTTTCAGTGGTGAGGCTGCATAGATTGTTGACCCTTTGATTGATCCAACTAGTTTATTGGCTCAGTAACGTTCTGAAGATATACTTTAGGCTTACAATTGTCTTCTTTTTAAAGTATTTGGAATTCAGTTTAAACGTCAACTCTTTTCCCACTGTCTGGACTCATGTAACTCAACTGAAGTTCTTCTCACCCTTGCTCAACTGATGCTAAATGAGTGTCCTTCACTAGGCTAACTTCTAGGGGAGATAGGAAGATAAATAGAGTGTTAACCTGCCTCATGGAACTTACAGTTTAACAGGGCCAACTTGAAACACATATATGACTCTAAGAGACAAGAACATAGGATCCAGAGACAAAAGACCTGGAATCTCAACTCTTTTCTATCTGTGAGTCTTGGGTCTAATCAATTCTCCTCCATGAGATGTAAGATGGACAAGGGAGTTGGACTTTAAGATCTCCAAGATGTAGCTCAGACATTCTAATTGTAGAATTTCCAGTGGGAAGGGATGTGAATCGAGGAAGGCCTTTATAGATGAGGTAGCTCAGGAATCAGTCCCTTAACAAGGGTAGCAGAAATGGTGGTCTTGGCAAAAGAGAGTAGAACTGAGGTCTAGTTTGGTGGTACAGTGGACAGAGGGCTAAGTCAGCAAGAGCTCTAAGTCAGGAAGACCGATCTTCCTGAGTTCAAATCTGGCCTCAGACACTTACTCGCTATATGATCCTGAACAAATCAATTAACCTCACTTTCCTCATCTGTAAAATAAACTGGAGAAACAAATGACAAACCACTCCAGCATCTTTGCTAAGAAAACCCCAAATGAGGTCATGAAGATTTAGACATGAATGAACAGCGACAATAAAAAAAAAAAAGGCCTACCCTTTGTAATTCTGGATGCTAGTCCTGCTTTCTTTTATTTCAGCAGGAAAGAAACTTTTGGAACTCCTTTCTACCCTCATCCCTACCTTCAAAAAAAAGAGGTAGTACAAGCCAAAAATATAAATAGATTCCCCCAAAGGGCTGAATGACTTAACAAACAACAAATTTGGAAAACTGGTTCCTAAGGGAAACTGGAGTGACATCTTTGGAGAAGAGTTGGAAAAGGTTATTATCATTGAGGACAACCATGACATTCCATGTTCCTTGAATGCTTCATACACCTTCCTCTAGGGGCATTTCCCTTGTCCTATGTCCTAGAAGCCGGCAGGGGGCACAGTGGATAGAAAGATCATTGAACTTGGAGTAGAAAATAACTGAGTTTGAATGCAGCCTCAGATACTTACTTAGCCTTGTGACCCTGGACAAATGATTTAACTTTTGTCTGCCTCAGTTTCTTCAACTTTAAATGGGGATAATAAAGCACCTAGCTCCCAGGGTTGTTGTAAGAATCAAATGAAATATTTGTAAAGCACTTAGCACAGGGCCTGGAACATAATTTATATATTAACATATTTAATTGATTTATACTTAATAAAAAATACTTGTTTGTTTCCTTCCATTCATCTTATGTATAGGCTATGTTCCTAGCCCTTTCCTCATAGCATTGGGGGAGGAGCATTGAATCTGAAGACACAAGACAGGTATTTAAATCCATGCTTAAATGCCTACTAGCTGTGTGGCTTTGGGAAAACCAATTCCCCTCTCCAAATGTCAAAGTTCTTATTTACAAAATGAAAGAGGATTCAATTCAATAAGTATTTATTAAGCGCCTACTATAAGCCAGGCACTGTGCTAATAGAAGGGGATGCAGAAAAAGGCAAAAGGCAATCCCTGCCCTCAAGGAGCTTACAGTCTAATGAGGAAGACAACACACAAAGGATACAAAGCAAAGGTCTCTTGCTCTCCTAGGGCAGCTAGGTGGAGTAGTGGTTAAGACTTCTCTTATTGAGTTCAAATCTGGGCTCCGACACTTACTAGCTGTGTGACCCTGGGTAAGTCACTTAACCCCGTTGGCCTCAGTTTTCTCATCTGCAAAATGAGCTGGAGAAGCAAATGGCAAACCACTCCAGTATCTTTGCCAAGAAAACCCCAAATGGGGTCACGAAGAGTCGGACACGACTGAAAAACGACCTAATCGTTTTATTCCTTTCAATACTCCTCTTCCCTTTGGCCTTCCTTCTCCCAGTTTCCATTTTCAAATTCAAATTCGGAAGCAACGACCGCGGGGAGAGAGTACCAAGCAATGGGCAGGTAGAGCCTGCAGAGTGTCAAAGGGAAACCAGATGCTTTCGAGGCCCGCCCCTCCCGCCGTGCGTCATTACGTCGGCCATGAGAGATGTTCCCAGGGGCGTGTCTTGTTGCCTCGGTAACCGGGCCGCTATCCCCGCCTCCTCCTCCCCTCAGAGGCTCCCGCCCGGCCCCGGGGAGGGCGGGCGGGGAAGGAGGGAGGAGACGTGTGCGGGCGCTGGCGGGAGCGGTGGTGTGTGGCCGGGGCTCCCGGGGAAGCAGCTCTGGGTAGGGCTGGGCCGGGCCCCCAGGCCATCCCCGCCACCGCTGGCGGCCTCGGCCAGTCCTTCCCAGGCCCCCTTCTCCCTTCGCCGTGGAGGGGTCCCGGGCCGCGCGATGGGCGGCGCTGCCCGCGGGCCGGGCAGGAAGGATGTGGGGCCGCCGCGAGCCCCGGAACCTCGGAGGTAGGGGCGCGCGCGTGGGGCCGGGGCTCGGCGGAGCTGGGGGGAGGGGCGCAGCAGGAAAAGGAGGAAGGGGACCCCAGCAGAGAGGAAGCGAGCCGCAGGGAAAAGGGGCAACAGAAAGGGGGCGTAAAGGGACACCAGCAGAAGAGACTAGCCCCCAGGAGATGAGGTGGGGGTGGGTGGAAGAAGAGGGGTAGCACAAAGAGGGGGAACTGGGTTTGGGGAAGACGACCCAGTAGAAAAGTGGGACCTAGCAATGGGGAAAGGGCATCCCAGGAGGTGGGGAGGGGGAAATTGGCATGAGGAAGGGGGACCAGCAGGAAAAAGGGGGACTGGGTTTGGGGAGGGGCACTCCTGCAGAGGATCGAGGTCCAGCTGTAGGGAAGAGCATTGCAGGAGATCGAGAGGGCTCTGGGCTTGGAGTAGGGGTGGCCAAGCAAAAATGAGGGCTGGGTTTGGGAAAGGGGACCCCGACGGGGAGCAGATGGGGATTAGGTTTGGTAGACATCACCCAGACACCCCAGAAGAGGAGAGAGGGAACTTGTTAAAGCTTTGTGAGCTTTCTGGGGAGGTGTTTGCAACCTCCACCCCCTGCTCCCAGTTGTAGGTTCCCTCCTTCTGCCTTCTGCCACCCAAGAAGAGAGAGTTGGAGTAGAGCCTAGGAGGGGAAAGAGAAGGAGGGGTTATCCTGAAAGAGGAGCTAGATTGGGAGGCATAAGCCGAGGAAAACTGAAAAGCCAAGCCATTTGCTAACTAGGGAAGCTGGGGAGCAGAATTCCTTCAGAGAATCCCTGTTGGTCATGGGAGATAAAAACAGGACTGAACACTTGGGGATTTGCACAGTGGGGTGTGGTCTGGTTTTGGAATAGGTAAGATGCCCCAGTAAGACTTTTTATAGTTTCTCTTTTTCTAATTCTTTGCCCCCTTCCCTTAATGTTTTGGGGGACATTCCTATCTTCTGTTTCCTCTGCTATTTATATAATCAGATGCTTTTTGATGCTATTAGGAAACCATAGGATTTAAAGCAGGAGGAGACCTTTTGGACTATCTAGTCCCTTTTCATTTTACAGATTAGGAGACTGAGGCCACAGAGGAGTCAAGTGGACCAAGGTCACACAGATATTACCCAATGATTCAGGTCTTTAAGTGTCTTTCTTTTTCTCTGTACTGTCTCTAGCATGTTTTCTGCAGCCCATTGGCAAAGTGTCAGGCAGTCTAGAATTCTTAGCCCTTGCCAATGAAACAAAATTCGATTAAACATATAGATTAGTCCAAATATACCACATTTGCCCAAGGAGGCCATAATATAAAAAAAATCTTTTTAAAGTTTTTTGCTGGTATTTTAAACCATTTCCCCAAAGGCAATTTGCAAATAGCCTCTAAACTCCAGGGCTAGAATTGGTTATGCAAAACAGTGCATAAAAAAAAAGACATTTTCCCCCTTCCTCTGTAACATAGTTATCAATGTACTCTTATCATGATATATGGTTATATTATTTCGGTGCCTGTGAGTAATTCAGTTATGTGACTTATTAAATGTTTTGCCTTAAAAACTTTTTTTTTTATTACTTGGCTGTTTGAAAAAAAATCGAAATAGTACAGAAATCCTTGGTACTGTGGCCTATCAGTAGGAAAAATAATGTGGCAAAATGTACCAAATGCAAATGCTTAAAAAAATCTAAATTCTTAGTAGCAGATAAACATGTTAACCAGTGGATTAACCAAGTCCTTTGCTTCTCTAGGCTATTCATATAGTCATTTCTGTAGATGTCTTTGTTCATTAATGTTGTTCCTCTGCCAGAAAGTGAAGTGGGAAAAAAAATGTGAAAGCTTGATACATTTTGTGACTTATTCACTCCAATTAGCTTGGTATCTGTAACCTTATTTTTTTTTTATCCCTGTGAGGCAGGGAGTGGGAAGGAATTGCCCTTCTCATTTTCTAGAGGAAGAATCTGAGGCCCAGGGTGATGACTACTCCAAAGAAGCACAATCAGAGGTAGATTAGAATCCAATGATTCTGCTTCCAGTGTTCTTTTCCATCTTCCTTAGTTTCTAGGATGAGGTTTTTAACTTTAGGTCTAAACTAACCTCAATTTTGAAGCGGTGTGGAAGAAAAGCTTTTCACTAAACAGTTTGTATAACTTACCAAAGAAAAATGTTATATGTTATTTGAAAAATGAGACCTGTGTGAGCTGTTAATTTTAAAATATAGGTACAGAAATGAAATAATTTAAATTAAAAAAAGAGGAAAAGAAAAGAAAATTGCTCTGCTAGATTATTTCAGTTAATCATTGTTAATTGTATTTGATGTCAAGGAGTTCTTACTGTAGCTATCTGAACAGTTCCTTGGAAACATAGTTAACATTAAAACCTTTTTGGGGGGGGAGGGGGAATGCCAATCAGGATGACTGTTTCCGACTCATGTCTACCTAATGTTTTCAAATAGGTTGGGAGATGGTGTGTATGATACCTTCATGATGTTAGATGAAACTAAATGTCCACCTGGCCCAAATACAGCCTGCAACCCTTCTGAACCAGCTCTACCTAGAAGATTATACGTAAGTAATTTAGCTATTCTTTGTACTCTACTAATTGGTTTGTTAAGAAGGAAGCATTACTAGACCTTCTGAAGACTTTGTCATTTGCTTTGTCATGGACCACAATATACCCTCTGATCCTGTTTCTCAAAACACTTATGTCCTCATTCCCACCACCCCCTTACTATGGCTCCTGTGTAAATGTTACAGAATGATTTTTGGAACAAACCCCAATTTCCATCTTGATTACTGCAATAAATATAAATCACTAGGGGAAAAAAAATAAACCAGTGTGCTACTTTTAAGTAGGTGGTATTTATTTTCAAATTATATGACTACAAAAGATCCTTTTATGAAAACCATTGATAAGTTTTGTGCTTTCCTCTCTCTGCTAGTTTTCCTCTACAAGATATTAGAAGTACTTACAGATGCTTGATGACATCAAGTTAGGAACTAGAACTGTGATTTAGTGATATGGGGAAATCCCATGTTACAAACTTCCCTCTACCAATGCAGTGTTGGAGTGTCCCAGAATGACTTGCCCAGCATCATATAGCCCGTATGAAGTGGAACTTGAACCTAGGACTACTTGGTTTTGAGGTTGGCTCTCTATTCTCTACACTAGCTACTCCAAAGCTCATTTGGCATTGGATTGCTTTTTTTTGAGGGAAGTGAATTTATCTGCTAATTGTACTTAAGTAAGACTAGTGGCCCCGTGTAAGCTAGGTGTTAGGAAAGCTGTCTGGTACTTAATAAATTTACTGTGGTTATAACATTGTGAACAATTGAGTTGATTATATGTGATAGTTCTCATTTATGCTTTTCTGTTTTAATACCTAAGGAGGTTTTTATGAGAAAGGAAAATCACTCATCTTCATTCTCCTCCTTAAGCATTGTTCAGATTTTGCTCTGTTTAATGGGAAGCCAGTGTGGAATCATCCTTTTTTTCTTGTTACTTTCTAGATGCATAATATTTGAAGCATGTGCCAAGAACATAAGGCCAGACATTTGGAAGGCCAGTCATTCTATTTTTATCTCTTTTCTGAAGTACAGTATCATTTCCTTCCCATTCACAGCATACAGTGGTTTGCTTCCTGGGCACGTAAAAACCTCTTAACAGTTCTATAACCACCATACCCCTTCAGATAGCCATCAGATCTCTTAATTGCTCAAAACCACCATATGGGGTTTCTCAGGGAAACTGAGTGAAAAAAGCAAACTACTTTTAGAAGTGGATTACTTTGTCAGTCATCTGACTCAAAGGGAAGTTCATTTGTATTCTAGTTTAAGCAGCCACTCTGCATTAGCCTAATAGAGCCATACTGCTAACAATGCAAAAGGTATTTAATTCCTGTCACTTTGTACTCAGTATGCTATTAAATTTTTGTCTACTAATTCTAGTCTACATTCTAGTCTCAACATTTTTTAGATTTGATTGTAGATTTAAAATTCTTACTTTACAGCTATGTAATGTATATACATATATGATATATGTATATATGTGTGTGCATAGACATATATTTATGTATATATGTTACTGAAGGATTGTAGACAGCTAGGTGCCTAAGTAGATGGAGTAGAAGACTCATCTTCCTGAGTTCAAATCTAGCTTCAGACCTTACTAGCTGTGTGAGCCTGGGCAAATCACTTAACCCTGTTTTTCTTAGTTTCCTTATCTGTAAAATGAGTTGGAGAAGCAAATGGTAGACCACTCCAGCATCTTTGCCAAGATAACCCCAAATGGGGTCACAAAGAGTGACAATAGCTGAAAAATTACTGAACAACACAGCAGTAACTAAAAGGATGAGAGAGATGGGTGAACTTCATAGCTGGCTACAAAGAATGATGTAAAATAAAATCCTCTTTTGAGCACAATAATAATAACTAGCATTTATATACCGCTTTGGGGTTTGCAAAGCTCTTTCCATTTTGGTTCTGTTTGATTCTCATAACAACCATGGTCAGTTAGGTGCTATTTATTTCCTGATCTAACAGATGAGTAAAGTAAGGCTGAGAGAAGTTAGCTGACTGAAGCAGGGCTACATAGCTAATAACTATCTGAGGCAGGATAGGAAATCTGGTCTTCCTGTTTCCAAGTCCTGTGCTCTATCCACTGCTTCATCTAGCTGCTATCCCTATCCCCTTCCTCCAATTAAATTTTGTCATTTAAGAACATTTAATATATACATTCTCTCAATAATTATAAATATGATGTGTTACCTGGTCACACTTGAGGTGGATTGGCTATGTTTGGTTTAACATCTGTAGTAGTTGGGTATATTTAGAATCAGATACAAATTGCCATGTCACTGTGACCAGCCCTAGAATAGAAATGTATAATGTTCCATAGCTAGTTTATAGTCTAATATGCTGAGTGCACAGTGGAAGATTTTCTCTAGAACAATGGAAAGATTTTATTTATAGCATAGGGCACTTAATTCCTTATTTATATGAGACAAAATTTGTATTAGTTGCACAAAAGGAAAGCATCCATTGGAAGGATCCCCCCCCCACTTGGAAAAAATTCCCTAACTTCATGTCTTCGATGAAAACTTTCACAGACATTGGTGGGAATTTTTCAATTCCTTTGAAATAATATCCTCTATCTTGATTTTGTATTTCTATGGAAACAGAATCTTTTACTTGAAGATTCATCTGTCCTTCCCAGTGCTCTGCATCTGAGATGCATTGTTGTAATGAACATAAAGGAAGCCTTTCAAAATGAGCTTTTTATGTATAGATATATGAGGTAAAGGGCGCATGCAGCATGTGCCCATCCCCAACTGTCTTCTCCCACCAGCCTAGTTGTTGTTGACTCAAATTCTACAATTTGAGGTTTATTGTTTTGGGGTAGGGTGGTGCAGCTAGGTGGCGCAGTGGATGGGGTGCTGGGCCTGAAGTCAGGCTGACTCATCTTTGTCAGTTCAGATCTGGCCTCAGACACTTACTAGCTGTGTGACCCCAGGCAAGTCACTTCACCCTGATTGCTTCTGTTTCCTCATCTGTAAAATGGGCTGGAGAAGGAAATGGCAAACTACTCCAGGCTCTCTGCCAAGAAAACCCCAAATGCGGTCACAGAGAGTTGGATACAACAGAAATGGCCGCAGACCTGCAGCAAAGGGCATTGGTTCTCTATTAAAATAGAGAGGTAGCACATTAACTTGGATAACTTCCCTAGATGGGGGCACCCTTGTTAGCTGTGGGCTGGGAGTAGTGTAAGAGTGTTGGGTGCTAGGTGGTGCATAGAGAAGGAGGAGGTAAGGGATACTGAAATGGAGACTAGAGGGTACTACCGAAGACAGGCTTTGACAGCTTCTCCATTTTGCTAAGAGTGAACACTGAAACTTCCAAAGATAAGTAAACAGAAACACTAAGATGAAGAATGTAAGAAGTAATGATTGAAATGCATACAAATATTTTTACCATTAATAAGTAGATCTCAGTTTTAATGAAGCTCATGAAAAATAGGCAAGTTCTTTCTATAGTTCAGCATAATATAGGCCTAGAATAGAACACCAGAATTTTAGACCTGAAAGAGATCGTTTAGTTCAAGCCCCTTAGTTGTACAGAGGAGGAAACAGACTTTTACTACCCCTACCAGTAGAAATACTTATGTGGCTTTCTAAACTTACTGAGTGGATACACTGTTTACTAATACAATCTAGCAATTATGTATTTGGGTTCATTGTTTAGTGTCTGTAGTTCTATTAATATCGCTGCTAAACCATAATTTTGGAACCAAGGGCTGAGATGGGCTCCTATCTCACCTTTTTATTTTAAAACTAAAGGCCAAAATGGGAAATGTCTGTGGCCACATTTGTAATGACTGCTCTGATGTTGCTTAAGAGAGTGTAACACTTTTCTTTTCTTTTTTTTTTTTTTTTGGCAACTTGAGACATTGGTGACCTAGAAGTAGCCAAGGATTAATTAATAGCCCTTACCCGGAGTATTATTTGAGGAAGCTGTCTGCAATCTGCAACCAGTTATTTAAAGCTGCACTTCATCCATCTTTTTTTTTTTCCCTTCATGTGTTTTCTTAGGCTGGATTTGATTTGATTTACAACAAGCTAGGCCATTTTGAATACCAATGGCTTTTTTGCTGAGGTTATGATTAAATTCCATTTTCTAAAGGTATAGCCTTTTTGGATTATCATCTTATGATGATTATCACATTACTTATGGAATCTAGAGACCAGAACTCTGGCTCAGGGCCATTGCCTTCATCAAAATCAAGGGTTCATCCTTAACATTGTTTGGTTCATGGACTCCTTTAACGTTTTGATAAAGCCTACAGACCCCTTCTTGGAAGGTTTTTTTTAATGCCTAAAACAAAATATATAGAATAACAAAGGAAACTAATATGTTAAAATACAGTTATCAAAATACTTTTTACAAATAAAAAACAAACTCACAGACTGAGTGGGGTGTCTGTGGACTTTGGGTTAAAAACCTGATCTAAAGTAATCTGCCAAATAGGCAAACAAGCAAAACATGATCTACTTCTGCTTCTAGAAGGTATAAAATTGGCCATATTATGATTAGGGCTCCAATTCCTTAAAATGTACTGAGAATAACTCTTTTGAGATATCCCAGGGTTTTAAATCTCTTCTTTCCCTTTTTCTGTTCTGTTCTTAACCTTTTCTACATCATTCATACAAATGATTCTTGACTGTTGCTTTTTAATTTTTCTTTTTCAACCTCTAACTTTAACATTCCCTTTGAGTAATCTTTCTACCTGTGACAAAGTCAGAGGAGCTTTCCTCTGAAGAATCACTGCTTATTGGAGTAGCTAGGTGGCACAGTGGATAGAGCACTGGCCCTGGAGTCAGGAGGACCTGAGTTCAAGTTTGGCCTCAGACACATAACACTCACTAGCTGTGTGACCCTGGACAAGTCACTTAACCCCGATTGCCTCACAAAAAAAAATCACTGCTTATCACCAAATAAATAAATAAAATATAACACAATGGAGACTAGATCGTGTTGGGATTTTTAGAGGGAAAATGTCTGTTTTATTGATCTGTTTTGAGTTTTGTGAGGTTTGATGCCTCATAGAGCTTTTTGTAAAAACATCTTTTCTACCAGAAACTTATTATTGAATTGCATAGAAATAGCAATGAATAACTGGAACCATCTCTAATTTGTAGATTCAGTCAACTAATATTTATTGAGCACTTATTATGTGGCTAGCAATTTGCTGGATGCTGTGGAGAAAACACAAGATATTTTGATATCATTCTTACCATCAAGGAGCTTACAATCCAACAGGGAAGGCAAAATATGCAAGTACTTTAGTTTGCTATTTTTATCAATTTATGATTTAATGTGTGCTAGTGTTGGCTCCACTGATGCGGATTACAGCTGTTCTTCATCATATTCTATGCAATTCTTTTCCATGTCTTTCCACAAATCTGTTCTGGAGGATCCACCCAGCTCACGGGGTGTTTTCATTTCATTCTTTTACCATCTACTCAGTACCAATGTACCACATTCATGATGTGTGCCATAAGATTGTAGATTTTAGGCTCAACAGCACCTCAGATGTCAGTAGTTCAGATCCTATAATCCCCATATCACAGATGAGAAGAGCAGTCCCATTGAGGGTTAGTAACCATTCTGGGTCCCATACATAGTCGAGGTGCTGGTGTTCAGATTGAGAACCTCTGAACCTAGAGGATACGCTGCGTAGCTTTCTCTTGCCCTTTGAATGACTCTAATTTTGCCTGTGTAGAAGCCCATTGTGGTACCTCATTCTGGTGCTGGAAGGGAACCTGAATTCAGGTGCTCCATGGAGGTGGAGCAAGCTCTGGCAGGCTAGGAGGGCTTTGGGTGTGAGCCAGATAACAGAAAATGACAGTCTCTCATTTGGAAGGATTGTCAGCGCCCACTGAGTCCTCCCCCCCTTACCTGAACAATACTCCTCTGTGTAGTCTATGTAGTAGTTCCCTAGCCTCTGCTGGGAGACTTGCAGTGATGGGAGCTCATGGTCTGTCTCTCAGGCCGCCTGATCCTCTTTGGAATGGCTTGATGGGGCGTTTCTGTTCTTATGTGGAGCCTGCACTTACCCTTTTGTAACCTGCACCCTCTGGGGTCAGGCAGAACATGTCTGATCTTTCAATGTGATGGCCCCTTGCATACTTGAAGAAAATTATCATCTCCTCCCTAAGTCTTCTTTTCTCCATGGGAAACATCATATTGTATGATTTGGAAGTCTTTCACCATCCCAGTGGCCTTCCTCTGAATGCTCTTTAGCTTACTAATGTTCTTGCTAAAATGGTTGCCTAGAACTGGACATAGTACTCGATACATCTCAGTGTTTCTATTTGCTGGGTCCCTCAGTGCAGCCCAAGGTTGAGTGAGCTTTTGTGGCAGTCATCTATATTGTTTGTGGGATCGTGGATTTAAAGCTGGAAGGGACCTTAAGGTCACCTTGCCCAACCACTTCCTTTTTTTTTTGCTTGTTTTGCATTTCTTTGTATCACCGATGCTTAGCATAATGCCTGGCAAACTGACAGACTGAGCAAATTGAGGCCTTGAGGGGCTGAGTAACTTGCTCAAGACCACCATGGCAAGGCTGGGAGTCCTGGTCCCAAATCTAAATCCAGTGGTTTTTCCACCAAGCCAAGTAGGCCTCCAAACCTCTAGGTCTCTCTCAGATACACTGCTATGTAGCCACACTTTCTCCATTTTGTAATTGTGAAATGTATTCTTTTGAATCCAAATGTAATTATCCAAATGTAATCTGCATTGTCTATATTAAATTTCATTTGACTAGATTCAGCTTTATATACTAGCTTGTTGAGATACTTATTTTTGGATTCTGTCATCCTGTGTATTTGCTGTCTTTCAGCTTTGTGTCACCTACACACTTGAAAATTATAGTTATACTTTCATAGCTTTTATAGCCTTATATAAAGGCTTCATCCAAATTCCTGATTCAGCAATGTTATATAGCACAGATTTCAAGGGCACTGCACTAGAGACCACTTCCCAAGCTGACATTAAATGATTAATGACTGTTCTTTGGGTCTGGCCATTCCATGAATTCCAGATCCCAAAGTATACTGTTATCTGGCCCACATCTCTCTATCTTTTTCACAAGAACAGCATGAGACATTTTGTCACAAATTTTATTTAATATAAGTAAAATATATCTACAGCATCTTCCTGCTCTCTCAATTTTGTGACACTGTCAAAAGAGGAAGTTGGGTTAGTCAGCCGTGACTTGTTCTTGATAAAACCATTCACTCTAAATAGTTGTGATCATTGTTTCCATGGCTAGATATGCACTAACCAGTTCTTTAATAATAAATTCTAGAATTTTGCCAGGAATCCAAGTCAAGGCCACTGTTCCATAATTTGTAGACTCCTTTCTCTTCCCTTTATTGACAATTGGAGTAGTCTTTGCCCTTCTCCAACCTGACAGGACCTCTCCCATTCTCCAGGATCTTCTAAAGCTCACTGAGAGTGGCTAAGCAATCACAACTGCCAAGTGCAGTTTATTGGTGACTTGAACTCATGAGTGAAAACAATAATAATAATAAGAAGAAGAATAAGAACTAACATTTATACAGTGCTTTAAAGTATTTAAAGAACTTTCTAAGGTCTCCCCCTCTCTCTCTTTTGTTAGTATTATCTCTTTTGATCCTCATAATAACCCTATGAAGCAAGTGCTATTATTCTCTCCATTTACAGATGAGGAAACTGAGGATGAGAGAGCTGTGTGACTCTGTATGCAAGGGTCACATAGCTAGTAAGTGTCTGAGGCTGGATTGGAACTCAGGTCTTCCTGAATCCAAGTCCAAGACACTTGTGCTGTGCCTTTTAGCTGCCTCAAGAGCAGCTAGGTGATTTCTTCCTATCTCTTATTGTGTTTTGTCTTTGTTAAGTTGTTTTAGTTGTGTCTGACTCTTTGTGACCTCATTTGGAGTTTTCTTGGCAAAGATACTGGAGTGATTTGTCATTTCCTTCTCCAGCTCATTTTACAGATGAGAAAACTGAGGCAAACAGGGTTAAGTGACTAGATTTGAATTCATGAAGATGAATCTTTCTGACTCCCAGGCCCAGCACCCTATCAACTGTGCCACCTATTATCCACTTTTGTTCTCTTCTTTCCAGTCTAAAGATGCTTCTCTTCAGCAGATTAAACTGCAAAATAAGGATTGAACAGCTCTACATTCACTTTTATCACTTACCATCAAATCATTCACCTTTAGGAGCAAATTTCCCCCTTCTTTGATCCTCTTTTCCTCATTATATAGTTTAAAAAAAATTAAGTCTCCTACCTTAGTTGTTGTCCTTATCTTTGCTGTCCAGGCTTAGCTTGTTCCAAGTTATAGTACCTATAACAGCATGGGCTCTAAATTTGTATAATCCATCCATCCATCAGTGTGGAGGGAGTTCACACACCAGGAGTTCCCTAAACTAATGAAATTTCAAGTCTGGGTCAAAAAAATTCTTATAATTTGCCTTTGCCTCTGATTTCTGTACATATCCTTTAAAAACCCATGTTGGTCAGTGAATCTCCTCTTTAGACAACTTTGCCTTTTCTTTCTTATCAGTAGTATTTCTCTGTGTGTCTTCAAAATTTCATTCTGAAGCCTAGCTTGAGTTTACCTCTCTTAGTGATTTTAACCTTATGTAATCTAATTTACACTTCCTCTAACTCCTTGAAGTCTGCTTTCCTAAAATCTAGAATGCACATCAGATTACATCTAGCTTTTCTCTTCTTCTATATCACCAATTTCAAGATGAAATGGTCATTTCCCCCACAAGGTTCCAATCATTCCCAATCCAGTAATCAATTCCTCTACCTTCTGAAGAACTGAGTTATCCTTCAAGCATATCAGCTTTTCTGATCTGGGCAGAGAAAGAGAGCATTGGAAGATGGGATAACTAAAGTCCCCCATCACAACTATGATGATACTTCCATGCTATGCTTGTGATCTTTTCCTCAACTCTCCTTTCTGGCCAGGTGCTCAGTAGTATATACTTCAATGACAATGTTTTTTTTCTGTTTTTGCTTTGTTGATCTTCACCCAAATTTTCTACACCATGCTGCCTTCCCCTCTGGTTCCTGAATTTTCTCACATGAGTATTTCTTAATATCCAGACCTACTCTTCCCAGCCTCCAAACTTATGCTGTTCCTTCTGAATAAACTATATCCCTCCAGGCTCTTTTTCAGTCATGGATCTCTCACCCCACTAAGTGTGAAACCTCTGAGGTCATATTTGTCTGAATTCATTTGGATGGATTGCTAGTTCATCTTCCTTATTACTCATCCTTTTTTGTATTTGTCTGGAGATATCTGAGGTGATGAATTTAACTGCTTCTTGGCTTTGGCCACCTCTCTGGGTGTTACTCTTTGTATTTTCCTTCCTATGTTGTAACTCTTTTCTTGGGCAGCTCTTTCCCTTTCCCTTTCTTTTTAGTTTACAGCTGTTTTGACTAGATTTGCAAGACTCCAGATATCTTCTTACTAATACATTGTACACTCCATCCATAGCAAGAGATGGTCACTTCTATTTTAAACTATTCTCTGCTATCTGTCTGTTCTCTGAGAAGCAGCCTGTTTAGTGCAGAGGATTATTTCCAGAAAGTTGACCACCATGTGATGAATGTTTTTAGACAAAAATTACATGACATACGCACATGGATGCAAACATGGTTAGCAAACAATAGAAAACCCTTTGCATTAAATTTTGTGGTATAGATTACAAGTTGCACAGATCAAAGAAAGAGGAGGGCATTCTGAGTTTGGAGTAGCCTCAGAGAGTCCAATGGAGGTGGTGAGACTTGAGCCAGCCTTTGAAAGCTGGTGAGATTTGGGTGGGGAGGAGAGAGAACATTTCCAGCATGAGCAACAGTACACAGACAAGAACAAACATGGCATATGTAGGGGACTTTTAGGAGACTAACCTGATGGAAGCAAATGTTTCATATTGGGGAGTAGAGGGATATAATCTTGGATAGATAAGGTAAAGACAGAGTAGGGAAGACCCTAAAAAACCAGAGAGAAAAGTTTGGACTTGATGCAACATCCCCATTGTATGATCTTGGGAATCTTAGACACTGAGATATTAAGGGACTAAGGTCTAAAAACAAGCTATTGTGAAGTCAGGACCAATAATACTGATTTCCTGATGCCTAGTCTAGAGGTCTCTAGTTCAATTTTCTTTCTCCTTTTTGGGTCATTTTAAGTTTAATAAAGGGCATTACTAAATTTAAGAGTTTATGGAATTTTTGTATGGTTCATTTTCTTTCTGAGTAGTTTCACATTTTTTTTTCTGTGGCCTTTTAAGTCTCATATATCTTCTTCTTCTTTCTAGATTACTACTGAAAAGCTAACAACCAGCCACACTCAACCAATCCCAAATGGAGGTGACATTAAGGTGGAACAGCTGTTTCAGGAATTTGGCAACAGAAGAACCAGTACTTTTCAATCCATAGGAACAAATACCTCTGAAAAGTATCCTTCCACCATTTCTCAGGGTAAAAGTTCAGACAGTTTGAACACTGTCAAATCTGGTAGCTCATCCAAAGGGCTAAAAGTGGTACCTCTGACTCCTGAACAAGCACTAAAGCAGTATAAGCATCACCTGACTCCTTATGAGAAGCTAGAAATCATCAATTATCCTGAAGTTTATTTTGTGGGTCCAAATGCTAAGAAAAGGCATGGCGTCATGGGTGGCCCCAACAACGGGGGATATGATGATGCTGAGGGAGGCTACATCCACGTACCTCGAGACCACTTGGCTTATAGGTACGAGGTGTTGAAAATTATTGGCAAAGGCAGCTTTGGGCAGGTAGCTCGAGTCTATGACCACAAACTTCACCAGTATGTCGCCCTGAAGATGGTTCGCAATGAAAAGCGCTTTCATCGACAAGCAGCTGAGGAAATCAAGATTTTAGAGCATCTTAAGAAACAGGATAAAACAGGCAGCATGAACGTTATTCACATGCTAGAAAGCTTTACATTCCGGAATCACGTCTGTATGGCTTTTGAGTTGCTAAGCATGGACCTCTATGAGCTGATAAAAAAGAACAAGTTTCAGGGGTTCAGTGTCCAGCTGGTGCGCAAATTTGCTCAATCTATCTTGCAATCTCTGGATGGTCTCCACAGAAACAAGATCATTCACTGTGACCTGAAGCCAGAAAACATTCTTCTAAAACAGCATGGCCGCAGCGCAACCAAGGTAATTGACTTTGGGTCCAGCTGTTTTGAGTACCAGAAACTCTACACGTACATCCAGTCTCGTTTCTACAGAGCACCAGAGATCATCTTGGGAAGTCGATACAGTATGCCTATTGATGTTTGGAGCTTTGGCTGCATTCTAGCTGAACTTTTGACTGGACAGCCTCTCTTCCCTGGAGAGGATGAGGGAGACCAGTTAGCTTGTATAATGGAACTTCTAGGGATGCCCCCTCCAAAACTTCTCGAGCAAGCAAAGCGTGCCAAGTACTTTATCAACTCCAAGGGTCTTCCTCGATATTGTTCTGTGACTACTCAGGCAGATGGGAGGGCAGTCCTTGTGGGAGGGCGTTCACGCAGGGGTAAGAAGCGAGGTCCCCCAGGCAGCAAAGACTGGGTAACAGCGCTAAAAGGGTGTGATGACTACTTGTTTATAGAGTTCTTGAAAAGATGTCTTCATTGGGACCCCTCTGCCCGCCTGACCCCAGCTCAGGCCTTAAGACACCCTTGGATTAGTAAACCTGTGCCCAGACCTCTCACTACAGACAAAATATCAGGGAAACGGATAGTAAATCCTGTGAATGCTTTGCAGGGATTGGGTTCCAAATTGCCTCCAGTCACTGGAATAGCCAACAAGCTTAAAGCTAATTTAATGTCGGAAACTAATGGCAGTATACCTCTGTGCAGTGTCTTGCCCAAACTTATCAGCTAGTAGGGAGTGATCTGTGTGAAAATATGCATAAATGATATTTTTAATCATCCTGAGAGCCTGCAAATTGGAAAATATAGCATCCTCGGAGCCCCTGTGTTTGGCGGACAAGACTTTTTTAAAGGCAAAACTTTTTTGTATGTATGGAAATGAACTTTTCAAGGGCTAATTATCTAACCACCTTGTTTCAGCCACATTTCAGCACCTATTAAATTACTTTTTATAGGTCAGTGTACTTTCTTGGTCAATAAGTTTAGATATACTTTAGTGTATTTTATTGAATTAAAATCCCCACTCCTGGGACAAAGTGTATAGAAAAATGTGTCCTGGCTATGATCTCCATTCTAATGTAACATCTCTTTCCATTGGTGAGCAGCTGAGGAAATCAAAATTTTGGAGCGTCTTAAGAAAGAGGATAAAATTGGAAGTATGAATGTTATTCCTGTACTAGAAAGCTCCACAGTCCAGAATTATATTTGTTTGTCCTTTGGATTGTTGGTGAGGAGTGAGAGTAGGAGTGGAGATGACTTTAGGAATATGGTGGCAGTTGGATGATATGGAGAACCAAAAATCTCTTGCCCCAAGAAGTTGTTTTCAGGTCTTCATGACAGGGAAAAGAGAGATAAGTCCTGTGGGTCCTGTTCTTTTTCCTCAGTACCTAGGATTCAACTTCTTCTTTTCTTATGATTCTAACTTGTTTTCTAGAAGCTCAGAGGGCATAATAGCCTTTGTTCCTCATTCTCAAATCACCCTGAAGATTCATTTGAGAACTGAAGCCCAGCCCCATGACATCTCAGTTGTTCCATGGTCACCCACAATGCTAGATGCAGAATCAGCACTAAAACTCAGGTTCATTAACTTGGCTTCTGTGTATACTAAGTTGCCTCTTAATATACTTCCCTTTGGCTCCCCTTCTCTACCCCAACTTTCAACACTTTTTCCCCCAAACCCAAATCATGTGTACGCAAACAATTTAAGTAATAGAAAACCAGTGTCAGAGAACCAAGAATGCAAAATAAATGCTTTGCCATTATCCTCTGCCCTCCAGCACCCACCATTTCCCATTTATCTCTCCTCTCCATTCCTGCCTTAACTGTCATTTAAGGTTATATCCTTGATTCAAGGTAGATTTTCGTGAGAAGCAGAGAGCTTTTATTTGTACAAGAGTCAGTTTCAATATCCCCAAACCTCAACCTTCTTTATCAGTGGCAAATAACAATCACTGCTAGCCAAATGGCTTGCTTAGCCCTGGAGGAAAAGCAGGGACAATTTTCAAATAATTCACTGGTTTCTTGTTGCCTTCTTTTCTCCTGTCCCTAGTCCCACTAACACCCATCCCTAGAACAAAGATTCAATGGCCTGCTGGATTCTTTGGGATAGATTCTCATAATGATCCATTTCCATCTTTTCACTATTGCTCTCTATATAAATTGTAACTCTGTAAATTACCTGGAAGGGAATTCCTTGCCTTATTCAATGGGGGCGGAGGGGGGGCGCCCTGGGATGGATGGTTTCTAAATTCCCTTCTAGCTGTAAATCCTATGATCCTGGGTTTCTGATAGATCAAGGGAAGAAAAATGTCGTGTGTGTAATTTATGAATATACTGTTCAGGTCTGAAAACATCCATGATTTCCTTGGGAAAGCCCCAGTAATCAACAAACACGTGTAAAGTGCCTATTATGGGTCAGGCTACTTTGGTAGTTTTCTAAACTTTAGTATACTTCAGCATGGCCTCAGTCTCCAAAGCAGAATGGATCTTTGGAAAAAATAGAGATGGTAAAAGTGAGGCTGGTACTTCCTTATAAATATCTAGTTCTTTTTTGGTGACTGAGGAGAGACTAGCACAGCTAAGAAGGTCCTTTCAAAAACAAACCACAAACACTGTTAAAAACACTGCTTATCTCCAGTTCTGGTTTGCAGAAGGAAGACTTCTCATCCAGCTCCTGTAGATCATTGTACCTCCTGCTGAGTTCTCTGGCTTCTTGGGCTGCTTGTTTGGGAAGCTTCTTCACTATCTAGACATAGCATAAGTTGAGGGCACCCTGTTAACTGTTATCAGGATGAAGGCACACTCTAAGCAAGTTCTGAAAGACTGTTGATATCTTTTTTAGGGGAAAAAAGACATAGCTTGCAGAAATTTTGTGCTTTAATTTAAAAGGGACTTAAGTTCAGCTGGCAATTTCTGCAGTTGCTGGGCCCAGGTTGTGTCCTTCCATTGAGAGATTTCTGTGTCAGAATATTTTGACTTGCTCTGGGATTATCGAAACTCACCCGAGTGGAAGGAAAAGCTAATAGGAACAGAGCTGACAAGACTAGGAAGACAAATGTTGGAAGGCTCTGGAAAGGTGAAGCGCTGTGTCTTTTAGTTCAAATTTTGCAGCCCAGACAATGACGCAGAGTACAGTCATTTTGACTTGGCCTTTCTGCGTTCCAAGAGCTGATTGCATTTGGGAAATTGCAGGAGAGTGGGCAGTTTTAAAGCATGCTGGTTATTGTACAGATGGTTTTGAGGAGGTTTTTGGATGGGTATGATGGGGAGAAACAAGTTTCTAGCTGTATTCTGTGTGGTAGGTTTTTAGTATCTGCTTCCATCATCATTATCATCAACAAGTACTTGTTAAGCATTTACTACGTTCCAGGAACTGCTTAGTAATGGGAATATAAAGAAAGGCAAAAAAACATGGTCCCTGTCCTCATGGAGCCTTTTTAGCTACTAGAGCATTTTACTACCCAGCAAGCTCTACGACTTATTTAGGTGATGATCAATTGGATTTTCAGTCAAACAATCACTCAAATTAACCAATTTGATGGATTCCCACCCCACACTGAATTAGTGAGCAGTAACAGATGAACAAGCCAAGCATTGCATTCCCATCCACAAAATGATTAATAGAACCGGAGGAGGGCTTGTAGCACATGGGGTAGAGCTTTCGTAAATGGAGAGGCATGGAATGACTTGGAATGAGAAAGCCTGGATATGTTCAGATCTTTTTTTAAGGAAGGAGGGCACACAATAAAGATCACTTAAAATGACCAGGTCAATAGGTTTCTTGGCATTGCAGCAGTGACCCCAGCATTTCTCACTGTAGGCTTTGTAACTAATGAATCAGGTGGAGAATGTTATGAATTTTGTTCCCACGTTTATCCTGGGTGTGCCACAAGGTCCCTTCCAGCTCTAAAGATTTTATTCTCTGTCATCTCACAAGCTATCAAGAAAGACAGTTTTGAGAGCTTTGCCAACTATAAGATTTCCAACCAAAAGGGAGTGGTTAATCCTGTTACTCCTACCATCAGACTTAATACTGCCTTCTATACTCATCATTAAATTCCTTTCCTTGTATTAGAATGTATACTCATGAAGGGCTCATGTCCTCATTATACTTTGTACAGTGCCCAGCTCCCTATTGGTGCTCAGATTCACCAATAGAAATTTCATGTGTGCTGAAGAAGGTTTCTGGTCCCTGTATAAATTATAAATCACACTATCCCTTTTGGTCCCTTATCATAGTGATCCATAGAATGCTCTAATTTTCTTTTGAGAGTGGAATCAGAAGGGAGATTTGTGAAGCTGCCTCTTCCAAGTCATTAGATAGATTTAATCTGATCACTGAAAAAAACCTGTGCCGTGTAAGCTCTGCTTTCCCACAGAGTGGTCCCAGAAATGAGTCAAGACGCCCCTGCAGTGTTCATCCACCAGGGTAAATGAGCTTCTTCTTTTGGCATGGCTGTATCAGTGTGTTGTTTTCTGAGGAATTAGAAGGAGTTTGGGGACAGCCAAGTCAGCTAGTCAATCTCATGAGGTTTTTGGTTTCCGTGACATTTAGTCTGTTGAGAATGGGGTGCTATTGCATAAACTGAACAACAAAAACAGAAAAGCTTCAATAAAAACTGCCGTTGGGCATCTGAGTTTGGAGCTGTGATAGCTGTTTGTATCGAGAAAACTTTTCTGTCCCACCTAATTCTAATAACTAGGCATAATTAAAGTTAAATTTCGGGTGGCCGCTGATGAACCACTCTAAATTTTACTTATTAACAGAATATTACTCCTACCACTTGGGTGAATCACAAAAAGTTTTTTCTTACACACTGAATTTTTTTTTCCTGATGCATCTGCTGTTCAGTTCTGACAACCCAAGAGCTGGAAAGGAGACCAGTACCAGAACGCTCATGGTTACTCTTCCTCCTTTGCAGGGCTCTCTGAGAGTAGCACACATAACATTTTTTTGTATCAGGTGCACTTGACATGAAAACACAGCAGCATTTTTCCACCATCTCATCAGTGTCTCTTCAGTGTCTAGCCAGAGATTACAGATCACTAAAACACTATAACGTGCTATACATAGTCACAGCCAGGGCAGACATCAATGAAAGAGGAATCTAGAGTCTGAACAAATAAGGAGTGGGACACGACTGGAAAATTAAGAGTTGTCTGCTGCCAGCACCAAGCTACAGAGTGGATTGGCTGTACTTTTATAGTCCTTTTAAAAACATCTCTCCCTCCCCTGCCTTGTGGTGACCTCAACACAACTGCAATCCTGAGGATTTGAATGAACTGACATATAGGTCCAGCCTCCAGCCACAGTGCACTTAGGGATAATCGGTCTTTCCAATTGTGTGTCAAAATTAATCTTGCTAATTTCAGAGCCCACACTTGGTATATCCATTTAAGGAATGAATACAGTTCTGTCCTGCAAAGGCATAGTCTCCAAGAAAAGGCAGAGCTACAAATACATTGTCTAGACTCCCAGAAGGGTGGGATTGGATTCAACATAGCTTGAAACATGGGAGAGAAACATATTTGCACAGGGCACAGCTGGACATGAAGTCATTAAATCCTAGGTTCAGATCCTGCCCACTTACTAGCTATGTGATCCTGGGCAAGTCACCCTCTATGCCTCAGTTTCCTTATCTGTCGAAGGAAAGGGTTGGATTCAATGACCTCTCAGGTTCTTTTTAGCCATAAACCTATGATCCCATGGACAAAGTAAAACTAACATCTGAAATGCCTCATAGTTTTTTGCACAATGGCTAACTCTTCTAGGAAACTTGCTTTTATTTTAGTGAATAAGAACCTTTATTTCTCCTTTCTCCCCTCATGACCAAAAAGGTTAGAGTTTGATGAGGTTTTTTGGAATCTGGCCAAGGAATAGCTTTGGATTGGTGTTTTGTTTTTTTTTTTGGGGGGGGTTAGGCAGTTGGGGTTAAGTGACTTGCCCAGGGTCACACACACAGCTAGTAAGTGTTAAGTGTTTGGTCTGAGGCCGGATTTGAGCTCAGGTCTTCCTGACTTCAGGGCCGGTGCTCTATCCACTGCACCACCTAGCTGCCCTTGGTGTGTTTTTCAAGACTCGAAATATTAATCTCAATTCCTAACCATTTGGGGGTTGTTGAATTATTTTACAATGAGATTGATTCTGCTAACACTTTTTCTATGAATTTTTTTAGGTGAGCTGTTGCTAAGTTCAGGAGGAATCAGTTTTAGAGGGCAAACAGGCTGTGGGTTAAATATTCTTTTTGCAGATGTCCTGTGAGTTTCATTGGGAACTCATGAAATATTGTTGCTATTGCTTCCATATACCTTGTACTTCAGCCTGAAGTTTTCAGCTGGGTAGATTTGGAGAAACAGGCTATGTAGGAAAAGGGTAAAGGGGAGGATTTGGGATGGGGAACACCACCACAAAGCTGTTCATGGCCTGGTCGTATGGCCATAAGAGTGTTATGGTGGAAAGAAATGGTATAAATATGTGCCTTGCTGGGGCTCTGTCACCCAGTTGGGACCCTGCCTATCAGCCTTCTGGTCTGATGTTGGCAGGGGGCCCTCCCCAGGCCTCAAGCATGGCTTTAAAGGTTAGGTTTGATGGAGCAGCATAAATGTTTGGGTGCTTTTCTCAGCCCACACAGAGTCCCTTTAATGGCTGAAGAAATTGAAAGACAGAAAGCAAGGAAAAGGAAGAGAAATAACAGAGGCTTTGGCCTCACCTCGGTTTCTCCTGGATGAATCCTGAGCCATATTTTGCCCTTGCAACTAAGGCTGACTTGAGATGGAGCTGATGTCTCCCTTTCTTTAGACTAGCTAACTGAGAAATATACAGGCTTTCCTTCTGGATGTAGGGCTGTGTCTAGCACCCGAACAATCCTCTGAGAGTTTGAATTACATTTTTTCAAAATGCCGTTGGTCTCTTGAATTTGTGAATGCCTAAACATGAGTTATATGGGCTGCTGGACATACTGTTTTCCAGGTGGCAATTAAAGGAATACTCAGCTGTTCAATTCAGTGTTCCTGGGGGAGTTAGCATACCCCTACAGGCTGCTCCCACAACTTTTTCTTCCATTTAAGGGGGAGAGAGAGAAGGGGGGGAGAGAGAGAAGGGGGGAGAGAGAGAGAGATTGATTGATTGATTGATTCAGACTTAGGGAATGGAAGCCGGCTACTTCCTGGATGATTGGGAAATATATGTCAGGCAGTCTGACAGCCAGGGCAACTAGACTACGGCAACTCTGGGAGACTGTCTATGTCGGAACCTGCCCTTTCTGACCCTGTCCAGTAGGGAAGGAAGTATCAGGAACCAAAGTGTTCAAAATTACTTAGGGATAAGGCTTCCTGGAAATCTGACCTGTCTGTTCTGTGAGTTCTGCCCAGTTCTGCTTTTGGCCCTGGTTCTCTGGCTGCTGAAGAGCTCTTTGCTGAAGGAAAACATCCAGAACAAACATTCTGCGTCTCAACTCAGGTTCTCATCATCTTTAGAATGGTTGATGGAGTTCCAGGTGCTGATATTAGAACCAGCTCTGTCCCTAATGAGGTTAGTGGGATCTTGGTCAAGTTACTAAAGAGCTCTGACTCTTGATTGTTTCTCAGCTGATTTGAAGTGGGTAAGGTTATAGGCCATTCATTTAACAAATATTGAATATCCACCATGTGCAAAGCATCATACTAGGCACAGAAAAGTATATAATAACTGATATTTGTCACCTTGTGAGAGGTGAGGAGATAAGTTCAATGGAGTGTTTTGTTAAAATGCAAAACAATAACCTACAAATTTCAGGCACTTGGGGACTAGAAGAAATCTGCCTGTGGCCTCGAGGCTGCAGGTTCCCCAACCCTGAAGGTAGGCAATAGGTCAAAAGAAAATTTAGTTTTGCTTATTCCCTCTTTCCTGGGTTCTTGCAGGAGAAGTGGGTATAGTGAGGGAAAGTCGTTGTCAGAGGCTATGCTCTGAGCATGTCCATATAATCGCTTATGACCTGCATTTAGTGAGAAAAAGAGCATAAAGGATTAAACAGAGGTGAAAAGAATGAGAAGGTCACACCTTCCCCAGTTGCAACTGGTGGGCCATGGGGTCAGAGAATGAATGACAGCTATCACCCTTGGGATTTCATGAAGATGGGGCTTGATTCTTCTCACCATGAGCCCTCCCAAATCCTACCCTAAATGTGTATCCCAACGATTCTAACAGGTGGAGAAGCCTGGATGAGGAACCAGCTGTCCCCATGATTCTTCTTCCCGTTCTCTCTTCTGCTTCCCCCAGCAACTGGCTAGCTTTGGTTGCTGTTTTGCCTGGTTGCTAAATCAACATGTTTTATTTCTGTCCCACCAACACACCAAAACAGAATCTGGGGGACAGAGGTGAGTGTGTGGAATGGACCAGGCAACCTCATCCGCAGGGTGCCTTCTCACTTGATTGAAGCAGCTGCTCCAAATGTGTACCTTTGGTTCCCTTCCCTTCTCTTCTCTAAGGGACTGCCTGGTAAATAATGTTGTGGAGGTGCCCATGAAAGGACCAGATTCCACAGGTCTGGAAGAAGCTTTGGAGTTCTCTGAGAAGCTGAGAACGTAGTTGACAACCAGCTCCAAACTTCCTGCTTGCAGGTCTAGAGCATCCGTGATGGGTCTGGGCTCTGCAGTTATGCCCTCCACACTTGGTCTGCATCTCACTGCCTATTCCACAAGGCTTCCTGAAATAGTGGCTGGGCAGCAGCTGCCATGGCCCTTCCTATCCCTCTTCCTCCTCCACTCCCTACTCCTTCCCCTTTCCCTCTTAAGAGTCAACTGCATTTCCAAAGGGTTTCCAGTTTGAGCCTAGAAGAGATGGAGAATGAGCACAGCTGCAGAGGGGGAGGGCTTAGGCTTCCCCATATCACAGAATTGTAAAATTAGAAATACAAGAGGTATCAAATCTAGGAGTATTTTAGGCCCTCCTTGGAGTGCTCAGACTTTCCCAGTGGTAAGGCCCAGAGAGAATCCTTAGAGCACACCAAACCCACTCTTCTTACCCATCCCAATCCTGCTCTCCATTCAGCTAGGTGGTACAGAGGCTGGAACTCTAGACCTCCCATCAGAAAGGTCTGAGTTTGAATTCTCTTTGGACACTTATAGATTTGTTACCCTGTGCCAGTCACTTAATCTCTGTTTGCCTCAGTCTTCTCATCTATAAAATGGAGATAATAACAGCACAACAAGGTTGTTGTAAAGATCAGATGAGTTAATAATTGTAATGTGCGTAGCACAGTACCTGGCACATAGTAAGGGTTATTATTGTTTTCCAGAGATAGTTTCATGATGTTAAAGAGAGCATTTGGCCATGAGACAGGAGATCTGAATTCTAGCCCTTGCCCAGCCACTAGCCAGGTATGACCCTGGGGAAAATCATTTAACTTCTCTAGGTCTCAGTTTCCTTATCTGTAAAATAAAGACTAGATTATTTACAGGGTCCTTCCAAGATCTCAGTGATGCATTCAACAAATATTTGCTGAATATTTGTGTTGTGTTGTATTTATGTTGTATGTTCAGACTGTTAGTAGCCTAAGCTACCTCCTCAAGAATGCTCCCAGCCTTTTAATAATCAGAGCTGACATTTTTATATCATTTGACCCTCCTAATAACCCTGTGAAGTATATACTATAAGGGGTTGGCCCCATTTTGTGAATAATAATAATAATAATTCCTATTTACATAGCACTTTGTGAGGCTTACAAAGCACTTTTTATATACATTTCACATTTAAGCTTCACAACAACACAGTGAGGTAGGTACTATTATTACCTCCATTTTACAGATGAGGAAGCTGAGGCTCAGAGTCTTGCCTATAGTCACCAAGCTAGTAAGAGCCCATAGCAATTTATAATCAAGTCTTTCTGAGTCCAAGTACAACCTTCTATCTATCCATTATACCAAATTGGTGGTACCAGAGATCACCATCCCCTATTCCCATTCTTGCCCCTTTTTCCTCCATCACAGGTGCTGCCTGTTTACCAGCCTGATTTGCAATGCCCCAGCTCCCTCTTCTCTAACCTCCTGTGCCCATTCCTAGGTGCAACTGACAAAGTGGGAAACTGAGGCTCCAAAAGGTAAGATATTTGCCCAGTGTGACACATGGTATTAATAACTAGGCTAAGGATTATATCCAGTTATTCTAATTTTTCCCTTCCAGTAAATATTGCTGGTTATGATGAAATGCAGGAAATCAGAATTCTGTTATATCTTTTATGCTTTATTTCACTGCTCCCTTTCTTTCCCCTCCCACTCCTCTTCCCTTCCCAAAAAAGAGCTGAGTGAGCATTTCTTTTTACCTGCCTAGTCTAGGGGGAGGGGACTAGGTCAGGCGTCAGACAGGTCTTGCACACAATAGGAAAACCATATCCAGACTACTCTCTCCAGCCTTGGACCTAGCAGGAACTAAATAGCCTTGTGTGCCCAGCTCGAAGGTCTGGACTGCATATGTCTCCCTGGACAAATGCCAATCACATGAGCTGCTGCTGGTAATTGAGTGAGCCGGGATAATCTCTCAGCTCAAGTGTCTCTGCTGGCAAAGGGACTTGGCTCAGAGTTAGGAGTGTGAGATAAGGGGGGAGGTGGGGATTGCCAGCCTTTCATTCTGGGACCTGAGAGGTTTGGGAGAGGCAGTGGGAGGAGGGTTGGGGGGGGCAATTCAGGCCAAGCCAGAGATCCTGCCAGGAGGACTTTGTCCCAGGCAAAGAGCACAACATAAATTTGACTTCATCAGTCAGCAGGGGCTGGCAGTGAAGGGGATGATCAGAATGGGTAGGGGCTGGGCCAGAGGCTGGGGTGGGGTGGGGGCTCAGAGATGAGAAGGCACTTAGCTTGGCAACCTTTTTTTCTCCAAACTCTACTACCCCACAGCTTCCCACTAGTTGGGCATGACTGAATGGGGTGATTCCTGTTCTGGCAAGACTGGACTGGCCTGATGGTCTTCCTACTCCCAGCTTCACACTCCCAATTTCCCAATCTTCACTCCTGCCCCCCCCCCACCCCCACTGCATAGCAAACATGCAGGGAGCTTTCCTCCCATTCCCCCTTGCCACAACAGGCTGGGTGGTAATAGTCAGGTCCCCATTCCATGTGAAGTCAGGGAGCCCCTTCCAATCCTCAGCCTTGGCTTCCCACCTCCCATCTCCGCACACCCTTGGGAGTGGCAGGGCATCCCCGGCCAAGAGGGGGAGGCAGAGCAGCTTCCAGGCCCCTCTATGAATCAAACTTCTAGAAGCATATGGTGCCCTGTGGGCCATGTGGCTGCTTCTCCTTAAGAACTATCATGGGGCTTGGCCCAGGATTTGTCCACAGCACCCTCTGCTGGCCTTGTGGCAGCCTGGGCCTGGGGAGAGCCTCTGATTGGGAGGGACAGCTCCCTGCCTTGGCCAACTCCCTCAGCCTCTGTCCAGGCTGCAGAGCCTCAGGCCTTGGTTAAAGGATTCATTTACTCAGCCAGCCAGTCACAAAATCATAGATTCCTTCTTGTAGCCCAAGGGGAATCTTGGTGCCAAAACTTCTGTTTTAGGGAATATAACCTGAAGGCATTATCAAAAATTTAAAAGAGCTGGTTGTTAAAAAGATTTTCATAGCAGCACTTAGCAAATAATGCTTACAATTATATAGCACTTTTCTATGTTATTTGATCCTCACAACAACCCTGGGAAATAGGTGCTATCATCCCTATTTACAGATGGTAAAACTGAGGCTGAGAAGTTAAGTGACCTTCCCTGGGAAGGATTAGAACTCATGTCTTCCTGACTTCAAGTCCTTGATAGATATACACATACACACGTGTGTGTGTGTGTGTGTGTGTGTGTAGTTTTCCCCAATTACATGTTAAAACAATTTAAAAAAACATTTAGGGGCAGCTAGGTGGTACAGTGGATAGAGCACTAGCCCTGAAGTCAGGAGGACCTGAGTTCAAATCTGGCCTCAGACCAAACACTTGGCACTTACTAGCTGTGTGACTCTGGGCAAATCGCTTAACCCCAATTGCCTGAAAAAACAATGAAAAAAAATTGGGGGCAGCTAAGTGGCTCAGTGGATAGAGCACCAGCCCTGAAGTCAGGAGGACCTGAGTTCAAATCCGGCCTCAGACCAAACACTTGACACTTACTAGCTGTGTGACTCTGGGCAAGTCACTTACCCCCAATCGCCTCACTAAAAAAAAAAAATTAAAAAAATTTTTGAGTTCCAAATTCTATCCTTCCCTCCTCTCTCAAGCTCTTGATTCTAATGATAGTAATAACTGTCATTTATATAGGGCATTAAGACTTTTAAAGTGCTTTATAAATATCTAATTTTAACCTCATAACCCTAGGAGGTAGGGAAACTGAGACTGAGAGAGGTAAAATAACTTGCCCAAGGTCACACAGCTAAGTGTCTAAGGCAGGTTTGGAAATTGGGTCTATCCTGATACCAATGCCAGGACTCTAGCCACTTCACTACCCAGTTACCTGTAGTATTTACCTTACAGAGTAAGGACTTAATAAATGCTTTTTCATTTATTCATTCTCCCTATTTTCTGTATGAAGTAACTGAGGACCACTTGCCTGAGGTCATTTAGCCTTTATAGTGACCTCATTTAGGGTGCCCTTTCACACAGCAACATCTCCTTCCCTCCTTCCCTTCTTCCCTCCTTCCCTCAGAAGATGTGCTTAGAATCTCAGAACTTCAGCTCATGGAATCATAGGTTTAGAACTGGAAAGGATCTTCAAGGTCACCTAGTCTAACCTCTTTCTTTTACAGATGAGGAAACTGAAGGAGATTAAGTGACCTGGCCCCAAATCACCCAAGTAGTTAGCATCAGAATTTGAAGCTACTTCTTCTTTTTTTGGCTAGGCAATGGGGTTAAGTGAGTTGCCCAGATTCACACAGCTAGTAAGTGTTATGTGTCTGAGGCTGGATTTGAACTCAGGTCCTCCTGAATCTGGGGCTGGTACTCTATCCACTAGGTCATCTAGCTACCCCTTGAAGCTACTTGTAAAATAAAACTCTCCATATGTCCTTCCTGCTCAGAGATGTATTTCTCTGGGCTTTGGGGAGAATCTAGAGCCTCGAGCTCTTTATTCTTGCCTTCTTACCTTAGAGAAAAGGGAGTGGAGGGAATGCTCAAGTTTCACGAGCCTTTGCTGCCTGGCTGTGTGGCTGGGGGTGGGGCTAGCTTCTACTGTTTCCATAGTTACATTTTCAGTGTGAACATTGACACCTTGGAAATCAGCAAGCACTACAAATCAGGGCTTGACTTATTGTTTTGTTCACTGTCTAGACCAGGGGTGGGGAACCTGCAGCCTTGAGACTACTTGTGACCACACCAGACCCTGGTCTAGACTTTAAAAAGTGATGGAGAAAATGTTAATAATGCAAATTAAACTTAAGAGTGTGTTGTGATTACATCCCCTACCCCCACCCAGAGAACTAGTTGTTGAACATTTACCAGCACACCACTGTGTGGAGACAACTTTGGCCTCCTTCAGAGCAGAGCTGGGCTCTGTAGATGGCAGGGGAGAAACGAGTTGGCCCTTTGCTTAATGTTAGGGAGAAGCTAGACTGCAGCAGTCCCGCAGAGTCTGGACTAAGCGGATGGTGGTAATGGCAATGGAGAAGCAGAGGCAAGAGCAAATTCAAGCCAAGAGACAATGTAGACTAGGACAGGATTGGCAGCACTTGGTGATAGAAGGGATGGGAGTGGGAGAGGGTAAGGGTGGGGAGAAGGAAGCAAATGAAAAATGACTGCAAGGTAAAAGGTACCAAAATAAACATACCCTTTGTCCCATTTGTTCCATTTAAGGAAACATATCCTGAAAGCATTATCAAAAATATTTTAAATATTTTAAAAGAGTCAATTGTAAAAAGATTTTTCACAGTAGCACTCTCTGTAATTGCAAAAAAACCAAACCAAACCAAAACAAAACCAAAAAACCTGGAAAGAAGCTAAATGTTCAATTGTATGGGAATGGTTAAATGAATGATGTTACACTAATGTAATGGAATACATTACTAATGTATCAAGACAAGCATAACATTATTAAGACGGATGGGTATCAGGTCTGTAAAGAAATCAGGAAACATCTATGCAAAATAATGCAAAACAAAAAACCCCAAAACCAAAACAAATGCAAAACAACCAGAGGAACAGAGAACAAACTAAATTTAGCTTTAAGGATAGTGACAGGGACTGGGAAAGCCTCAAGCAGCAGACTTAAAAAACTGAGTTAGTTTTTTTTTTCAATCCTTAAGTAATAGTGTAAGTACAGTGCCCCTCTTCTCTCGGGATTCAGGAGTAAAACAAATGAAACAAAAACTTGTACTGATACTGAGTATATGACAAGGTCATGTAGCCAACAGGAGTTCTATACCAAGCAGAAGCTTAATTTCCAGCTTACTATATGTACCCAACAAGTAGTTAAGGATGTACCTGCATCGTAGACCCAGAGGTTTTGAGTATCAGTCATGGATTCAGGATGATGTGGTTTCAAACCCCACTTCTGTTACCTACTAGCTCTGTTACTTTGGGAAAGTAATTTGTTCTCTCTCAGCCTCAGTTTTTTCAAGCTATAAGATGAGGATGATGCTACCTCAAGTGCCTGCATCACCGAAAGGTTGTTTTATGAGGCTTAAGCTTGATGGTGCATGTGAAGTGCTTTGTAAACTGTCAAGTTCTAGGTGTCATTTATTTTTATTGACCTCAGGGGTTGTCCTATGTGATTTACCTTAAATTGGAACCAACCAGTGGTGGGCAGGAGCTGAAATATTTTGTATGGTACTCAAGCCCATTGGAGAGTCAAGAAATGATGAAATTGATAACCCAGCCAGACTCTCCAAGGCATCCTAGACCTATGGTTATGGCTGACTGTTATCTGGTCAAAGACTCAATGCTCTGCAAAGGACCTTGAAAAATCACAGAATCATCAATTCAGAGATAGAAACCACCTTAGAGCTTATCCAAACCAACCTCCTCATTTTACAAATGAGGAAATTGAAGGCTAGAGACATCAAATGATTTGCCCAGGGTCACATTGCTAGTAAATGTCTGAGGGAAAATTCAAAACCAGGTCTTCCTGACTCCAAATCCAGT